CTTGGGCGATCAGTCTTTACTCACAGGAGAGTATAGATGCGGGGGGGGGTTCTTGCGAAGCCTTGCAGTTTTGTATTACATTGATTTAAAGGGGATTTTCTCACTGCACTGAAATTAGTTTTCCACTAACCCAAATAAAGGCCTGAGGGTTGAGTGGAGAAAGTCACTCCAACAGTTTGATATAATGCTGACGGGCCGAGCTCCTCAATTATCAGCATACATGAAATGAATCTAAAGAGACCAATTTTCACCAAATAATCAAGCCATTATCATTCATGACTCAATCGCAGTGGAAGTGAAAGAGAGAACAGACATGCAAAGATAGAAAAGGAAGATAATGGAGCTGGAACCAGTTTGTGACTCCAGTGGGACCAGCGCCGATGTGCGTCACTGAGGCTTTGGTGAGATGCGGGCGCTCTGCCGTACCTGATCCTGATTGAGTGCAAATTAAATGTCTGTTCATCATTTGATTGGAAGGCAAAGAATGAGCAAAAATGGCCAACATCTATTTGGAGGCAATATCCTTAAAGAAAATCATATCAAAAGAAAATTAAGGGACTACGTTGCCTCTGAGCTGAACGCACCTGCTCTATTAAGGCATATTTTTAGGTTTTGCCCAAGAATGATATAATACATATAATCCACCTAGTCACCACACTACAACATCTTTCAGTGAATAACGATCACAATCTTGAATAAAGACACAGTTGGAGCGCAGGAGGTTGTCTTTTATTGCTCAAGCGTTTTTCAATAAGTCTAATTCTGGGTAGACAAACAACATGCAAAAAGAAGATGCGCTTCACTCAGATGATAAATTGCGACACACCAGATCAGTTGCACTTGCTTTAAAAATCTGCTTTGGCTCAGGTTTACAAAATGGAAACGGAAAATCTATGACGAAAATATTAAAACCCTAAAATAGCGGCCGACAGCCCATGCCAATGTCCACAGCACCAATACATTTTTATTTTCTTCAAACATCAGGTATGTCTCTGGTTTGACTTGTTTAGTTAAGCTCAACAGTAACATACCTGTCACATGTCTCACGCTGTACAAGGATACACCACAGCACAGCAGCAGCTGGCTGTGAGCACACCCCTGTTCATATGTGCTCTTATGGGTGGAGGGTTACATCACACCTGCCTCACTCACCTGTCCCTGGTGGCTACACAGAGCATGAACATGAAGGCTTTTGGTTATGGGACCGTTTTGCTTGTATCAGCCAACAAAGATGTCTTTGTAAAGATGCACATTGACTTTGAATACATTTGGATCATCCACATATAGATCAAATCTGTCAAATTACACTGGCTCTCAGTCAGGCCCTCGGGGTCGTCCCCGGAGGCCCGTCGGTGTGGTTGCTGGTGTGCGGATGTGTTGTTTGGATGGCGCGCGGATGGAGTCTGGTTGCTGGTGTCGGCGTGGCTCTAATCAGCTGTTGGCAGGCGGAGGAGCGGGCGGTCTCTCCCTGCAGCGGCACCCCGGGTCGAAAGACGGTTTGAAGTTTAATGATGCCAGCTGCCAGCTCCGCCAGGCTGCGAGCGCTAACGAGCTGGCACCGGACGCGGACGAGGCCGCGGCAGGCAGCACCTGGAAATGTGGCCCACGTTTTCAGAGGGGCGGGGCTCCACCGAGGCAGCTGAGGGGCCTGCTTGAGACCCCGGGACGGCACCCAGAGGCCCGTGTGTCTTTGAAGAGCGCCCCAATTTCCATATTTCATTACGCACTGCTGACTGACAAGGCCCAGCCAGATGTTCTATTTTCAGCTATTTAAATTTTGACCTGCTTTCCTACCATGGATCTAGAAAGAAAAGGGAAAAAAAAAAGATTTAATCCAAACACAGATGCCAATGATGATGGGAACTTGTCTGGTGTGTCTGCTTATGTTTGTTATTATTCTTCATCTCTTTCCATCCAAAGCAGAATAACCACTCATTAGATGTTGCTGTTCAGCTTACAAATCCCTTTTTATTTGGTTGACAATCTATCCTGAAGCGTTCCACTGTCTTGATCAAGGACACTTTAACAAGAGACACACTGTTGTTTTTTAGGGATCAAACCCGAGACCTTGTATTTATGAGACAATCTCTAACCATCCAGCCGGCCCAGCGCTATATTGGCTCCAAAGTGAGTGATGCTTTTTCTGAAACACCACATAAAGCATGCTCGCACAGCTTCTCTGTCCCTGAGATATCGGGGATGATTAATTCCTGTGATATTCCTGTTGAGATGGTTGTTAAATTGCAGTGTCCTTACCCGATCCCTCATGCAAAAATACATCGACAGCCCTGACCTTTTTGCGCGTCTGCTGCAAATGGCACTTTGTCATCCTGTGTGAGCCAGCTCAAGGATCATTGGGATTTTGTTGGAATAAAACTTCTATGACGCAAAGCAAAAAGCAAAGCACTGTGTGTCCAAACAGAAAAACCCTTGAAAGAAAAGGAATGACTAAAAAAAACAAAGGACAACGCAGCGGTGAAACAGCACGAGTAGAAAACCAAATCGCTAAAAATGAGAGACACTCCCTCTGCAAAAACCAGGGGGAGCAGTTTATTCCCTTTGTAATGCATCCGTGAGTGTCAATGTGTATGACTTGAGGGAAAAGAGAGAGGTAATTGAGAGCTAACCAAGGCATCGCAGAGGCGATATTGACAGAGTGTGGATGAAAGCCAGGGGAGGGGGGGGGGGGGGGTTGTGTCACAATACCGGTACAATAATAAACTCAAGAGGGTGTGTTCATTTGTGGCCTCGTTAGGGAACTTTTCTGCATGTCTCTGTGAGGCAACACATGCTTTTGCATCTGCAGATCTGAAGTTCACAGAGAGTTTAAGCAGGAGATAGAAGGACAATCAATATGATCCCATCTGTGTTCTGGGAAAAAGGACTGTTTGGTACATATTGGACTTGATTTGCCAGATAGTCAGAAACATGATGCATAAGCAATGATGACGTTGCTCTTTATCGGTTGGATGTACACATAGGCAACTGTTTGACCTCACATTCACCACAACCATATTAGGAGGTGGGAATATGTGAATTTTCTTGCAGATTATTATGCTGTTCCAAAGTGGACGAGAACAATACATGTTCATGGAAGCAAAGATAATGTCAGTAATATCAGGTTAGTATTTACAAAATGATAAAGAAGCAGTAATTCCAGGGAGCTAACTGTTATATTACTGAGCAACCAAGACACCTGTGCATGGATGTGGGTATGAGAGGACACAAGTTCATTTATCACACATATTTTTCTTGCGCACACTTTAAACTCATACTGTCACTGTGAAACCGCTTCAGTCAGGACTTTGTCAGAATAAATGATGCAGGATCCGCTGCAATTCCCCCGTTTCTCGACAGCCTGATCTTTGTAATGACCCTCAGAAGAGAATTTGCAGCAGCAGTTTCCGTGCGCCTCGATTTACTTTTTTTTTTTGGTTGCTTTTGTTAGGTGGCCGAAAAGGGCCGCATTCAACAGAGGAGTCAGGGGTCAGGGGAAGGGTAGAGGTGCAGGTCAGATTGGCTCTACGGGTGTCCTTTGGCGGCATCCCCGGAGAGTTCACCACCACATAGACATTTGACCTCTGAACCCTCTGGCAGGCAGTCTGAAGTATTATGTTTTAACTACCGGCTGCATAAAGCTCCTCTGGCAGTCATAATGGGCAACAGTTTTACTGTGGGGCAACAAGACACTTGCTTGGGCACGTACACTCAGCTTTCTCTGTACTGGGTCACTATAATGAAGCTTAGGTCAGCTGTTAAAAAATAAAGTGGGCCTTCGGACTCCACTTCCTTTGAACAAATTACCGATCAACTTATTTGATTCAAAATGAGACGTTCATAGATCAATACTGCAGACTATGGTGATACTTTTCCATTTCCCTCAAATTTCAACTCGTGGTTTTGAGTTTAACGTCTTGACACCTACCAGCTGTGTCACCATCACATGTGGACGTTCCGCTCACCTCCAGGTGATCCCTTCACTTTCCATCAGGCGCCAAATACTTGCTGAGGCTCATCAGCGGCGGTATAGAATGAGGCACAGACGCAGCAGGTCACTAACTTTTGTTTTGCTTTTATTTAAGTGAAAAACTGTTATATCATAAAATAAATGCGCTGAGGAAAATCACAGCACTGTGTGTTATTTCCAATCTCTAGAATAACCGAATCGACTGTGGCAGAAAAATGTAAATGCGGTTCCATAACGTAGCACCGATACACACTGTGCCTCAAGCTAATTCTCACTTCGCCAGGTGAAGAAAAGGAGATGCACAAGCACCTCGGCAGCCGGGAGAAGATTTAAGACTTGGGCTCCTATTCAAATATGAAGGTGTCCTTGACATTTTCTGCACTGTGTTGGCTGCTCAGCCTCGTCGCATTTTCCCCGAGCTGCATATAGGGCGCCGCGACCCGTTGACATTTACAAACTCATCTGGGTAAGAGCGTGATGGCATTCTATGAGGAGGAACACCTCCACGTGTCCTGCATCTCTTTATTGTCGCACCAGAATTTTTTTTTTTTTTTTTTAAAGGAAAAGTAGTCAGCTTTTTAACAGAAAGCCATTTAGTCTCACTCCTTTTACACGGCATCTTCTGAATGCTCAGAAAATGCTTCCTCAGGGGCTCCGGTCAGGCTTCATAAAGTGGACTAAATAGTGAGGTATTATTACCAGCCACAGCTCCTACCAGAGGGAACGAGAACACACACACCTCAGAAGGAAGTAAAAGGTTAAAATCTGCCAACGCCATACCAACAAGGCTCAGGATGGCAGCCAAGAACAGTGTGGCCCTTTACTTCACCGCAGTGGTCAGGGCAGGACAAGGTGAAATGAGGTGAATACACAGCCCATATAGTATCAGCAAAGCACGGTGTGAGTGTGGAGAGCGTTCTGGGTGGCGATGCAAATATGCCTTAAAGTGAAAATACAAACTAAAAGATGACCAAAGCTCGAGGCTTTTGAAAGCAAAGGGTCCCAAAAATGGAGTTTGGTTGCATGAAACGGATTCTTTTCTCTGTATGGAGGAGACAAGACTCCTTCAATTTATTGAAAATGACAAATAAGAGGTTTTACAAAATTCCAATTGGATGCAATGAGGAAACTTAAATGATTCACTGTGCGGATTTAGCCTCTGCATCCCTCGGGCTCCCAATAGAAGCTCCTAGCGGGGCTGTGCGGATCAACTGATCTTTGTGCTTTTGCTCCAGAAGATGGGATCTTTAGAAATCAGGACCTTCCTTCTTCAGCTTGCTGTAGTCCACGTTAACTGCGTAGAACTGAAAATACAAATGCAAATCTTAATTTCAAATCTCAAAGCTCAGGAATCAACGGTTGAGATCAAAATTCCATGTTTAAAAAAAAAAAATGAAAAAAAAGAATGGAGAAAAAAAAGTTAAGTTAATGTGATAGTTTGTTTTGGGATGCTTTGGACAGCATAATCCCATACTGACCCTACATAATAGAGAACCTTTACAAATGGTGAATAATAAAAACAAATACATTAGCACTCTCCTACGACGGAGTAGGTGAACGTAGTTAATCACTTCATCAGATTAGTTTCTACAAGTCAAAGTTAACCAGATTAGGTCTGTAGATTAATCCAACATAATGAGATAATCCAGGGATCAGCCACAGCTCTGGCAAACATCCACACTATGGTCCCTGAAAATAACCACCTGCGGTCTTCAGCACTGAAAATCAACTGTGCAAGAAAGCGTTGCTAGTAAGCCCTCCTAAGAGGAGACGGAGGCTCACCTTGTACTGATGGGTTGGGGCCAGCTTGTTCCAGGGCTCTGGGTTGTTCTTGCGATCCCAGCTGCAGGAGGAGAATCATGTTCACATTGTGAAAGATGAATCAAGAGGGAATGTAACTTGACACTTGAGATTTGTGGGCGAGTAGTAACATTTTCACCCCCTTCCATCCGTCCACCCATTTGAAATATAATAACACGCAACTGAAGTCCTCACCTCACATCTGGGTTTCTGATGGCCAGACGAGCCAGGTACATCATGGACATGGCTGCCCCTCCACCAATGAAGAATAAAAGGGGGATCAGCTGTAGAAAAGGAGGAATATTAAAAGAAACTTAAACAACAAGGCTGAATGTCACAGCTCAACAAGAGTAAACACCGAGTCAGCTGACCGCTTGTATAGACAGCAAACACGGACGTGTCAGAGAAAAAGCATGACCTTGAATATATTCACCGACTGACTTTTGTATTAATACCATAGATTAACATTACATGTCATTTAATGTTTGCTGACGCCTTTATCCAAAAGCGACTTACAATAAGTGCATTTCAACCAGAAGGGTACAAACTCAAAAAAGAACAAGAAAGGGCAGTTTTATCAAATAAGCCGATTTGTTGTGTTTTTAGTGGCGGTAGAGTCTGAAGCGGTGTGTCTTTAGTTTAGTTCGATGTGAAGGCTCTCTGCGGTCTTGGTGTCTTCAGAGCTCGTTCAACCATTTCGGAGCCAGAACAGCAAAGAGTCGTTAGCTTGTCCAGTATGTATATATAAATAACTTCGAATATATTAAGACATAGCAGTTAAGCTTAAATTACCAACTTGTAACAAACTATTTCAGGCTCTCTTAACGTGGTGAATTTAACCATGTACAATATCAAGCTGTACATAAAATCCCGTGTGTGGTTTGGAAGGTGAAGTTCCATGAAAGTAAACCTAGTAAGAAATGCTACTAGCTAACGCTACCTAGCCAGCTAACAAGTAGCATGTGGGGCTATTTCCAGCGCAGCGGACCCTCCTGTCGGCTAACGATCGGCTGCTATCGACTGAAGCCTTGACCCGATTTGACTCCAACACATTCAAAGTCATGTCACTTGCTACACAACGAGACTCTGGATTACTCCAGAAAAGTGAATTATCTTCTAACGTTAATATTTAACACAACTTCTCAAAGTCAGTGCGGTCAAAGCACTTGGCGTGCTACGGCTAACTAGTTAAGCTAAAGCAGGTTAGCAGCGCAACTTCACAGACAACGGCGATGAAGTTTGAAACAAAACATTTGACCAGAACACGGATCCCTATCTCATGTCGCTGTGATATACTTACAGCTGGGTGGCTCTTCAGCTGTCTGCGCATTACGGCGAGCATCTTCCCTCCAGTGACGGTTGTTCGGATGTGAAAAGGTTCGGTCACGCTCCCCGAAACGGTGCGAAATGAGATCTGCCAAATCAGGCGGAAGACGGAGTAATGAAGGCACGAGACACATGGGATGCTGCAGATAGTGCCTGACCAAATGTGGGTTAAAAACACACGACTATTAACAAAAACACACGATTATTAATAAATATGGGTACCGGGTAGATCATTTATGTCGCAATAAATGCGACTAATACTGAGAAACGTTGTTGGGTTTCATCAATATGCTGCTCTGCCACTTCAGCTTTTATTTCCACGTTGCATTTTATTCTGGCAAATATATGAAATGTTCATCGTGCTACATTCACTGAATTTAGCTTGATTCCATCTTTATTTATGTGTAACTAAAATTATTTTTTATATATTCGTGTTACACATACGGCCATTGTGACTACATTTGATCATGTTATGTACTGACCCTACCTTGCGCATTTGTTGAATTGTCTTGTGATGATTGAAATGCCAGCATATAATAAACAAAGGAATAAGAATTCCATTTGATTCGTGGATATCAGTGACATGCCGGAGATAACAGGTGATCGCTGCAGTCTCTTTCGTCACAGCGAGGACTGGCTGCGTCATAGTGTGACCGCAGGTGTGACCGCTGCTTTACAGCCATTGGAAGGAAACGTTGCAAGGAATAATATATTTTAAAAATAATAATTAATTATGATTCCATTAGAGCGTTCTTTGCCTTTTATATTTTGAGGTGGTTGGTATTTAGGAGTTCACCGTGATGGTGAGAACTGAGAATATCAGTTTGAATACTACTATTTTAAGCCTTTAACACTGGCGTGCCTTTTTCAAAAAGGGGATCCAAAGTTTTTTTTCAGATGCATGTTAGTTGCTGTTTTTTTCTTCTCAAAATTACCATCTGTGGTGAAAATGTTCAAGTATTCAGATATTTTACTGCAACACAATATGTCTACAAGTAAAAGTAGGGATCACATTATACCATAAGTACAAATATACTCTATATGAAATGATATAACTGATCGAATAATAGTTTATGCATTTTTATATTCATCAATGTAATGTTTCAGCTAATGTGTGTACACTGCTAGGTTGCTTGATGAATAAAAACATCACAATGTATTTGTTCATCTATCATAGTAAAAAGAACAACATCTCCCTGAGAAATGTAGTGGAGTCTAGAGGATAAGAGTATAATGTAGCAGAAAATGGAAACTACTACTACTCAAGTACACTATTTTAGTAAATGTTATTTTACCCCATGATTTAAAAGAGATGGTGACATACTTTTGAATTTTGTTGGCTCCGATACATAAATGACTAGTGATAATATTAATGATAATGTTTTGGGTTACTTTATAGCAGTTTTTGAAGAAGCGGCACCCGATCACAGGTGAGTATGTAAACTGAAGTAACAAATATTTGTAATAAAAAGTTACCATGCAATATCACAATTTCCCTTTAATGGTAAGTTATTTTCATTTTGTAGAAAATAAAGAGTAAAAACACTTTGATAGTAACATTTGATATAACACAAGTTACAACCATGTTTTATGAATGAAAAGCTACATGCTTGATTGTTTGCCAAGAAATAAACTACATATGTAATGATTACACTTATTGAAGCAACACATTGTAAACCAAGCATGACTTGATGGATAGTTCTTAGTTATACGCCTTGTTTGGTTTCAACATCCATCCAAGGGAGATGAGCTGGTTTCAGAAACGTAAAAGATTTGTCTAAATACAGTATTATCCCCCAATGTCTTCCAACCAGTCCAAATACTCCACAAAAGTGTGGTTTAAAAAATGCAATGCTTGTCATAGTACATTCAGGATTTGATCCCAAGTAAAACGTCTTTTCAGTACATAAACAGTATATAGCAGAGGCCGGACTCTTTTAAATACAATTAAGTTAAATATCTGTTCGTACTAAGAATTCATAACGGACGTCTTATGAAAATAAGATACTCGCTGGAGAGTGTTTTCATTTGAAATGTTTTTGTCTCTTGTGTGCTCCAGAAGTTTTAGTTTGTTGTCTTTTTGGGGGTTTTGCCAAATTTAGCATCAAATCCGAGACCTGAAAAGCAAAAAGCAGAGATGTGATTAAGGAGCAAAGAATCGTCAGATTAACAAAAAAATACAAACAAAATGACAAATTCAAACAATACAAATACAACTGTTTCAGCACTCCGGCTTCTTTTCCATCTCTTCTTGTATTATATTCACAGACCCCTTCAATTACACTCTCAATGCACAATTTACATTATATTACATTACAGGTCATTTAGCAGACGCTTTTATCCAATAGCGACTTACATTACACTTTAAACCCATGGCTTTTTCACATTTTGCCCGGGGAGCAATTAGGGGTTAGGTGTCTTGCTCAGGGACACTTCGACTTGAGACATGGGGCAGCCAGGACTTGAACCACCAACCTTGCGGTTCCCAGCACACCCGCTCTACCCCCTGCGCCACGACAACCACTCGACCACAAGGGTTTGCGTGGGAAGCCGTGGCAAATATTCCCTGATTGTAGCTAATCGCTTGTTATAATAAACACATACGGTCACCGGCTCAGGCTGCAGTTCAAGGCTTCAACCGTGTTCTGTCGAGCCTCTGCTAGCATTACAGGCCGTCATAGATATTAAATCAATCCTGTTTAACAAGAATTTACTCTCACCGAGGAACACGAGGATGGTTCCAAACCACTGCATCGTACTCATGACGTTGCCAAAGAGGATAACTGAGCCGAGGATGGTGAAGAACTTCCTTGTGGTGGTGACGATGGAGCAAGTCAGAGGTCCAAAGTACACCACCGTCATGAAGATGAAGGTCTGGTAAGGGAGTAAGACATAAAAAACAATAACACTTATTTGGAAATATTATTTGGGACATGCATTTCAAAACTTTGATCAAGGCAAAGGACTTCTTCCAATGCTGCAACAACACGAACTATCCTCTCACACGAGGATCCACCCACCTGTCCGAGAGCACTGGTCAGTCCGAACAGAACGATATTGTAGATGATACTGGGGTGCCGTTCGGTGAAACTTAGGAACTCCCATATTTCCCCTGTCGACAAAACCGCTGAGAGCAAAGAGGAAGAAAGTGTCAATAGGAAATTAAAATGATGTCGTCGCAATAACAACTCGCTGATTGAACCCAACGTCTCATGTGTGGAGAAAGTCAGACCATCGTGTTCGTTGTGTGGCCATGCGGCACCACCAAGTGGTGTAAAACAGCAACAGCGCCCAGATGGAGCCTCGGTGCGGGGATGGGTGTGTGTGTGTGTGTTGTGTGTGTGTGTGTGTGGGGGAGGGGGGGGGGGTTACTGGATTTACAATAGTAAATACCAGCATTTCAAAGCAAGCAGGGTGTCTTAAGTTAAGCGCACAAACTAAACCCAAGGACCTCCGAAGGCATTTTAATTCAGCCTGAAACTGAACTTCTCACTTTTCAAACACCAATATAGATTTTCTGTTAATGTAAAATGGTAACATGAAAGTGAAGCCTATGTGCCGGACAGAAGGACTCTCACTAAGAGATAGCAGACACTGCCAATTAGTCTAGTAGGAATGATAAGCGTCTCCCAGTCCTCATCCTTGCGTTGACCTTGTGATTGTTATCGTCCTTCCCATTAGTGCCTCACCTTGGAAAACCTCTCATTATGTGAGATTTATTTTATGTGTCTTAGTCTTCAGTATATCAGAGCAACCTCCTCACAGAATTGAAAGCTTTGAGGTGCAGAATTCCCCATCTATACAGATAACACTGAACTCTTCACAATGACGAGTTTCCGCTCCTCAGAGAAGTTTTTTTTCTGTAAAGAGCCTCTAACGCAGCCATTTATGGTTTTGGTCTGGATTATTTTACCAACTTGGTATGCCACTAAATATTGTCAAAGCGATATGACATACAGTGCAGCTGCTGTTTAACAATAGGGCAGCAATGATCATCATTAAGGCAATGTTGCACATTAGCTTCTCCTCTGGCAAGTTGGACTCACCGAGCCCCAGCACCAGAGTGGACCACAAGTTGATGTTCAGCATCATGTGGTTGGCACTGGTCTGGAAGCGAGCCCTCATGTGGTCCTGAGCCACACCGGTCAACCCGTCCAATGTCAGAGAGACTAGCTGCAACACACAACCCCCCCAAGCCATGAGACTAGTGTCACAGAAATGTCACAGAGGGGCAGCAGCAGGGAGATTTAGATTGATGGGAAAACATGTCGCAATAACTGGAGCACGGGTGAGATGGATGGAACATAAACGCCGTTTTTAGACTCACCAACAGAATCTCTCCAAACCCAAAAACATGGTCATCTGCAACAGCTGAGCTCTTGTTGGGTTTATAGAGGAACAGCGCTACACCGCTCACAATAAGCAGCACACACAGATACTTAGCCAGCGGGTACTTCTTCCTCAGTATAGTCACACCGAGGATCATCACTGCAACAACACAACAACAGCATGATAGACGAGGTGTTTTAAGCCTTGGTTACCACGGAGACGTCGCTCAGCTTTGAGGTAAACCTAAACTGGCTACAGGCCTTCGCCCATGAGAGGGGAAAATCTGGATTGTGAAGTTTTTTTCCACACTTGAAGTGTGTGTGTGTGTGTGTGTGTGTGTGTGTGTGTGTGTGTGTGTGTGTGTGTTCATGGAGCAAGAGATTACCCCCCCTTAGAGTGAGATACAACTTTTATGTACAAACATGACAAAGTAAGCTGCCATATGTCCCATCCGAGCCGACTCAAGGAAATGTGCCTATTATGAACTGGCAGCTTCTGATGTGAAGTCAAGTTAGTTTGACTGATTAAAGGCTCCTTCAGATTTCGTAGCATATAGTGAAAAAAGAACGCAAATATAAAAAGAACATGTCATTACACGTTACCAGCTACATGGAATTACTTGTGCTATGATAATATAAATTTATGCTGTAAAAAAATGTATTTATATGTGACAGTCAGGTAACCAAGTGATATGATGGCCGAGAGCAGATAGCTAAATCTCAGATGTACCTGGTATGGGCTTGCAGGATTTACCCAACACCTAGAAGAAATAAATCACAGCTTTAGGATACGACAGCAGCAAGCAGTAATACATTGAAAATAATCACATAAACCAAGTATTGTTGCTGATGGGGAAGACTCACCTGTGTGGGGTAGTTGATATACTGAAGGGCCGAGTTACTGGACACCATGGCTCCGAGATAAGAGAGGGAGCACAGCCCATAGAGCCAGCTCTTGGTGTGATCCGGCTTGGAGCCCTCAAAAAATACAATCACTGATCGTGGAAGAGGAAGATTTGGATTTAGAACTAAATCACTGAGTTTTTAGATTCTGCGTATTCTCTGCACATACTCACAGATCTTAGCAAACACAGCACTGACAATGCACTGGATGAAGACCAACGTCCGGGCAAACCTAAACTTCTCCTTTCGGTCTCCCTGACCGTAATCCCCTCGAGTGCTGCAGGAGACAAGAAGACGACACTTAGGTAGGACAACGCTTGCTTGTTGGTTGGTTTCCATATTATTTAGTAAAAGTGACACTATTGCCCATAAAATAGTATTACAATCACTTGGTAAACAGGACTGCGGTGCAAAAGAACAGTTGCGAGTCCTCATTTCTGTAACCAGATATGATCTTTATCCACTTTGGGGACTCAAGTCAACGACACACCACCCGTGTGACATTTATTGAAGAGAGCTCGTTACATGACGGAATCACAGCTGTCGGGTGTGTGTGTGTGTGTGTGTGTGTGTGTGTGTGTGTGTGTGTGTCACAACGGGTCGGTTACTCACATGGTCTCTTGCAGGATACCGTAGTAAAAGTAACACACGAAGACTCCGAGGAAGCAGACGACGAACCGGACCCGCATATTGTCCCATATCGAGGCGGACCGCCCGGCTCCCCTCGCAGCAGCCATGCTGTCCTCCCCCCGCCCGGGTATGTTAACCGACACCGATCCGCTCCCCGCGCCCCGCACACCGACGTCCCGCTCCACTATACCCGCAATGACGAGCCCCGGGGGAAAGATGCTCGAGTTTGCGGGTTAGTTGTTGTTTCTGTGGTCGGTGACGTCAGCGCTCGTGCCGACTAGCGTCAATCTTCTTGTTGTGCACATCAACTGCTCGCTAACGGCACCTTGAATTGTCCACAGCTGCAGTCCGATTTCGTGTCATTGATGTATTTTAATTAATTCGAAATGAAAAAAGAAAGAAAAAAGCAGTATCCCATTGCCGCCGGGCTTCCCGTAACGAATGTGTGTGCAGAGCGAAGCTTGTGTTTTCATTGAGAAATGACAGCCTGTAATAAAGGGGAAAAGGTAAAAAGCGGCCGCGTCGGGAAATTGGACTTTATGGAAGGACCTCAGTGGTGTCCACAGCTGCGCCTGAACAAAACACATGTAATGGGGAAAAAAACAACGACAGTGACATATGTCTACCCAGATCAAACAGGAGTAAAAAAAAAAAAAAACGTTTTACTAAAGAAAATGTAATTGAAAAAATGATTGAAACGCTCGGACATTTTATTTTTTATATAAATGTACTACTGGATTATATTTATTGGTGCATTATTGTGTTTATGTGGCTGGTAAGTATGGAGCTCTTTTGATTACTGTATGTATTCCATTTGGTGGGTAGCCTGTGAAATGTTCTTCTGGGATCCATTAAGTTATTCTTAATTACACACCAACCAACTCTTCACATAAGTGTGACCACAACGTTGTACTTTTCATATATTTAACTGGCTGTGTGAGCTTGCCTACAGTTCATATTTCACCGGTGCATATTGTTGTTCTTGTTTAGTAATTATCTTGTCATGTGGCAGTTGCAAAGGCAGCTATTACAAAAATATACGGTCCTTTTCTTGAATACGTCGCATGGCTTTTTGTCGTCGTAGGATGTGGATTAAATTCATTGGTCCATGTGGTGCAACAGCGATCATTTTTCCTCTCCTCGACCAATCACAATGACAAGTTTGGTTTAAAGGGGAGTGCTTCGTTTTAAAAAACGCAAATCCACGTGTCCAACGCGAGTAACAACAACAACCCCCACAGTAGTTATAAAAATATATAAAAAATATATTTACATGCCGAGAAAACGTGGTAATTCTGCTCAGTGCCACATTAAACAGTTTAAGTATTAATAGGCAAAGTTTTAATAGGGTGAATATTCAGTTCAGAGGAAATACCCGGCTGATAAATCTTACCTAACTGCAGGTATATTTTTTTATTTAGCGTTAATGCTGATCAAGACAGATTTCATCCATTTAGTTCAAATGAAGGGACTCAACCTCTTTCATATTCAAAAGAAATATTGACATAAAGAGTTCCGATTGGACAAAAGACACCCAGGACCACTCAAATTCTAAAAAACTTGACAAAATTGCTTTGGTTTGGTTTGAATAATGCCCTCTGCCTGTGAGTAGAGCTACTAACACCTGCGTTCCTGTCTATGAACAATACAACGTTAGGTTTGTTGTTGTTGAGTGAATACAAAAACAGTACTACCAGCCTCCTTATAAAGATACAAATATATATTTATATATCTTGCTTGAATTACATATGTAGAAAAGCAGGCCATAATTAAACTCTAGGCCAAAAAGGCTAAACCTTTTTCACAACACAATTTCTAAGGTTAAAGGAACAAACCCATCAAGTACTCACATTAAGCTGAAAATCAAACTAAACAATTCTTTGTTTGACTTAAATGGTAGTAAAAAAGCAATATTTGTTTTGTAAGTGCTTGGATGGTTGACTCTGAATACACCTATTTGGACATTAAGAAGAAAACATCCCCAGCAGACTGCAGTCTCTGTTTGGACCGCTGACACATAACTAAAAGAGAAAATAAAAACTTTTAACAACATCAGCACTCATTCAGTTGTAAAACCGTTTCACTATTTTCCAACAGTATCAGCTAAAACGTTTTCATACAGTGGAAATAATCAGTAAAGCAGCCAGATTCAAGGCTAAAGTTCATCTAAAGCATCAGTCCCAGAGTCTCATATTTTGATCACAGTGATCATGGTCCATGCAGCAGTGATTAGCCATGTGACCACAGGCATCTGATGGCAGATAAAGCACATCCAGTTTGTGTGGGTTCTGGCAGTACCGCGTGGGTCAGTCCTGAGAGGAGGCTCGGCTCAGACATCCACCTACTGCGTGCCCAGGTGCCTCGTGGGAGAGGCCTGACCGGGGCAGCCGGTGACCGGAGAGACCGACAGGCCGCGGAAGAGGAGGTCCATGGAGGGCAGAAGAGGCTTCAAGAGACTGACAGGGCAGAAAGCGGAGCCTCCGTGGGGGGTAAAGTTAACTTTATTGGGGTCAGGGCAGGACGGCTGGAGGAGAGGCTCGTCCTGACAGGCAGACCTGGAGAGAAAAGGCCGTATGTACAAAAGAGTACGGGTATCAAGGGTTTAAAAGCCAAAACTTTGCATTTAGTTATACACATAATAACATTTTAATAACGATTAAGTCTGCTGTTGGGAATCATTATGATTGATTTAAATTAGGAAATGTCAGAATCACAAGTTCCGTAAGTGAACCAAGTTTAGGGAAATTTCCACATGATATTAAAAAGCGAAATACTGGTAAAAAAAAAATATATATATATATATATATATATATAATTAGGGAATACAAGATTATATGATGAGTTAACTTACGTTCCCTCCTCACACACTCGTACTCGCTCGCAGCCTTCTGGCGGCTCGCGCTGGAAGGAGTAGGTTTTGCTGGGACGAGGAGCGGAGGAGCAAGGCTGCAGCAGAGGAGGATCCAATGCAAACGAAGGGAGAGGCGTGGACGGGGCGGGACACGCCGTCTCACAGTCCGCCGGCTCTGCAAGAAACGACGGAAACACTCAAACCTTTATTAATAATGCAAAAAATACACGTTTGAAAACCTCACCGCACACAAAAATAAGAAAGAGTTGTCCCACCTGGCTCTCCCATGGGACAGGGGGACTGTGATGGAGACAAATTAGACGGGTTCAATGGAGAGGGGGAACTTGAGGGAGACAGAAGCGATGGATCTAGAGGAGAGGGGGACTGAGAAGGAGAGAAGAGGGAAGGGTCCAGATCCAAGGGGCCGGGGGAGGGCTCGCTCTGTGAGCCACTGCTGCATCTCTGCACAGGGACGGGGGCCCTGTGGCCGTCTGGGATATCCAAAATCTGTAGAGATCAGGGGTAAACAAGTGAAGGAGTCAGAGTAGCTAAAGAAACAACACACAGTGTGGTGTGTTTTCCCATCTGGGAAACGTTACTATTGGTGTTTTGATGATGTGACACTTGACTTGCTCTGCCGGTACGTGCAGGAAGTATATTTTTTGAGTACCCCAGGAGGTTATGAAACCAATCTCAGGATCAAATTATATATATTTCTTTTTTCTTGTTACGACAGAGCTGAAGCTGATTGTTAAGCTAACTCAACTTAACCCTCGGTGGTTGGCAGTGTAGCTCAGTGGCCTCACCTCATGCTGATCCTCGGGTTTCTCAGAAACAAACGCCTCCTCCAGCTCTAAGTTGAGGCCTTCAACGCTGCGTCGCAGCCGCGGAGCGAGTCTGTTCAGCGGCGTCTGGAAAAAAAAAAACAAGTCAAAAACAGGGGAACGGACTGGATTCACTTTGTTTATGTCGTACGGTGCAGGTGAGTCGCCGCCACGGAGGACAATATGTGGAAAATGGAATTGGAGCCCTCACAGTATTTGAAAATGAACATTCATCAAATGCCACAAAAGAAAGCCAAGTGCAAATGTGAGATTTAGTTACATGGTTTAGATAGTTTAAAAAAAGAGAAGACTAGTATTCTGTAGGTTAGGTCCTCATTGCGGGTGTATAACAACTATAAATCTGTCAATTCAGTTTTCAGCTGTGAAAAGGAGAAAAACAACCGTCATGTAAAATAAATCTGGAGTTAAAAATTCTATTCAGCCGCTTTATTTTAGGAGTCGAGAAAAGGTTGGTCATTTTTAACTGGCAAAGGCCAGGCTATACAATAAGTAAATATGGCATTAAAAGGAAAAAAGAACACGGGCTACCTGAGTGATGCCTGCAGCGTGACCCGCTGACAGGGGGTGGTGGGGTGGCTCGTGCCCTGCCGGCGGAGGGACATGGCGGGAGCGCTTCTGCAACTGGTTCCTCAGCTTGGCAACCTGAGGGACGGAGGGGGAGCGAAGGGAGGATTCAGGAGGCACGATGATTCATTCTGAAAGGGGAGCGTTCACTCGCTGCCCCCCCGTGTATTCTGATTGTGTTGTGCAGCACCAGAGGAAGGGCGCAGAACGGAGGGTGCGAGTATCAGGGGGAAAACCGGAAATCTGATTTAGTGATAAATGGCCACTTGCCTCCCTCAGGTGCTCCGCGCTGCCCCATGAGGCCGAGCGCTTGTGTCCGCCGGCGCTTCTCCTTCCTCGGGTCTCCTCTGTCCAGGAACTTGGAGTCTTTGGAGAAAAAAAATACCACATGATTACACTGTGGTGAATAAAGAGTCCTGTATTTGGGGACTTTGGTGCAAAATGGCCCCTGTTTTTCGGCAGCAGTCGAGGTCCTTTTACATTTTCTGTTAAACTCAGTGCACTTCCAACAGACGCTGCAGCTTCAGAGCACAACACAGAAGTGACGCCCCACAGCTGTCTTTCACACCTGCCCCACAGCAGCTGTACAGAGGGAGAAAATCCACCCAGAGCTGCAAAACAGGTCCGCTTCCACACAAACCCAAACCACATCACGGTGTGACTATAAATACAGTGCAAGTACCAGCATACAACGCCTCGCTGCACTTAAACACACGCACGCACCAAGTAACCTTGTTGTTCACAAAGTTACGCACTTCTTCTTTTGTCAGTCACCACTCACAACTTTCACTCGTACGTCCGTACCCATTTCTTCACATTAACTCTGGATTTTCTACCCGAGGGCGCCGGGTCGACCGCTCCCGGACGCAGACTGGGAGCAGACGGTTGGCAGTTCATCACCGGCAGGTGAAGGCCAGGGTTGAGTTGACCCACAGGATCAGATCAGTCACGGTTCCGGTGCCGCTAGTCAAGCGGTCCACGCGTTCGCTGGGCCCCTCACTGGGCGTCTGTGCCATTCACAAGGGGCAGCCGACATTACACATTTAGCCCTCTCCGTCTGCACCGCGGCTATGTCATGATTTGCTGTCCCCCAAAATACCCGAGCCGCTCCTCTGGAGTCGGCCTCTACATCTCCAGAGAAATCTCATTGGTTCCTTCGATGCCGACAAGATAACACAGACACCAGCTCGTCCCGTCCGGTCCACTCATACGTAAGGCATCGCCCCGGCTAAATGAGTCGGAACGCGGCATGAGTCAGTCATAAAGTGACATCGGTGTAGAGTTACAGCTGCCAACGCAGCTCCCCCCCCCCCCGAATTATCTAACACCAACAACCCCCACCCTGCTTAAACGCGAACAGGGGGTGCATGGGAGCAAACCTATAAAAAGACTCATCATCATTTGGTCTGGCTAGTGTTTCCAGCTCATAGGGCTCATTTCGTTAAGGTTCAACCGTCCAAACCGCAACATTTTAAACTTACTAACAAACAGAGAAGTGGCAGATCCACAAGTTTGGAAGACTTGAGGCGAAGAATATTTAGGTGTTTGCTCGATAAACGCCTGGCACATTAACTTGGTTGTCACAGATCTCGGCGATTATTTTCTGCAACGATGCCATGTGGTCATAGTTTGTGTTGTTATTGGTTTGCTTTGTGTTACATAAATGTGGATATTTCTCCACACGCATGCGCGGCCATCTGTAGCCCACAGGACAATTCTTACCCGATAAGGAATGAAACAATGAGCTATATCATCTGGAGTAATGGCGAGGGAGTAAGGCAGAAGGAGGTGCTGGGTGGGCGGTGGAGGTCGGCTGCATGTGTGTGTGGCTGGAGAGAGTGCTGGGGGATGGGGTGTCTGTATAATGAGGTCAGGAGGGGTTTGTTCCTCACAATGGAGGCAATGGGGGGTTCTTTCGGGTTTAAACTGTGTCATAGGCGAAGACGAAGCCGCGGAGCTTGGGGATGTTACTCTGGGCATTGTGCACTAGTTAGGAGCAGATACAGACGAGGGGGGGGGGGGGGGGGGGGTGAGAACAGCAGAGTTTAAAGAAAAAAAACAAAAACGACTATTTACAGTTGGCTGCCTTCCACCCGCAGCGCCCAACTGGAACCACCAGACACCTGCAGCGCTGACATCAGATATCTCGTATATAGAGATCCTTAACGTGCAACGTAAGCAAAAGAGGGAAAACATTTGGTCTCCCGGCTGATTTTTTTTCTTCTTCCTGCAACGTGATGCAACAGGTCTCTTGGGTGAAGCGTTCTCGGGGCACAAACCGCCGCTGATCTAGTTTTGCTCAATTACGGCAATGACACTGGAGTGTCCCCGCAGTGTCCCGATGTGTTCATATTTACCTGCGTGGCTTTGTCATTGACGCAGGTGATGGCCGGGATCTCTGCCTCTTTGGGCCAATGTCCCTGCAGATAGGGAGCGACGATGGCGTCCAGGGACAGGGTCCGGCGGATGGTGGGCCTCGGCGGGCGAGCTGTGGTCCTGTCGGCTTTTCGGGCAACACAAATGAAAGCACATTAACGTCACAGATCACGTGGGTGCCTCGGAAGCCAGAAGTCACTGCTTGTCCGAACAATGACGGCCTTCCAGAGAAAAATCATGCCTGTGTGACACTGGATGCAACACTGGATGTGACATACATATATGTATGATATGAATATATATATATATGATACATACATATCATATCATACACATATATATATATATATATATATATGTGTAACTCTGTTTCAAAGACACTCCCTTTTAAACAGCATCGCAACACTAGTCGTTCACAAAATTGCTCCCAGGCTTCCTCCCCACCGGATAGCATGCAGTGTGCGGCGCTCCATTTGTGTGCGAGTGTGCGTGCGTGTTGGCAGCTCTTTGTAATCTCTGGCAGGTGTGGGCCATGCCTTTGACCTGGAGCAAAGCCATCTAACTACACAACACTGGCAACAGTCCCCACAGACTACAAATACGTCTACCACAAACAACACACGCACGCACAGCGTGCTGTCATGTTGCAGGGCAGACTGGATGTATAAATAAATACCAGTACATGCAGATGTGAGTGGCACAGTTACAGTACAAGTCGAATAGAGAGGCTGCTGCGTTAGCGTGAAGCAGAGATCCCACAGGTCAGAGTGCAAAGAGGCGACTCAGTGTCCAAATAACATTATGAGAGCAGTGTTATGTTTCAGGGTTAAAAGCCTCCATTGTTCAGCTAGTCAACAGTTCCCTGAATTAGAACGAAAAGGCCTTTTCCTTAATAATAACAGTCTTGAGATCCAGTCTGTTGGGTTCTGTTTAAATAAATAGTTGCTTTACTTTTCTAACATGTGTTGTAAATGAGTTAAGTTACAATTTAAGGATTCATCCACACTTTTTTTGTCATTCAAAGTTGTGAGTGCCTGAGGACGGCATTTCATTCTGCAAAACTATTATTGCTGTTATTGATTACTCTGCTAATCAATTTCTCCAATCATCAATTGGTGTCCATCATAGTTTTTTTTAGAGCTTTAGAGCTTATAGTCTTTTTTTCAAAACCTACAAATTTTTTGTTTTCACAATATAACACAGAGAGAAGCAGCGCACTTCCTCACACTTTAGAAGCCGGGACAAGAAAAGATTTACTTAAAACCCGACTCAAGCATCAATGGGTTGTCAAAATAGTTGCTGATTAGTTTCCTGTGTCAGTTATTCTTTTAGGCTTTTTTGATACAATACACAAAAAGATGAGTCATATGGACGGAAACGGGACAGTCCTCAAACAAAGAAATTCTTGGTCCACTAACAAGCACTGGTTTACTAATCAATTAGTCAATTTGATGGAAAAGAGTTTGTGTGATTTCCCCACAGAGAATCACACCAAAAGCCCCACTTGAAATCTTATGTTTACCAGAGATGTGCTTAGAGGTTTCTTGGAGGGGAAAAACAAGTAGCTGAATGAAAAAAACTTAAATGACCCAAAAAACTAGTTAGTGGTCAGGGCCGCTCTAGAATAAATCTACTAAAATTAACTCGTAACATCATCATGTGGAACCAAATTACGCTTTAAAACCCTGGACCACATGGAGTCTGCAATGACCCCCCCCTCCGCCCTCCCTCCCCCAGAGTGTGCATTTACCCGTCTTGACCTCCCTGCACAGGAGAGCTGAGCCCCTCTGGAGCTGGTACGGGACCGTGGCTCTCAGGGGCTGCAGACTGGCGTTGCTGCAACCCCGAGGCGCTCCTCCACTTCTGCCCGACATCCCCACTCCGAGCTCCGCTTTTCAAAACACGCGCGGACACGCACACACACGCACACACACACACACACACAGACACACGCACGCACGCACACGCGGCTCCGCTTTTTCTTCTTCACTTCTTCCAATGCAACCGTGCGCCGCGCTGACTCCCACTCGGTCCGCATTCAGTTCATCCACGAGGACGATCCAAAACTCCGATCGAGCCTCTTGTCGGGCACCCAGCTTGAGCTTTCTTTTGTGAAGATGACCATGATTCCTCCTGCTTACTTTCGGGTTGAAGGCGCAGAGAGAGAGGGAGAGAAAGAGGTGGGATCTGAGCGCAGCAATGCGCTTTAACGCATCCTCGTGGATGAATCCTGACGTCGCGGTGTGAACGCGGTCGCCGCTCGTTGCGCTCGTCTCTGCAGAGTGACAACACAACAGGTCGGATCAACCCGAGGCAGCCGGGCGGTGTGTGAGTCCGAGGGAGGGAGATCTGGTTGGTTGCTGCACAGTACTACTGAGCACGTATTGGTGTTCACGCCCATCTGTCTCCTGAAGAGACCCCCCCCACACACACCCTCCTCATAAAGAAAAATTAATGCTCCCTTACACTTACATACATTTTTTTCATAGCACCTCCCCTCCTATCCTTCAAGCTGGTCAAGTTGGTCCAAACCTTGGGGTCTACTCACTAGGGTGTGTATGGTCTTAAAAGTGTGGGTCAGGGACCCCTAAAGGGCACTACAGGGTCTCAAAGCGTTCTAACATACCTCATAGAAGAACGGATCAGGTTCCCAGAGGGGCATATAGATGTAGCTATTTCAAGCACGTTATAACAAATTGCATGATTTTCATGCAATCAAATTTCATGATGAGTAGAATAAACAAATAAAAATGACATTGAGTTTGATATCATTGCATTATGTTATGTCTAATTAACTAGTTTTGCTATTAAAACATATCTAAGTCAGGTTTATGATAGTTTCAAAGCTTTTTATCTTCGATGTATTACCATTGTAGCAAATTAATCACCAAGATTATGTCCACTGTATTAGCTAAATCTTCCAATAACACAAACCATAATTGATAAAAAGAAATTGTTTAAATAACAACTAAAAGGCTTTGCGTAGTCTGTTTACTATTCTGCCCAATGTTTGTTTCACTGTTCTCATAAAATACACATGACATAGGGAACAGTGTTGGACAACAGCCCAAGAAGGTCTTTCACTTAAACACCACATACAACCGGATTCGGTCCACATCCAGATTTTCTCATAATCTTCATCATAAGGGGGTCAAAGGTCACGGCGTCCAGGCTCTAAAACCAGGAGACCCACAATCTAACAAATATAATATCTAACAAATAAGAGGATTTATCAATAAGTATAAAGTAAGTGAAAATTAGTCAAACTAAAAGGATGGGAGGGACCTCAGGTCAGCGGTTTGGATGGATGAGATAGTTCTGCTGTGCGAGCAGCAGGGAAATAACCAAAAAGCCTCATCACAGCGCTGTGCAGTGAGAGGAAAACACCAATAGTGGCTGCTGCTCAGGTTTTCATGCGTGGGGCACATCGGGCCCCGGTGGCTCCAATGTCGCTATTACTGCTAATGCTATTGAATGCTATTAATGCTATTACTATCCAATCGGGTCTGCAGCCTCGGAGATGGAAAGCACAGGAGCAGAAGAGCCACAACGGTCTATCAGAATTCTACAGAGAGCTGCAACGCAGGTGGTCGAGGCTTCAGCATCTTGGAAATGGACACGCCAGCAGGATGCGTGAAAAGAATATTCTGTATGCATCTGGAGGAATCATTTGTGCAACCTGGTCTAGTTTGTTAAAAGATTGATCTCGTATTTGTTATTTAGGCAACCATTCGTTTTCCGTGTGAGATCCTCAAGTTATTTTTTAAGAATTAACAAGCATTTGGGGGATTTATGCGTTGTGTTACACCTGACAGCGGTGAACCACAAGATGGAGCCAGAGCACATGTGTCCCATGCAACACAAACACAAACAGACACTCATAATGGAAAAAGGCAGTTTATTGCAACACAAACCCAACAGAAATAACTCTAAATATACATGTAAAAAGAAAAAAGATAAAATAAGAGAAGTGAACGTATGCTGTGCTGTAAGATTGGATTAATTCAATAATTAGCTGCACAGATTTAAACAGTGTTTGATTATTCAAGCAAGAATGATCCCAAATCCGTCACACCCATAACACTTACTTCTTAGTGCTAAGTCACTGTGAAGACAGTCTGTAAAAACCCATTCTATTCCTTATATGGATTATCTGTATCTCTTAAAATGATCATCACATCTCTTTTTGGGAGATCCAAAAGGCTGCATGTGCCGTTTTAGTCACTTTCTGACAAGAAAATCCAATAGAGCAGTTGCACAAACACTATGGGGGAAGAAAGCTGATATTCAAATAAAGAGCGACATAAGAGTACAATTTAAGGAAAGAATGGGATGCTTTGGATAAAGGTGTGACAGGAGTTTGCAGAGCGATTGCAGGATTTGGGATGAAGAGATTCACAGAGAGGACAAAGTGGTCGAGGCAGAGCGATTGAGAGGAGTTGAGCGGACGAAGGCGAAGAGAAGGGAGGGAACCAAAAGCATGACGGATCCTTTCAACTTCATGGAGACTTCACTGTATGTGTATACAAAAATCCAGAAATGGAGTCATGACTTCCCTGTTCTCACAGAGCCGTGGACGGTCTTGGAGGATTATGGAAGCGGGGTTTTTCGTCGGGTTTGCGGTCAACGCAGCATCACCAGGCGGGACGGGCGGAAGGGGTTCAATCTCCGTGGCTGGTCGGGAGCTAGCTGGGAGTGAGCGCCGGGCTGGGTTCCGCGCTGATGTTGACCAAACACTCGCTGGACTTGAGGCTGGCCAGCGACTTGGAGCTCGGCAGGGAGGCCAGAGAGCCACAGAGACCCAGCATGGAGGGAGTATTGTCTTTTCCTACGGAGACAAAACAGCGCAAAAAAAGCACAATAAAAATGAGCCTCTGATGGCGCATACTTCGAGCCGCCCACGGCAAACGCCATCAACAGCCATCAAGCCTGTCTTTGTGCGAGTACGTATGTACACGTGCATGGGTGGCCGCCTCTGAAAGGGTTTTTTGAAGCAGTGGAAACAGAGCGAATGAATTCACACTCAAGCAGAAATGTTACTTTAAGCCTGCGGTCCAATTTAAATGTTCTTAATGACTTAGAGGTAAAGCGCAAAATGTAATACAGTGAACTACAGTCCAGTAAATATGAGTTTAAATGTGGTGAACATGATGGGATGACTGTAGTAGGAGTGAAAGCATTTGCACCTGCTGAACTCCAAGCAAGGTCTCCGTTCTGTCTCCCATCGGTTATTTGGGAGTCAGAGTTCAGACTGACTTCGACGGAAAGTTGCTCCAAACTGTGGAAACTCCTCCTGGGTGGAAAAGAAAACACTATTATGGCACAGACATCGGAGGTTCTCTACATTAATTGATAATCTATGAGGATCTGTTTCTTATCCTCATTTATAATCTATAAGGATCTGCTTATTATACCCGGATGCGTGTTTTTGACCAATAGGGATAATATATTTAGATTTATGAATAAAATATAATAATGTTGAAATATAAACCCACTGTTTGTACGTTTACCTGCGGAAAAGCTTGACATCGGACTGGTTGTTTGTGATGACGGACCACTGGTTGACCAGCGGGATGGAAAGATCTTTAGCCAGATGGGAGGAATCACAGGGCACGAGGGCCGAGCTGCATGAAGCACAGAGTGCAAATAAGTCAATTCAGAACTGATGCTTAGCGACAAACAAATATGAGCCTGAGCGTTCAAAGAGGCAGTAAAAGGAAAAAGATCCCCCATCTTTATTTTAATCATCTTTGAAGGAAAATGACAATCTCTTTTCATTCAGTAAAATGTTCCATCACAATAAAGACTGTTTGTAGTTTTATGATTCTTTTTCTCCAAACGGACCCCTTTTCTAGCTGGTGTCGGCCTTCTTATCTGCACAGAGGATTGCTTTCTTTCGCTGCCGTTTGCATCACTTTTAATCTTTTAAACTTTAAAAAAATGCACCACAGGATGACACCAGTGCTCTGGTGTTGTTTTTGTCTGTCACGTGGTTGTTGCGCCGTTTCTCACAGTTGTGCCTGCAGCTCGAGCACGACGGCCTCCAGCTCCTTCTTCTCCTGTTGGCTCTGGACCGCCTGCTCCTCCACCTTTGCTCTCAGCCGCTTGTTCTCCGTCTCCACGTTCTTCAGCTGCGACTCCCGCAGGCGCACCAGCTCCTCCAGATAGCCCTGCAGCATGTGAGTGAGGACACAGGGACTTGTACTCAGAAACCCATTGTGAGAAAACACGGCATTAGACCGCGGCTGCTGTGCGTCACCTTCTGGGCGTAGACGATCTTAAACCTCTGCTCCATCTTGCGACACTTGTTGCTCCAGCTCTCCTCGTCGGTCACCAGAGGGATGTAGGGGTGCTCGGGGACACTCTCCTCGCTGTTACTGCTGTCCACACTGTGACGGTCCTCCTCATCGCTCAGGTAGTCGTAGCTACGCAGCCGAGAAGGCGACAGCGTTACGGCGTCACACGTGCACACGGACGCGAAGGTAAACCTGGAGGGGCACGATCAGTCTCACCTCTGAGTGAACTTCAGGTAGGGTGTGTAGTCGATCACAGCTGAGGATTTCCCATCCAGAGTCTCCCCCTTCAAGCAAAAACTACACAGAGACAAAGGTTACTTGTTTTGTGTTTTGTATTTTACAAAACATCAATAATAAGACAAATCCTTGTCCTTTCCACATTAATCAAAGTAGTTTAATTGTACCTGTTTTTATCCACATGAATATTTCTGTGCATTGACAGCAGCAAAAAACTCAAATTATTTGTATGTTCATACTTACTTTGCCATCAAAATTATTCTGATGATAATTGTATCTGTATAATCTGTACTCCTAAACTAGAATATGCCATATTCAAATCTACTTCAGGACTTTTTAAATTCCTAAATACTGGGCTTAAAACAAAGGAGCAGGACATAAAGGGTTATTCAAATACCGTACAAATATATATATATAAAATTACTTTAACATTTAAAGCCTCTGTATATCAGAGTCTGCAGCGGGTGTCTTCACCTGAAGTCAATGGCACTCAATCCGATCAGCATGCCAGTCAGGACTTGGGCCTCTTCTCTCAGCATGATGGCCCCATCATCATAGAACCTCCTGTCAGGTAAAGAGGTAGTTATTATCTCTTCAAGATAAATGAATGATAGACGGGCATCTACCTGCGTTTAATAGTACATTTCATTTTAAACATCTGGAGCAGACCTTTACACTGACAAAGTCATTAATGATTCATGTACAGCGTGAAGGTATAGCTGAGAATAAAAAAAGAAATTGTGACATGATGTCATTCAAATCTTTTGCTTATTGTCCATATTCAAAATCTGTAGTCTGACCTGGTAGTTCTCGTGTCCCTCAGAGCAGTGGACACATATTCGGACAGGCGTTTCTCCATCAGAGCCACTCGAATCCAGGCGCGACCCTGTGGGAGACTTAAGAAGTGAGCAGGGACGGAGGGCTTTCCTTGCTGCTCTCTCTTGCAGTGTCCCACACACAAACACACTCTCACACACTCCCTCACACAGACATCCTTGCCTTTGCCCTCGATGTGCTGATCTTCTCTATGTTTTCAATGCTGGCGATGCAGTTGTTCTGCACCTTGCTGCACGCCATCCGGATATATTCCCAGAAGCTGCGCTGCCCATCTGAGCTGAACCAGCTTCCTGAACCTGGTCGGAGATTAAAGCGCAGCAATGAAGCACTCCTGCCATTACGACACTGCTACAGTGTACAATCACGCAGGGCTTTTTGTTTCCCTGCTTACGGTTTCATATTACGGTTTGAACTCAAATTCCTTTTAACTAACTTCTCCAAGTCCATCTGGTCCTGTGCTATATGTTACCCTGTAGTGTTACCTTTGAAGCGGTGGCTGAGGATGTGCTCTAAAATGGCGGCAAAGTTAATAAACTCCTCGGCTGAGTCATCTATGGGCTCTGCTGTGTACTTTTCTAGGAGCGTCTTTACCGAGAATCTGAAATAGAAGAACACAGAGAAGGGAGGGGGGCAATTAGGCAAACAATGCAGAGGATAAAACATTCAACTTTGCATGTCTATTCTTCACAAGCCGCTGAAATGCCGGCGTGTACTGTACCCGAGCAGACAAGTGTACTACTGTACTTGAACCCTGCAACAATAGCGGAGCGTTTTTTCTTTCTTGTTTAGGAACCACGCCATCTTATCATACTGAGGTCACCCCAATTGTCTTGTGTACTGCACAATGTACCCCTTCACTGCTGCGGCGGTGTTATCATGAAAACAATACAATTAACCCCCTGTCCTCTCAGCCTTTGTGCGCGCTGTCCTTCCATGTCCCTCTGGGTCTCGTCTCTCCGAGGAACCCGCCGGCATCAAAGAATGATCAAATAATTCCCTCCTCCCTCATCCGTGCACGGTGGTCTGATCTATTTAGGACAACCGCTGCTGCAGATTTAGTTTGGCTTCTGACCCTGCTCCACACCGGGCAGTAATGCAGCTTGTGTGTTAGGAGCCGGCATCCAGGCACGGGCTCCGGGTGACTGCCGCCGCTTCCATGGGAAACACTAGCATCACCGAGGGCAAGACTGCCCTGGCAGTGGGAAGCACCTCCATAGCCAGGGGAAAGACGACTGTAGCCATGGGCAACTCCTCCATCTTCAGGGGAGTGACCACCACCTCCATGGGAGACTCCACCATCCAAAGGCAAAAGACGACGGTGGCTCTGGGACGGGCCAGCTTCAGCCGGGGAACCACAACCACGTCGTTTCGCAAAGCCTTGATGTCCAAGCGCGGGACCACCTAGATGGAGAGGAACCCTGAGGCCGGGGCCAGGACACCCAGGGAAGCCAAGCCGCCCAAAAAAGACGCTAACAATGAGTGGAAAACCACATTCCTGTCAAGCAAGACCTCCTTCACCAAAGGCAGCGTTTCGATCCTGAGGACTAAGTACGCCATCTCCTGGGGAAAATTCTCGGTCTTCTGGAGCAGAACAACTGTAACTTTGGGCCGCATCAACATAGCATTGGGAAAAACCACCGTTACACGAGGGGAGACCACAAGCTCTCTCACCACGCTGACCTTCACCCATGGGACCAAGTCCGTGTCTGTGATCAAAACCACCCTGATCAGGGGCACGGAAACGCACAGCAACATCTACTGGGATTTTCACTCATGATTCCTGCACACTCTTAAAAACACCCACGGATGTTTTTAAGAGATCTGGTCAGTTTTAACAGGTCAGTAGTAGTAAGAGTCAAAAAAAGAAGAAAAAGAGGAGCTGCTATTTTTGTGATCTGTTACCTGTTGGCAAAGGTGAATTCCCCAGTAAGAAAGTGCAAAGGGGAGTGAACTTCTAATGAGTTTGCAATCAAGAGTGAGATTTTCCAAAGCCATGTTGAGCGTGTTATGCAAATGTGACAGTGAGGAGATGACGGTTTATGGTGTGTCTTCTTGGCAGGGAGGGGAAAGTGTGAAACTGCTGTGTGGGATGTATGTGGAGGGACACAAGAGAGTGTGTGTTTTTTTCACCAACACTGTTCTCCTGTATGTTGTGCATGTACAGTCATCACCATGTGGACATCTTTGGTACAAATGTGGTATTTTTGTGAATGCCGATAAAATTGGTTGATTGCCGCATTTCCATAACCACCAGAAAACACAGCTTTAAACTAGACAACTGTAAAGCTGGTTGATGTAACAATGCTTATAAAAGTAACATGCCTAAACACTGCTTGGCTTGATTGTTTTGTAAAAGGAGGTTTTTTTTTAAGATACTATATGTTGAGGATTGATCCTTGAAACATAAACGGTAGAAAGCAAAGACTTCAGTGCTGTAATGAGTTGGAAACAGTTCAGCGAGGACACGTTCTGCTAGTTAACACCAACTGAAGGAACCACACCCATATGTCCAATGGAAGCACGATACAAATACAGGAGGGGTGCAATCAAAGCCTAAACTAGGACGTGAACACATCCATCTTTTCTGTTATCAAATCGGACGCCGTGCCACTCGTCCCACATATGGTATGGACGTTGTACACAGAGGCTACGCTTTACAATCAGAGGCTATAGGGAACAATGGCTCAGAAGAAAGTGATGTCACCACAGATTGCCCCCTTTCCAACAATGTGTCCTTCAACCGTCCGGTGTCGTCGTGGAGATGGGACAATCGCTCCACTGTCTCCGTCCCCCCAGATAGGCTGTGGCCACCTACGGCTGCCTCTGTCCATTCACAGGCACACATGGGTGGTATGTGGCCTTCCAGAGCCCACGTCGATCATCTCAACGAAGGCATTATGCCACACGGGGGTCGTGCTATCCACGCTTAGCATTCTGGTCTTCTCTGGATTGTAGCAGATGGTTCTATTACTCACGAGGGGCAGAGAAGGACGCGCTGCATGAGTGTGCGATGCTTTGCGTCGAGTGAGCCCCGAATACCGTCGTCGAATCTGGGTAAGGAAGAAGAGCCTCTCCCAAATGGGCAATACCAGCTTCACCGAGGGGAAGACGGCCTTGACCTTGGGCAACACCACCATAAAGAGGGGAAAGTCCAAACTGGCGTTGGGAGGCTCCTCCATCACCAGGGGAAGGAGCACAACATCGTTGGGCTCCTCCACCATCACCAGTGGAAAGACCAAGATTGCCCTGGGGGGCGCCTCCTTCAGCAGGGGCTCCACCACCACCTCTTTTCGGAAAGCCATCTTCCCCAAACGCAAGACGCTCTAGATGAGAGGGGACCTCATCGAGGGGTCGGGGGATCGGCACCAAATGTCACACGAAAGAAGAAGAAAGAAGCTCCATCAAAGAGAACATTTGGACACCACTACAGCATCTGCACAGCATCTGCACAGAGCCCAGACTGGATTAGATTTGCCTGTGGACCATTGTCAGGTTTTTCGTCATGCCGGATTTATCAAAGAAACAGGTCAGTGGCATAACAATTCATTCTCATAATGTCAAATGCAAAAATGAAGTAGGTCAGTCAAGTTTCAAGGTTTAAGCTTGGAGCTGCTAGATTTTGTGTGCGTTACTCCCCACCAGCCCACAAACTAAAAACAAATCCTCCTGGCAGGAGGCGCCAGTAGGCCAGTAATCACATTTCTCAAAGGGACCTTCTACAAAGCGCAGGTGCTTCTCTTACGTTACTTTGTACGAAGAAAGTTATGTTGGAAATGTTTTTCTGCAGAAAAATTCTATTCTTTTGCAAATTTGAGATGAAGCGACCGTAGAGAGACATCAATTCTGATCGAATTTGTGAAGATATCCAATGACAGAATCATTTATTATACCAAACGACTCCTCATAACGCTTTGGTTCCCAGGGTATGAGAAGCACTGATAAACAGCTGCCAGTTTGTTAAAGAGATAACATTCAAAATCGTAAGAGCAGAAGGTTTACTGTTGAGGCACAGTTATCTCAAGAGGAACGTTACACCAGACTATTTCAAAATAACTGAAGTCCTTTGATCGGAAGGGAAATTGCGGGCGTGCCTCAAATGCAAATCGATGGAGTGGAATGGCAGAATGCTCTTGGTACGATTTGACACTGAAAAACAACTGCAAGGCCTTCTGACAAGCTTCTTTTGTGCCCCCTCTCACTCAGGCTGGATCGACGCCAAGCCCACTCTCAGCTCTCTTAAAAGGCCCCCTTGTTCTCCTTTCTAACCGCTCTACTGTACTTACACACTTGCACGAGCGTGTTTGATCCTCAGCACCACCTAGGATAACCACACCTACACATATCAGCAGTGACGGAGAATCTAAGCTTGCAACGTTTCACATTAACCCGCTCAGCTTTCATTTTTTTCTCCCCACCCGATCTCTCTCTCCTCCCTCGTCCTCTCTCTGTCTCTCTCTTTAGTCTTGGCATAAGCAGCAGGATCAGATGACACAGGCAGACTCCTCACTGGCCGCAGCATTGTGTAACCACCAGCCAGTGCTGTTGTTTATCGTCCTGGACTGTCGGGGGAGACGTCCTGTTCCGTGCCGGATCTGCACAAGCCGCCAAGATAAAGAACGCAGTGCACTTTGATAAATATTACGAAAACAAATTCAAATCTAACTAAAAGATGTGAAAAACACAACAACAGCAGGGTGTGAGTGTCTCTCTCTCTCACCGGCCCCATCTGTGAAGAATTGTCCTGGCAAAGTGTCTGGTGGTCAGAGGAGGTGTAGAGGGATCGGTGTGCGAGATGGACGGTGCGGGTTGTTGGGCTAAGAAGCGCTGAGAGTGTAAAGCAGATGTTTGAACATGACTGGGGGTAAAAATGAAGAATAACTGCGTGGTGAGAGAGTCGAATGATCGACAGAAACCTCCGCTGCAATTTCACATTCTTGGTAGTAGAAGATAGCTTGGAGAATGCCAACTAGGAGGCTTCCCTGAGACCGAATCAGTAAACAATGTTATTCCAGTCATCCAAAGATGTGTTGACATTATTCCTTAAACATAGCTATCCAATTGGCACCCTCTACTATTGCTCAGAATCTTTTAAAAGCACGACGAGCCACCCACTCGCAGAGGCATGTGCGTGAGACATGACCACGTAGTTGTGTTTACTACGGCACGGGACCTTTTATTCTCCACTTATGGAGCCTCGCCCCGGAAAGAGCTCAAGCCTCAATATGTCTCCATCGTCCCTCCTTTCACTCCCTCTATAGCACCTGACAGCAGACCTGTCCAGTCTCACTCATCCTATCTGTGTGTTCTTAGGTTCCCCCGTGACCACGGCAACAGCGATCCACCAGTCGCGGATGACGGCATGAGAGCTTTAAGCCAGAACCAATGCAACAAAACACTACACTTTTAAAACAGCACAATGTTGGCTAAGATTTAAACACACTGGAGTTGCATGAAAATCCCCCACCGGCCGGAGAAAGCATCAGACCTGCCGCGTTAAAATAGAAGCTGTCGCTAGTGGCAACAGGGCAGAGTCACAGTAGATCCCGATGACACTGCCGTCACTGTGAACATGATAAACATCACAGTGTGTTCAAAGCCATTACTAAGACAAAGCAACTTGGGGTTTTCATTGCAGTTGGAATCAGGATTTTTCTCAGGCATTTCCTCCCCGCAAAGGGGCAAATTTAATAAGCATTCCTCTCTGTAGACATTTCGAAGATGCAACTTTTTCACCTGACTGCAACAGACTCTTTTATTATTTTTTCTTTGCCATTATTATTATTGTTTTTTAGTCTCTACTGGAAAGCCTTCAAGTCTCTGACAGAGGCCTTTTTGCAGAAACTGTTCCCTGTGGTGGTGCAAATGTTTGATCAGGTTTATCATAATTATACACAAATGTCTATTGCTGTACATATGTGTTTCTAATTCAAATGGGCTCCTGCAGTTAAGTTTGACCCCCCCGTAAACAAGGCACTGAAGCATCGAGCAGACCTCTGTGCCAAGTACTGGTGACCCAGATCATGTGAATACGCTTCTCTTTTTAAAGGTCTGTGATGCCAGTTATTCGTTGTTATGCGGTAACAGAAGAGAGAACAAGTGAATTTCTTGATCCCAACCCTGAACAGAAACAACCCACATTTTTCTAAAGTCCCCAAAAAAAAGACATAACTTCAACCAACGACTGGTTGGCAGCATTAATCCCTGTGTGTGCTGATTGTATTTTAAAACATGTACAATGTGACAGTAAAGAAAAATAGGCCACACGTAATACATATGTGTATTAGGGGAAAACAAAGGCCTTCTCTGGTACTAATGTTGCACTAACGCTAGCTTAGTTACTGTAGCCGGGCAGCAGTTTGAGCTGTGGAAGTAGCTGCGCCTCAGCAACGCGATAAGAGCCCGGATCCTGCATCCTGCACCAACACGACGACGCTCAGCCTGCTTCAACACACAGCCGGGGGCCCACCGCTGATTCAGGATCTGTCTGTCCGGGGACACCGTGCGAAACACACACACACACACACACACACAACAGCCTTCGACTACTTGAATCAACTCCCGTCACAGCGGCGTCAAGAAGAAAAACATTTTTGAAAAGATGCAGAGATGCGGATCTGACAGCGACGCGCCGGATAGAAGTTGCCCTCCGACTGAACTTAATCAATGTCGTGTTGTTAATTAGAGAATGGATTAAAAAAAAAAAAAACGTTGTAGCTAGCATTACTGATGGAAAGCTGTTTGACTTTTATTTCTGTCTCGTCCTGTGTGCTTGTCATTAAAATGCTCACATGATTAAAGTGGCCCTAAGCGGTCAGGCCAACCCGAATACAACAGTGTTTTTGTCCCCTTCGCTAATCTGTGTGTTGTGCGTCCATCGTGAGAACTTGTATTTCTTCGCATGTTCCGTGTGATGTTGTGTTGTTTTGCTTCGTTGTACGTGAAACTAAAAATGCAGACGGCACCTGAAACCGAAAAGGTACTGGAATAAAAATGCTTGATTGTGTGTCAAAGTCCAGACTTTGTCTTTTTTTCTTTTTTAGGAGATTTTAATCACTTTCACTGAAAAAAGACAATTCTTAGAAAACAAAACAAAAAAAGAGATGAGGGAAAGACGTGGATGCATTACGTCAAATTGGCAACATGCACACAATCTAAGAAGCGATACGTGCCTGTCTGCAGCAGTATTTATGACTTGAGTCGATTTCAAATTTAAGACACGTAGCGATGCAATAATAACTGTAACTTTGCGACAAGCCTCCGGTGAAATCAAGGCATATAAAATACTAAAGACCAGAAGAAATTATTACTCCAAGTGAATCAAGCTATTTGCAGATGTCTACTCGGGCTCTATGAAGAGAAATATGTTTCTCTGTTTTTCATACATTTCAAGATTAAACATTACATCAATAAGGAAAATAATCAGCAGTTTGATTGATAAAGAAAAATAATTTATATTTGCAGTCTAGATTTCAAATACAGTTCACTTTACATTAGACCAAAGGGATCCAAACTCAGGGATCACAATAAATCTGAAGGTCACAGGATGATTATAGGCAAAAAAATAAATTATAGTTTACCCCTAGTGGTGGCAGTATTGAATTCAAAATAATTTTTAGTTTTTCAATGGAATTGCATCACGATGAAATCATTTATCAAGCTATTTTGACAATTTCTGTGATTATTCTTCACTTGAGTTTATAATTAAATGAGAAAACACCAGGAGGTCATTTACAAAAAGAGTAAATGGTTATTTCACACAGTATTTCTTCAATTTCACTTGAATAACCTGAAAGCCAACTATATTGTGATATGTCGACAAGATATGAAATTACCTTCATCGTGAAAGGAGATATTGGAGAAGTCTCTCAGCCCTACTCACAGATTCACATCCACGAAAATACACACCAATAACGATCACATTACGGACTCAACCTGCAATTGCGGAGTCAGAAGCAGACAATCCTTGCTTTCAGAGGGGTCGGAAGACAAATAAGGTTGGAAACTATACTCATTTATAGCACACTTCGATACACAACAGATCACTTTAAATTGTAAACTATGCGCATAAAATGACAGCACTGTTAAAGCACCCTCACAACTCTCCGAATAACATTTTAACAGTAAATTCAAGAGCTGAAATAAATTGGACATTGCATCGGTCAAGTTCACTGATGCGCATGGGTTTACAGCTCGGAGATAGTGACTGAGGAGACCGCACATCACAGTCCATGAGCATTTGCTTCACTGTGTAGGCTGGGGAACACTGATGGGAGGAGTCCTTGCGCTGCTTCCAATGCCCTTGTCCATTTCAGTCACTCAACCTCGCAGTGATGGAGGAGGCCACTTGCTGTTATTTTTTTCTCTTTGGCTTTATATTAAAGAATATCATTCCACTAGTCTAATTTATCCCTGCAACTATCAGCACAGACAGAAATAAATTAGGTGTCTCCAACTGTTAAATATAAGAATATAACTTTCCTTGCATAATGACATAGCAAATGTGCAGCCAGGAACATGCAGAAGAAAACCTGAGGGAATGTCTTAGGTTTACAGAAGAGTGAATGATGAAGGTAAGTGAAGGTGAAAATGAATCATCTTCATCAGTAGCATTACTGGAAATATATAGACCATTTTTCTGCATCATTTTCTTTTCATTGTGAGCTGGTGTTTCATCCCAAGATTGAATAAACACCCTCCATTATGGCAGGATTGTACACATATGAAGCGAACAGCATGCGGTGACCGGTGGGCTCCTCGCAGATGACGCCGTGGCTCGATTGTGTCGTGATACGTACCTGCAAACCGTGATGAGGTTTTTTCGCTCCGCACCGACGCTCCGAGCAGACGCCTTTTTTGGTGTCAGACCCATAGCCATTGCGGTGTGAATGCAGCCCGACTCCATCCAGCGGCGGCCCCGGGGCCTCTTTGGGATCCGTGCCCAGGCCAGGTCCCCTCCCTCCACGGGCCCTGTGTCCTACAAACACCCCCTGTCCTTCGCGGGGACCCACTGATGCTGCAGGAGGATGGACGGAACAGCGCGCCCCCCCCACTATCAAGTTAGAGATGTTTGAATACGCAACTTCCGGTTAGAGCTTCCGAAGTAAAATCCTCCCAGTTATTCGCGTGTGATTGGGCCGGTCGCCAAATGATGATGCTCTTATTTCCAACTTTGCTTCCGGTTTTATTTAGCATACGTCATGCATTTGGCGCAGCTGCGAGAAATGATGCCTTCAAGTATTTATGTTTACTCGCACTAAATAGCTTTCAAGAAGTAGAACGTCAGAACATAAAATACAAAAATGTTAGTCATATGTTAGTATGAAAAGCCAATAATATTTTTAAGCGCACAATTCCAAAGAGCAATATCAAGACCGTGTTTACAGTCAATTCTCCGGCAGGAGTCCAGCAGCAGACCTCCGGGCCGCCAGGGGGCGCTGTGCGGACGAAGACGGTGATTAGCGTTGGTGTTACTGAGGGGAAGATGGCGGAGTCGGAAGAGCCAAAAGCGGGTCCCTGCACTTTTCTTTTCAAAAAATCTACAAAGAAATTCTCCGGACGAAAGAGAAAAGCAAGCGATAGCGACAAAGGTACTGAATTATCAATCGGCTAGTCGTTCTTGGGTTTTTCCAGGAAGACGGTCCCGTGTGCTGCTGGTAACGCTGCGGCGTCAAAAACTAACGTTAGCTTAGTTAGCTTAACTGGCAGTTGTTTATTTTTTTAATCAACAATGACATGCACCCAATAAGAGCCAAATACGTCAACAAACTAGTTACTCTGTAAACTAAAGGAGGTGCTTATTTTATCCGTCGCAGACAGATTCCAGTTTACTAATATGTGCTGCGTTCGTGGCCCCTCGGAATTCAGTGTGTTACGACATGTTAGAGACCGACTGCATTGTGGTTTTAATTTAATACATCTTTATAAATTCAAAGTAGTTACCTGTTCAGATACTTTAAATAATTACAGCTATATTAATGTTTATATTGCATTTAGTGCGGTAATGTTTCATGTTTAAGTTGTGCTAAAGGTACCACAGTGCATCCTATTCAATAAGCTCATCATGTATTGTATCCTGTAGAACTATTTAAAAGGTCTTATTTTCTATTTGTGAAACAGCAGCTTTGTTTATTTAGCTTAAAAATACTCCATCCCTCATTTTAACAGAAAGCATCTATAGAAATAACTGACACTTGTTTCTTCCAGATGGCAACAGCGATGAGGATCAGAGCTCTGTTATTAGAAAAGGAAAAAGGGACACTCGAGTCAACCCCATGATTCAAAGGGTACTCTTCAAATGATAAGAATATTTACAAATCCATTTTGAGTTTCATAATGCGGTGAACCTGATCTGGTTCTTGTTTTCAGACAAAGAAGGTGGAGAGAGATGAAGCTTCTTCCAGTGAAGGGGAAGGAGACAAAGACGAGAAGAAGATCACTGTTGCCTACAAGTCCACACGGTCAGCAGTGAGTGGAGACCTTTCTTTCATATTACTTTATATTATATAAGAGTGGAACAAACAATTTAGACTAGTGCAATGGTTCAAATCCCCATCTCATGGGAAAGGGAAGGAGAAAGAAGTGTATTCTTCAGTGACTTGTCACAGGGCCAATGAGCGAGGTAAGTGACCTCTGAGCTGGTTTTGAAATTAGCTTTTTTTCAGCATTCCCAGTTGCTTTGTTTGAAGCCTCGTGGCTCGGTGAAAGTGCTGTACGAATCGTTCTCAGTCGTTTGCTATTCTCTCAATCTCGCCCTAAAAAAAGAAACCGGAGGGACCCGATGACATGGGTGCAACTGCTACGTATGAGCTGGACACAGAGAGAGACAACGACGCTCAGGCCATCTTTGAGAGGAGTCAGAAAATCCAAGAGGTACCGGGAAATATTCCCAATGGCACATTTTTGCAAATAGTTTACAATTTAATCCACGTTCCCTTACATGTTTTTATTATTTTTTAAGCTTATGTCCTAGTGACCGGATTACTTTTTTTTTTCATTCAACAGGAATTGACGGGAAAAGAAGATGATAAAATCTACCGTGGCATCAACAACTACCAAAAATTCATCAAGCCCAAAGATACCACCATGGGCAATGCCTCATCTGGCATGGTCAGGTGAATAATAGGGCCAGGCAATATTTAGCACATGCTTTAACAAGATACTCCTTACTTACGACTGCTACCATGCAATCCATCAGTATTGATACATGTCTTTTTCCTCAACAGGAAAGGACCAATCCGTGCCCCTGAACACCTGAGAGCCACAGTCAGGTGGGACTACCAGCCGGACATCTGCAAAGACTACAAGGAGACTGGTTTCTGTGGTTTTGGAGGTGGGTATGATATTTGTACCATTTCAAATATCAAAGTCATCCGCTGGAACTGAATAACTTACCATCTCGAGCAGTAACACTAGCGCTTTTCTCTGCTGTTTATTAGACAGCTGCAAGTTCCTCCACGACAGATCGGACTACAAACACGGCTGGCAGATTGAGCGGGAACTGGAAGAGGGCAGATATGGAGCCAATGGTGAGTTCAGGTGCGTCAAGTGAGTTTTTTTTTGTGTCTGTATTTTCTGAACAAAACTGTGCCATCTTAGATGAGGAGAACTACGAGGTGAGCAGCGACGACGAGGATTTGCCCTTTAAGTGCTTCATCTGCAGGGAGTCCTTTAAGAATCCCATCATCACAAAGTGAGCCTCTTCCCCTCTGCCTCGTCTCCTCTTACCACCAGTTGCAACGTGGTAACCAGTTAAATGTCTCCCAGGTGCAAGCACTTCTTCTGCGAGACCTGTGCTCTTCAGCATTACCGCAAGTCCAAGCGTTGCTACGTGTGCAACACTCAAACCAACGGCGTCTTCAACCCGGCTAAGGGTAAGTCCATTCCGACCTTTGAGTCCAGAGGGGGCGGGGCAAACTTATTCGGAGAACCTCACCCACGGCTCAACATTGACGGTTTCATTCAATCAAGTATTTGCCTGTTATTCCAGAGCTGATGGCCAAGATAGAGAAACGGAACGCCGCGGCAGACCAGCCGCCGTCAGACGAAGAAGAAGACGACTAGCAGCGTCGGAACCCTTTCAACCCTCTTATTTGTTATGTTTGTGTTATGTACATTTGGAATAAAATGTTTTTTTTTTTAAAGACTTAACAGCCTCACTGCGTGGTGCCATCAAGTGAAAACGTGAAAGTGAACAATGTTTATTGTTAAAAGTCAAGCTTGACATTTGCAACACTGACCCTTTACGGCCACTTTCAAATGTCCATGCAGACGGAAACAAGCAACAATGCAACATTCACTTCTGACATAAGTAACATCACGCCCAGAGTAAGCTCAAGAAGATACACACAGCTATGCTCCAAAGGTTAAACGTAAAACGGGCCATGCGTAACCTCTTTCCAAAAAGGTGTACATGTCAACACAAGGAGAGGGTTAAGAAATGTGTGTAACATGCTGTTAATCTTGCTGACCTTCGGCACGCGGAGCAAACCTTCCATGTGGCGTGCAGACGGCCGCAGAGTGAGCAGCGATGCCCGGCGGCCTCGCTGAGCAGCGGTGGAGCTTCTGCGCCAAATGTTTGGTAGCAGCTTCGCCACTGATTCGTTTTAGAATAATCTTCAGGTCTCAGCTGCATTCACGCCCGCAGATCGTCAACCTCAGCAGCAGCAAGAGGATTAAAGAGGTGTTTGTTTTGTGTGTCTGACTCCCAAAAAGAGGCAAGATGGCTGCTGGCTTTTAACCTTCAGTCTGAGAACAGCAACTCCTGTTTTGAGATTTAAATTATTTACAAAGGGACCATTACAAAAACACATCTTGTCCAGTGTGCTCCGTGGTCTCTCCATCAACCCTGTGAGTGTCTCTCCACCCCCCCCCCCTGTCAAAAGTCCCAATCGTCCACCTCCAAGTAGCTGAGGTCCGACTCCAGACTGGCCATTCCGGAGGGGGAGTCCTGCGACTGGGAGCTCTGGAAGCTGGTGATCGGGGACACAGGCCGCAGCAGCTCGGGCAGCGCCTCGGAGGGCCGCCTTTTAATCTGGAAGGGAAGGAAACGACAAACCAAAAATCTTAAAATATTACTTTTCAATGCTGCCAGCAAACGTCCAAAGCTGCTCTGTATCCTGAACACCACGACGTACAGCGAGTCCGAGTGGACAGATGTTTTACACACCTGTTTGAAGAATGGATGGCCTATGAGGGCGGTGGCGGACGGTCTGAAAAGCAAAAAAAAACGGGAAAAGAAGTCAGTGTTTCGAACGCGACATTTCCCGTCACCTCCGAAGCGCCGCGCGAACGTGAAGGGACCTTTTTTCCGCGTCTCGCTGCAGACAGAGCTCAACGAAGGCGTGGAAGTGTGGGGAGAAGGTGCGGTTGTACGGGTGTGCGCCCGTCGACGCCGAGGACGAGGGCTCCCCGTTGGAGTGGCCAACGCCTCCGGCCGCCGGGCCCTCGCAGATGCCCGAGTCTGCCCCGGAGCGAGACGGCTTCATCGACAGCTCCTCTGGCGGGATGGTGGTGGTGTCCAGCAGACACGGCACTGTCCCATTTAGCTTCTCCAGCAGCATCTGGAGGGGAGGGGGGTTTAGGAGAAAAAAAACATCTTGGAAGACCTTTAGCTATGAATTCAGTAGCTCTCTTTCTAGTTTTGACAACTAAGAAAGCTTAATTAAACCACAGTCCATCTTTTTTGTCTGAGCTTTGTGACTACAGACAGTTCCTGTGATGCAGAGGAACAGGGAGGGGGCTGCCGGGTATCTTCTGACCTGTGTAGGTGGCATGTCTTTGAAGGGCACGTGTCCATTTGCCAGTTCACAGGCTGTGATGCCGACGCTGTAGATGTCCGACCGAGAGTCGTAGCCCTCCAGGTTCTAAGAAAAAAAAAGAACAATATTGACTTTACATTTCCTTTTAGTGCTGCTGCCAAATGTATCGTAGGAGGGGCCGTTAATCTGGAACCTTGGTGGCACATACAGTATTAAGTCAGTATTATGGAGGAATGCGGTACGCTACCTGCTGCAGCACCTCGGGGCTGAGCCATGGCAGCACCTTGACGCTGTACTGGGGGAAGTCGTGGACAACTCTGGCCCTCTGGCCATGGCGAATCAGGCTGAAGATGCTGCGCAGGCCTGACATGTAGATCTGTCCGTCGGCTGAGATCAACACGTGGCTCGCCTTCACACTCCTGCACGTATCCCAACACATTCAAAATCGCTATTGACAAGCCGAGTGGCGAGTCGGTGTACCGATGGTGTCCATTTAGTGAAACCTAATGTATGCTTAGGTCCCAAAAACCAACACACAATTTATAATAAACTACATGATGTAAGACAGAGGTGCCGTCCTGTTCTCAAATGTGACATAATGACCCCTTTCTAATGTGGGAGTGTAGCTTACCGGTGCACATATCCCATGCGGTGGATGTATTCAAGCGCTTTGAGCATGCCCAGCAAAATGTATGCGATGGTCAGCTCAGTCATGCCATCAGCGAAATGTGTGCAGATCAGATCTCTGGCCGAGCCTGAAAAGAGCAACACGGACAACCACCATGAGAAAGCTACGATCACAGGCTCAACTGTTGTTGACCACGTTTGGTTAAACACAGCGACAGCTGAACTGAATTTCCTACCATAAGCCATGAAGGGGGAGATGACCCACAGCTCATTCTCGGCTATAAAGACGCTCTTGTAGGGTACAATACTGGAGTGATGAAACAACTTAGACACGTGTAGTTCGCCCTGGAAGAGAGACAAAAAGGAAATTATTCATCTAAATCTATTAGGCATAAGAGGTCTGGCAGCAAAGGCAGGGAAGTTAATGAGAACACAGACACGAGGGTAACAAGTATTCCCAATGCATCAGTGGGATGAAAGACGGGGGCTTATAATACAAGCAGGAGGGATGGAGCCGAGTCATGGCAGAGCAGACCTGCAGGTAGATGACCATGTCGTTAGTGCAGGACTCCAAGTTAATCCGTCGGATGGCCACGTGCTCCCCGGTGGGTCGGTATCGAGCCAGGTTCACCGTCATTAAGTCGTCCAGGCCGTGACCTTAAACACACACGCACACACACTTCATTTGAGTATCCTCCAGTCTTTGGAGTATTTAGGTTGGAGACACGCAAGTTTTACCATGCGGACTGTTCAGCTTTTAAAATAGGAGGTGCAGTGAACTAGTTCCATAAATATTACATAACTACTACCAGTATCTGCCATTAAGAAACGGAGTGAACCGGAAGCAGGCGAGTGCAGGTACGCACCGATGACAGCGAGGAGCTCGTAGCAGCTGCTGTCGGGCTGGAAGCTGCCCATGGTGTCCCGGCGTGGGAGGGACCTCAGACTCTCCCGGCTGTCCTCATGGGCCTGCAGGCAGAAGAGAGGGCGACAGAACGACTGAAGATGGGCGGGGACGCTCAACCGCACTTTGCTACGGCGCGCGACTGTGCTCGTACGTGAGAACACTTAGACGATCATTAAAGGAGATGCTGAGGTGCGTTAGCGTGACCCGCTTCAAGCATAAGAAATAAAAAACAAACACACAAATGCCCCAAAAAACAAAAGTGAGTACAAGCGACTATTGTCAGTCAAATAATACAAATATTCCAATAAAAACACAGTGCACGTTGTTTTAACGGCAAAAGCCGTTTACGATTCATCTTTATTTGTGAAACAGCAGAATAGCAGATGAACTACTCCTTCTATAAAAACATCATCATTAAAGATTATAGCAAATACAGAAAGTGTTGCCTACACATGTAGAGAAACGTTTAATGATCCCAGCAGCGAGGACGCTTGAATTCCACCAATTTATGGCCATGATGTAAATGGATTGCAGAAGCAAGCTGCATGAATATTTGGATCAATTCCATAGTGACCGGAATGAAGACGCACATTCGGATTAGCATAGTGCACTTATTTCTGCACAATTTTACCTCACAGGCCAGAAGTAGCCATAAGATAAAAAACACAACTCTGTGTGGACAGTTCTCTCTGGATGTGAAGTCAAACGGTGCTTTTTGGTGCACGAGTCGTTACTGCACATCAAAGCCAGGCATCAGCTCAGCGTTAATCTGTCAACGTTCATCCAGTCACTGTGCAAACGGCCTGCGTGATCAGATTCAGACGGGGCGTGGCCGTGCATCGCTAAGGCGCAACCCATAGAACTCGATCCATCTCCGGCGCGACTTCAGGGAGGAGCACCGTCAGCGCACCGTGAACACAGTCAGCACAGACGGGCAGGCTCAGAAATGAGGGCTCACTCAGCACCAAATTACACTCTTAGTGAGGTGACACAGAGGCACTGAAATGGGCCGAAACAGTGCAGTTACCCGGAGGAAAGGGAGGTAACGCCGAGGACTCAGAAGGGATTATTTGGGTTAGACGTGTTTCTCCGTTTTCCATCTCCAACAGAAGCACTGGTGAGTGAGGTGACCGCGTGCACAGCGTGTGTCATGAGCTAGACACTCATGCACGAGTAAATGTGCAAAGCCTCAGGGGGTAGTGGTGGGGGGTTGGCTTCTTCTACGTATAAATCTGTGCATACACACACACACACACGCATGCATGCACACACGCACAAAGGGCAAGTTGTGGGTGATGATGACAGGAGTACCACACTTACTTTCCTGTGAGAGAGTCCCTGAGCTTGCTCTGGGGTAGAGAAACCACATGAATGACATAAACACACGTACAAACACAGAACAAGAGAAGGATCCGTGTTTAAAGAGGCGCTCCTGAAGCGGGCAGCACAGCGTCCGGCAGCAGAGTGACCCCGAGCAGCTTCGTCCCTCGCATGACCCCCCCACACACAAAAAAGTGACGTATGAATATCAATGCAAGTCGGCTTTCATGGGAACTTGTGGGAATACGTTAAATCTGAAACTGCACTGCGATGGAAAAAACAAAACAATCGAGCTATGCCCTGCAGGATCCTTCCAGATATTGCGCACGGCCATGGGAACATTGCGCAGCCAAAACAGAAATGATACACTTGAACAAACACGCAACATTGAGCAATGATCTGCCAGAAAATGAAGCAACGGAATAAAGCAACCCAAAGCCATCTGTAGTGCGCAAAAGCTTTGACAATGTGCCTCAAATGACACAGAATCTTTCTGAGGTGAAACATGGCACGTGAAGGTATAAACAAACCACAAATGAACAGCGACAAACATGATATTGAATAAATTCTAAATGTATGAATTTCATACGAGACATTTTCTTTGTCTAGACCGTCATAATTATTCATTCTATTATTAAGATACCAACAGTCAAATCCTGCAAGAAACTACAAGACCGATTTATTTTAGGACTGCAGAGTGGACGAGTCCGTTCGTAGACTATATGCAATAGCGGAGTGTCAAAAAAAGACTCCTACTTCCTTAAAAACCCTGAGAGGATGTAAGACACGGAACCTCAGGAAAAATGTCCATTTCCATTTACCATTATCTGGTTCTCTTTTTTCTGGTTAAAACTTGCCAAATGTGTAGCGGATATCTCAGCAGAGAGAGCTACAACCTTCTTTTCATGGGAGTGTGTTAGATAGGGAGATTTTTTCTGAGGGGTCTGGAGCAGGTCACACATATAGCAAACATAATAGGGCAAAAGGAATCCCTAAATACTGCATGTACATACTGTAGGAACAAAATTAAGACAATCATGAAAAGAATCGGCCTAACTGACGATCTTCACCTCTAAAATGTTTACACTATTTCCGCACACAATGACTTATGACCTGTGTGTCAACAAGTTAGTAGTGCAGAGCTGAAGTGGATTCAGACGCTGGTTATGATCAGTATGATTAAGTAGGACGCTGACTAAAACAAAGTGCAGCACATCAAACTCTGGATTCCTGTTAACCGAGCCGGCATCACGCTGCATCTCAGCTGAAATCACTGTGAATGTTTCGTACATTACATGTAACAGTTGACACTTGAACTGACACTACAATAACATCGTGTAGGAGATAAATCAATGCATTTAAATCCAATTTGTATGCAACACTCACGGGGAAGGTTTTCACAGTTATCTGCTCACATTCATAATAATTTCATGAAAGCGGAAGTGCAAAAGCAAAACTAGCCCAAACCTGACCTCTATCTCAAAGCTCTGCACAAAAATGATCCTTTTTGTATCTGTATATTCTATCAAATTCAGACTTCATTGCCACAAAAAAGTTAGCACAAGACGGATGAACTCAAATGGGTGTATGGTAGAAAATCTTCAGACTGATTTTGTTTGGGCCACCCTTGGATAAATCATTATAGCAAAACTAAATATCGAGGAAGCGACGCTTAAGACAGGTCACAAAAGGCCGATGAACCGGATGGAAAACTTTCATGGTTGTAATTTGAGAGTGAGCTCTTAGAAGATCTAAGTTGATCAAAAATTCAACCATAGTATATTGTTCCTTCCAGTTTGTATTCATGAAGGTCCTAATGTAGGAGCAGCCGTTTGGGAAAGTCGAACCATTTTTGTTGTATCTCAGTGTGCCTTGGACCTCACCTCCAAATAAGTCCAAATCCCGCAGGCTCTCCACACTGAGTTTCTCAGATACCCAACGCTGACAGACAGAGAGGGTTAATAACAGTCATGGAGAGAGGAGAGAAAAAATGCAAGCAGAATGGAGAAAAATATTCAAAGCTGTTGAAGATAATTCATGCTGACTTCCTAATTACCGGTTTCTTTCTTATGCAAATAAGAAAAAGTCGTGAAATGCTAAATTGAAAAACATTCAAGCAAGTTCTGTCTGACAGCAGTTCTGTGTGAATAGCAGTACTGGTCCCCATACAAACGTTTATAGAAGATAAAGAAAATGTCCATTGTCAATTGTGTAAAGCTGCAGTGAAAGCAGTCATAGATGTTTTTATAGATTGATTTGCCTAATAGGAATTAAACGTCAATTGAGAGTCGATTGCAAAACGTAGTCGAGTGGATTTAATCCTAAAATCTAGGGTTAATCCGGCCTTGAAAGGAATGTGTCAAATGTCAGGTACTTGGTGAACACTTACAAGAAAAGACATGGATCCTCTTGAGTAGGTTACATATAAAAAAGTTGAAAACGCAGCCAGGGAATACCTTTAAAAAAGTGAAGCAGAAGATGTCACTGTTTGGCCTACGTCTGCTGGGAAAAAAAGGTCACACCTGGTTGGTCCTTCATGCACATTAATTAATGCAATTTCACGTTATTATCAGAATATTTACAGAACATGCAGCTACCTAAATAACAAAGCAAATACTGCAAATGTACACCTTCTTTTCTTTGTCTTTTCTTTTGGTACTCCATTTCAAATACATATATTGGTATCACTGAATTAGATGAGGACTAATCTCTAGTTAAGAGCGATTGACATTATTACTTCTTCTCTTCTATAATAGAATAGAAAAAATGTTTATAAAAATATATTATTATTTTAATGAGGTGAAATTACTTAGGAATTTGGCACATAGCCAAACATATTAACAGTAAACCTTGTACATCAGAGCACAGTCCATCAGTAGGCAGTTTGGCCTCTGAGTGATGATAATCTTTATTCATTAGAGAATTTCAGGTTGACAACAATCAACATCCAATGTGTTATAAAGGGTGGCTGTGATGCGAACACATAGATGCTGACGATGCTCAACGATTGCAAGCAACCTAATGTAAATTTGAAGGGACAAAACAAAAATGAATAAGTCATTTGTAGCAGATAATCCACAAACTGAGCTCGGCTATAACGACTATGTCTCGCGCTAATGCGAGGGCGCAGCATGGCTAGCAATAGTAGATTAACGTTAACGTTAGCTACGTTACACCTACGTTACCTTGACATATTCAAGCAAAATTAAATGCTTTTATTCAAATCTCTTAATGACTTACCTACACCGTGTTCAGAACCGCAACGCCTTCCCGTTGAATACTATATATCGGGATAATTTATTCAATCAGCAATCCTTTCCAGCGGGATGTTTTAGTGGCTCTCCGCTACGCTTTGAGCGTCTTCGTCGCGCACTAATGACACCAGACTCTCTGCGCGCACAGATGACGTAAGCGCCTCTGGTCTTCTGAAAACATTCGAGGTTTTACTGGAACAAGAAACAGGTAAAAACGCCCTGTTTGCCCCTGTTTCAAACTGATTGATCCCATTCAACCAACGCAGAATAAACCGCACGCTTAGCGTGTTAGTGGAATGCCGCCTAACTTCAACCCATTCGCGGGCTGTCGTCGCTAGCCTCGCACACCCCTATCTCGGCCTCATTTTGCGGCCTAGAGCTAATGCTAACGGCTTGACTCATGTTGGACAGTGTTGTGATCTTATAAAGTTGCCTTTAAAAAAGCCAACTGCCCTGAGCCCGCAGCCGAATGCTCACGGTGTAATGGTTTGTTTCGTCGTGTTCAGGAAATATTTAACTAGCTTTCGGTTCATTTGGTCATCCTTCTTTTGCAGAACGTTACGATACCTGAATACGGTACGATTGCTTTATTTTGGCCAACGCATTATACTATTTGTCTAATTGTTTAATTCGCACCACTACGACCCTAATTAAAGTGCCCTTTTAAGATAATTAAAACACTACTATTATAAGTATGTGCTAAGCTTCAGTGCTGGTACGTTACTAAAATAAGAAAACAAACACTGCAAATGGCAGGCAGGGCTGCATTTAGTAATTGGCTTCATGACTCATAATTGGTCTAATTTGTAATTCCTCTAAATACACCTTGTCATAGTGTCCCTTTTGGTTTGAGTGGTAAGACGAAGTTTCCAGCGCTGAGCTGTAACTAAGTGTGGAGATCTGTTGGTCTGTTTGTTGTTTGACAGGTGTTTTATTTTGCACCACAGCCATGAACTGGAACAAAGGCGGTCCAGGGGTGAAGCGGGGGTTCGGATTTGGGGGATTTTCGCTGGCGGGGAAAAAAGAAGAACCTGGTGTTCCAAAGATCTCGAACACATCAGTTGGAGCCCCGGGATCTAGTGGATATGGGAAGGGCCAGCAGCTGCCATCGTTTTACAAAATAGGGACAAAAAGAGCCAATTTTGATGAGGAGAATGCGTGAGTGATGCACCTCTTCCACACAAAAAAACATCTGTTCCCTCCACTTTTTATGAAATGAAATTCAACGACTACAAAAAACTGCACCTTTGTCATTTCAAACAAGGTATTTTGAGGATGATGAAGAGGAGTCCAGCAGCAATGTGGATTTGCCGTACATTCCAGCTGAGAACTCGCCTACGCGGCAGCAGATGCAGGCCGCTGGTGGGTCAGACAGTGAAGATGACCCACTGGACGCCTTCATGGCCGAGGTTGAGGTGAGAAGAGACTTGGAGTCAGAAACCCCATCCACCCGGCTTAAAAGTGCTGAATCTGTTGTTTTCTAACAATTTTTCTATTCCAAATTCCCCCCAGAGCCAAGCCGCTAAAGACATGAGGAAACTAGAGGAAAAAGAAAAAGAGAAAAAGACTGCAAAGTAAGATTCAGATCTGTTCAAACGTTTTCATCTGTTTGAGTTTTGAGGTCTTTAAGCAGGTGCTTGCTTTAAAATTTGCAGATGGGACTAACTAAAATGGTCCATCGCGTAAATTATTTTGCGAGCTAAAATGTAAGCCCCTTAATTTGATACAATAATGCTGTTCATTTTTATGCACCCCCTGAACTATCCATTGTATTGAATACCAATAGCTGTTATATTTATGCAGTAATTGCATCTTTAAGTTTATTTGATTACTGGCACAAAGCATGGCACCTCCAGACATCCTTTTGGTGGCTTATTGGTAGTATTTGATCAGGTAAGCACTGACCGCAGTCAAAATGGGTTTGTGGGCTGTCTTGGGTGTGTGAACAAGCCGCAGGGAAGTTTTTTTTTTTTTCTCCGCTTGTCATTTCAGGGGTATTCGTGATGACATTGAAGAAGAAGATGAACAAGTGAGTGAGCCCTCCAAAGTTCTTCATCCACTACATCGTTGATCAGAGAGTTCTCCAAACCAAACAGCCTCCTAAATCTACCCTCCCTAATGTCATAAAGCCCCCCTGCCCTTCCTTCTGTCTGACCACGCAGGTTGCATTTAGGATTATTCTGATGGTTGTATATTCTTGTGATTATTCTTGCCATCTAGGATGTGTGAAAAAGCATGTTTCGTTGTTGATTTGTATTGGCAATTAATATGATGATGACAGATAGTCATTTTCCTTTCAGTTGAGCTGAATGTCTCCTCAGGTTTCTGTGAGTAGCTGTTACTGGGACACTGTGTAAAGCAGCACACAGGCGCCGTTTTTTTTACATGAGGCGTTGTGCTCTCTGCAGGAAGCCTACTTCCGCTACATGGCAGAGAATCCCACTGCCGGGCTGAGCCTCGAGGAGGAGGATGAGAACATTGACTATGACAGCGACGGGAACCCGATCGCTCCCGCCGCGAAGAAAATCATTTTGCCGCTTCCCCCCATCGACCACTCTGAGGTAGAGTTGGCACATCTTATTACATGCTTAGAGGATAGAGTGTTGTCTCAAATATGGCAACATAGTTTCTGGCGTGTCGTGTGACTGAATCCGTTGCAATTGTTTTTGTCAATAGATTGATTACCCACCCTTTGAGAAAAACTTCTACAATGAGCATGAAGAGCTCAGCAACCTGACAGAAACTCAAGTGTTGGAGTTAAGGCACAAATTAAACTTACGGGTAAGTCAGGGGTTCATGCAATTAAGTATATAAATGTTACATGGCTAAAATGATCACATGTCATAGTAGTCATTCAGTTATTTTGTTTGCCCCAATCCAATTTTCATGCCCCACAGTGGTGACTATGGAAGGATCTTTGGAGGCATCGGTTGTAGTCATCCCCATTGTAGATGGTTTTCTTCTTCTGGTCTTTCTCAGGTATCTGGTGCAGTCCCTCCAAAACCTTGTACTAGCTTTGCTCACTTCAACTTCGATGAGCAGTTAATGCACCAAATCCGCAAGTCCGAGTACACTCAGCCCACACCGATTCAGTGCCAGGTATAGTTTTATCTTACGGTCGCATTGTTGTTTAATGTTTTCTGGAAGATTTACATGAAGGGTCCTTGTTTTAGGGTCTTCCCATAGCTCTGTCTGGACGTGACATGATTGGCATTGCCAAAACTGGCAGTGGCAAAACGGCAGCCTTTATCTGGCCCATGCTGGTTCACATCATGGACCAGAAGGAGCTGCAGGAAGGGGAGGGGCCAATCGCTGTGGTTGTGTGTCCCACCAGAGAGCTTTGTCAGCAGGTGAGAAACGGGAAGCAACCGAGCCAGCCACTCGCTCCAGTATTAACTGAGAAATGCGTTGTGAAGTGAGTTTGTTCACTAATGTGTGTCACGTTACCAGATCCATGCAGAATGTAAACGTTTTGGGAAAGCCTACTCTCTGCGTTCGGTGGCCGTTTATGGAGGAGGCAGCATGTGGGAGCAGGCCAAAGCTCTGCAGGAGGGAGCAGAGATTGTGGTTTGCACTCCGGTAAGAGAAAATCCATCGGTGTGCTTCTGGAGATGAAGATGCATGCTCCTCTGCTGCTTCAGATGGGAGATTTAGTGTTTTTGTGTTTGCACAGGGTCGCCTGATTGACCACGTGAAGAAGAAGGCCACGTCCCTGCAGAGGGTGTCGTACCTGGTGTTTGATGAGGCAGATCGCATGTTCGATATGGGTTTTGGTGAGTTGGCGTTATCAGCGGTGCATCAACGATGTTTTCAACCTCTTTTGGCCACTACAGCTGATTGATTGTTTTTACCTTTCAGAATATCAGGTTCGATCCATCGCTAGCCACGTCCGCCCAGACAGGCAGAGTAAGTATTAACACAAAGCTTCTTTGTCATGGACACCAGGACGTCAGCATTTTAAAAAGAATCGTTCCCTTCACAGCCCTTCTGTTCAGCGCTACTTTTCGAAAGAAGATCGAGAGGCTTGCCAGAGACATCTTGATCGATCCAATCCGTGTGGTGCAGGGAGACGTCGGAGAGGTATTCAGCGTCATGCAGTATCTGATAAAGATGTGGCAGAGCAAAGACATCTGCTATTATAATCCTGTTTCCAGTGTGCCTAAAATTCACAAATGTTACACCATATCCTGATTAAAAATTTCATTGACAATTTTTAAAAAGGTTCAATTAGTGTTTTAAAGGCTCGGATAGTTTTGTCTTGGTAAACGTGAACCACTGTGGCAGCAAACATTTTTAGGTGTACAGCATTTACACTTTAATCAAAATGTAATGCAATTTAACACAGGCTTTACATTAGGATCCTTTTGTTTTTAATTCCCTTACTTCTCTGACCAGGCCAATGAGGACGTCACCCAGATGGTGGAGATGCTTCACAGCGCAACTCAGAAATGGGACTGGCTGACCCGGCGGCTGGTGGAGTTCACCTCCACCGGCTCGGTCCTCATCTTCGTCACTAAGAAGGCAAACTGTGAGGAGCTGGCTACTAACCTGACCCAGGAGGGCTACAGCCTGGGCCTCCTGCACGGAGACATGGACCAGAGTGAGAGGAACAAGGTCATCAGTGACTTCAAGAAAAAGAATTTGCCCGTTTTGGTGGCCACAGATGTAGCTGGTGAGTTTTAAGGGGGGGTGGTGATGGAGATGTTATCTACTTCTCACTTCTTTCCCTCCCTTTGCTTTACATTCTTCTTTTGTAAGACGAGTAAGAAATGCTACTGTATCTTTAAAAAAATATATATGTTATTTGATATTTTCCTGTTTGTTTTTGCTTTCCTCCCAAGCTCGTGGTTTGGACATCCCATCCATCCGCACGGTGGTAAACTACGACGTGGCACGAGACATCGACACGCACACGCACAGGATTGGTCGTACGGGTCGTGCGGGAGAAAAGGGCGTGGCTTACACTCTCCTCACCAACAAAGACACAACATTTGCCGGCGACCTCGTGAGGAACTTAGAGGGAGCAAATCAGGCCGTTTCCAAAGAACTGATGGATATAGCAATGCAGGTGAGCTAGATAAGTCAATTTTAAAAATCTGTTTTGAAAATTGCATTTTTTTCTTTTTGGGATGAAATGTTTTTTAACTTTATGCTATTCATATTTTTTTTTCCCAGAATCCGTGGTTCAGGAAATCCAGATTCAAGGGTGGTAAAGGAAAGAAGATGAATATTGGTGGAGGAGGTCTTTGTTACAGAGAGAGGCCCGGCCTCGGAGCAGAAAGTTCTGTGAGTTTAGTATGGCCTCACCACAAATTACCTTCACCCCCCTCCCCCCCCCACAATACCACCTGTAAATGTTGACCTGACAACACGGTGGCAGCGGTATTTCTTTTATATTATGGATTAACTCGTGGTTTTTCTTTGGCAGGAGCGCAGCGGCAATTATTTGTCTTCCGCCAGCAGCTTTGAAGGCTTCGGCAAACAGACCTCCGGGGCGATGGGAGACCGCATGTCTGCTATGAAGCAAGCCTTCCAGGTACAGCTCTCCTCTAGTTTGCTCACAATTATCATATCTCTAACTCTATTTCACAGTTATTTGTGCAAATGTCTTTTGCTTCTCCATTTCTTGATCTTACATTCTTAAGACGTCATCACTTAGTGCACACCACATTTTTAAAGAGTGACTGAAGAGTAAGCAAATCTATTCACATCAGCATGCTATCGTCACAATATAAATTGAAGTTGCTCATTTTGTGAGGTGGTGAAATGCATAATTTGATATTCTTAAAGGAATGATTACTCGCTTTGCCTTTCAGACAGCTAATCTCTTCCCCTCCTTGTCTCCTCTCTTTGCAGGCTCAGTATAAGAGCCACTTTGTGGCCGCGTCCAGCGGCCCTCCGAAGCTCACCACCAAGTCCAACAGCTCGTCGTGTTGGACCAGCGCCGGCAGCCTGAGCTCTGTGCCCACCGAGTCCGCCAACGGGTCAGAGTGGGCTCAGGGCGCCACCATGTCCATGTCCATGTCTGGCTTTACCAGCGCCGGCTCCCTGAGCTCTGTGCCCACCAGTCAAACTAGTCCTCAGCAGCACAGCTTCCCTCCGCCTGCACCTCCCCCACAGAGAGACATCCCTCGGGACAGACACGGGGAAGACCGGGGACGCCACGACAGTTACCGCGACAGGAGCGAGCGACAAAGTGGGGAGGAGCGCTACGGAGACCGGGATCGCCACGGAGACCGCGACCGGGAGCGCCACGGGGACCGGGACCGCCACAGCAGCAGCCGGCACGGCGATGGCCGCAATGGGGACGGAAGCAGGAGGGACAGGGAGGATCGCAGGGGCGAGAGGGACGGTGGAGACCGAGGGAGCGGCGAGGGGAGGGACAGGGAGGATCGTAAGAGCGAGAGGGACGCGGGAGACCGAGGGAGCGGCGAGGGGAGGGACAGGGAGGAACGGAGGAGCGAGAGGGACGCGGGAGACCGAGGGAGCGGTGAGGGGAGGGACCGAGGAGATGATAGCTTCGCTGTCCCCGAACCACCAAAGCGTAGAAAGAGTAGGTGGGACAACTAAAAAATAAAAAAGACCTGTATAAACACACAAATAGAATACGACGTGCAACTGACGGCTCCACGGGGAGCGTGTTTGCTGTGTAGGCAGATGGAAGACCATATCAGAGGAGGGCACCGGACCATAGGGGGGGGGGGGGGTGTTTATCTTGAGGACTTTAAATAAAAGTGTACTGTGAGGTTGGTTAGGACCTCGCGATCATGTTCCAAACTCAAAAGAGTGTGTCAGACAGATGAACTCAAGCAGCTCAGAGACAGTCACTGTACATGTATTATAAAGACTGTTGTGGGGCAGTAGAATCCGGCTGTAATGAATCCTGCTCTCTGTAAACAATTCAAAACTAGGATTATTTTGTCTTGTTTCATGTCGCTGAGCTCCTCACATGCGTATGTGGTTGTAAACAAGAGGAATTTTTTTTCTTTTGGCCCAATTCTTTGCAAAGAGTGTTTGTGTTCTTCATTTTGTCAATGTACAAAGATAACTCTTAAAACATTGCTCTGTGATGATTCAGTCACACACACACATGTTAAAACAATGTAGCTATTTTTACGTCTGTATTCAAGTGCTTGTGAAGTGTGTTTCTTTGGCATTTAGTGTGTCTATGCTTTTGAGATGTTTTCCAAGGAATACATTTGTTTGTATGAGAGGGATTTGACGTGTTTGTTCACACATGGAAAATTAGGTTTTGATTAAAAAGATTCCTTTGGCATCTACTTTTGTGTCCTCTTTCAATGGCAGTCAAATATATATATATATATATATATATATATATATATATATATATATATATATCACTTTTACTCTGCACGGCTTAAATTGGTTAATTTATGCAGTTAAATTATTTTTATATTTTTTGTAGCCTTGTATTCTGTCACTTTGACCACTGGGGGGCAGAATTCCCTTTACTCTTCGTGAACTCGCTGTCATTCTTTAAATAGAAGCTTACTGTATCTTAGTCGCTTAAGTTACTAATTACATTGTTTGAATGTGGATTACATTTTGTATTATAAACTAGTAAGTACCTTATTGTAATATACAAAATGACTACAGCGAAGCAGTGATAGTCAATGAAAAAATAAAATATCTAATATTGCATTGGTAAATTAATATACATAATGCAATAAGACATGAATACGCTACGTGTACTGTACATTTTGTTCTTTTAAGACTATTACACTTCCACGATATGCTAGTATTTCTGCATTGTGGTAAGGCGACTTCTATTGTAAACTGAAGCTTGAAAAAAAATGTTACACGAAACCTCGACAGTGACATCCTTGTGCGAGTCCGACGGGCCCTGAATGCGTCAGGAGCAGACGAGAACCAATAGCACGCGACATCCTGCCGGAGGAAAAAAAAAAAGAGAAAAAAACGTTCCGTTGAAAACCGAGACGAGGAGCGCAGCGCAGAGTAGCGGCACAAACTCACCGGCATAGGGGCCAGACGTCCACAACAAAAAGCCTCGCACAAAGCCGAATGAGAGAGCAACCATCCGCCTCCAGCCTCCGAGTTTACAGACTGTATCGGCGCAGCGTGTCGCAGACCAGAAGCACAGATGGTGAGTGTGTGTAAATCGGCCGTTGGTGTCCGCAGCCTCCCCTCCCTCCCTCCGCCGCTTCTCCTCTCTGCTTCTCGTTGTGTGAGATGAGATGAGGTGAGCTCGGTGATGTCCGTCCGCCCCGCTTAACGGGGTTAGCCGAGCGGGAAGCCGGCTGTTTGCATCCGCCGTGATCTGACTTGTAATCCCGTGATGGTGGTTTTTATTAAAGCAGCCGTCTGTGTTGAAGCAGAGAATGGAATAAAACCCGCCTGGTGTTCATCTAAAAGCGATCAGTGCTCCGCTTGTTCCAACGTAACGTTGTGTTAGTTAGCTAGCGCGCTGGCTAATTAACATTAAAACACTTAATCACACGTATAACAAAAATTACCACTTCTTATTTGGTTAATAATATGCATAAGCGATCATTTATTTAATTGCACTCGCTTATTGGCCGAATTGCACATTGATCTGGGTTTTTATATTATGCTCCCTGATTTTAGGTTTTTTGTTTTTGTTCGATCAGCAGTTCAAGTTCCAACCCAAAGCAGATTAGTATGTTGTTGTTGTGAACACAAGTTGTAACAGGCCTTTGCGGGCTGGACCTCCCCGGTTTAAGTGCAGACAGTGAAGCAGTCCGTAAAGAGGATTTAACACAACAAAACAAAATAAAATAAAGCGCAGGTATTCGTTTTAATCCCATTTGCTATTTCCAGGGTGGGCTTGGGAAGAATACAGCAATTTCCCCTTAAATGAATGTGCCTAAGACCCTGGTTCTGAGAATCTATTTTCACAGTTGTATTTCAGATTCACAGAGAACTCGGGGAATCCTGTTGGTTCCTGGTAGCCTGTAGTTACACGATCATAGCAGAGCCGAGGTTTCTTGATGTCGCCCTCAGCCTCTCCTCTTTGTTCGCACCGATCAGACACCTGAACGTGGTCTTCAGTGCCACGGATCCTCCAGCTAGCACGTGCAGGTCTTTCTCAAAATGTATCCACATCCAATCCCAGGATAAAGTAACGTTACACTCAAAAAATAATCCATCACCGGACAAAACGTTGTCCGTGGCTGCTCGTGGACTTGCCTGCAGATGCCGATCCTCTTGATTAATACCAAATAGATTAGATGGATCCAGTAAGTGGATTGAACCCTCTGTGTAAATCACAGTGACATTTTAAACTGTGTTTCGCTCTTTGATACTAATCGGTCGCCCGTGTTTGTGTGGTTGAGTAGTTTACAAACTGCTGTGTGGTCTGGTGAAAAAAAACACTTTACACCCATTCCAGGGCACCACATTGACAAACGGTCTGTCATTACAGCCCTGGCATATGGCGACCAGGCTTAAGTAAGTACTGTATATGGTCATTTTCATTTCCTGCCACTGTCAGCGTGCTGCCCAACTGTAATTCTAGTCCGAGTTGACGGCAAAGATTGACACGCTGCTCTGCTGTCTGATTTGCGTCAGTATTCTGGTGGATTTGAAAGGCTCTTGTTGCAATTTGATTTGTCTGTCTGGAAAAAAGAAAAAACTAAACAAATCATGCAGATTTAGACAAAGCACGTTGTGCAAAGCTGCAGTCAGGACATTTATTTTGTTTGGCCATATGCTCCTCTGTCAAACAATAACAATTAGAGCACAAAAACCTGATTTGAGGGGAGAGGGCGGGGCAGATGGCGTTTTCCTGCTGTCAGATATGCAGAACGTTGTTAAATGGGTCGCCGGCAGGGCCAGATTAATAGTTGTTAACTAGCCGGTCCCGTTCCCAAGTCACTGCAGGTGGTTCTTGGGAAGTGATAGTCGGGCAAACAGATCGACCGTCAGGGGTAGTAGTCTATCCGCTGGTGATCTCTCTCAGACCTTTTCAGGGGGGGGGGTTATGGTTGGGGAAATACGGTATTTGAGGTGAGTGTGTGAACAAATGAACATGGTTAATGGATTTTCACGGGTACATTATGTTTGTCTGATTTTCCTTTGTCTTGTTTTCTTGTTGAAATCCCTGCGTGAAGAGTTTCACTAATAGTTGTCTCAACATTAGCACCCGGGTTCTCACGTTGCATCCCTTCCAGCGGCGATCAAATGCAGGCTATCTTCAATTCAGCAACGTCTCGGATCACTTCATCGTGTTATGTAAATTTTCTGTGATCCCTCAGCAAATATTTGCATGTACATTTTTTTTTTTTGAAGACAAGGATGTTTTCAGGGATTCCAGTCCTGCAGGGAAACTTGGTTGCGAAATGTTCTCGTCCTCTCGTCGAGTGTGAGACAACATCTGATCAGATGAAGCTCTTCAGGCTGTTTTAGTCGGTACCTTCAGCGACGTGCAGAAGGCAGCAGCATCGCGGCGTCATGTCAACACAGGCTTTCCACGTCCTCGACACATTCTTTTACCGGTTTGGTTCTTTGCAATTTACAGAGGAAATATGAAAAGACCAGCTGCTGCAGCATACCAGCACCAAGCATTGGTTCTTATGCAACATTCAATACATACAATACAGATTACAGACAATACAGATTCAATACATTTCATTTGGAATAGACTGACTTTATTATTAGTATAATTATAATAATGGCTTTATAGCTTCGTATTGAGTGGATCGTTTCAGTACTGCCCTCGGGCGGCTTCTTTTAAAAGAAGTGACGGGAGCTTTCTTTTTAAGCAAAGCAGAACTTAATGTTCTCAAAATTTCTGAAGAGGAGTAACAAGTGAGAAATCAGTTTTGTCAATCTGAAAAGAGAAAATGATTATTTTCTGAATGTTGTTTTCAACAACAAAACACTTTTTTCATGGTCTTAGAGTAATGTGGACTGCAATGATTAGTTGATCACACAATAGTGGGTCAACAGAAAGGCAATCTGACCTTATTCTGATAATAAATCAATCAATTAATCTTCAAGTAATTATTTCACAGTCATAGTTCCACTTTATCGAATGTGGGAATTAGCTGCTTTTACTCAGTTTTCTGAATTTATTTGAAATGTTGACTGGTCATTTGAAGACGTCTCCTGTTTTTAGTGGGATATTTAAAATTATTTTTTGATATTTACTTGACAGGTGTTTAGTGAACAAATAATTAGGAAAGACATTGCATATGGAAAGAAGCGATAGCTCCGCCCACCTTCCCCAAGTCGAGCACTTTACACACTATAGCAACCCAAACACATCTTAAGACATACAGTTAGGTCCATATATATTTGGACATTGACACATTTCCCATTATTTTGGCTCTGTACACCCCAACAACAGAGTTGAAATGAAAACGGGTTAGGATTAAGTGCAGACTTTCAGCTTTAATTTGAGGGTATTTGCATCCAAATCAGGTGAACGGTGTAGGAACTACAACAAATGTATAAGTGGCCACCCCGTTTTTAAGGGACCAAAAGTAATTGGACAAATATAATCACTTTTAATACTTTGTTGAAAATCCTTTGCAGTCAATGACAGCCTGAAGGCTGGATTCCATAGACGTCACACGCTGGGTTTCGTCCCAGGTGATGATCTGCCAGGCCTCTACTGCAACAGTCTCCAGTTCCTGCTGGTTCTTCCTTCCAGTTCCTTTCCTTCTTCATAGTCTGCTCTCATTGTGGTACAAGTTTCTTTGTCTCATCTGTCCATAGGATGTTCTTCCTGAACTGCACACACTCTTTCAGATGTTTTTTTGGCAAACTTTAATCTGGTCTGTTTTTGAGGCTCACCAATGGTTTACATCTTGTGATGAACCCTCTGTATTTACTCTGGTGAAGTCTTCTCTTGACACAGATACACCTCCCGGAGAGTGTTCTTCATCTGGCAAACTATTGCGTGAAGGGTTTTTTCTTCACCAGGAAAATTATTCTTCGGTCATCCACCACAGTTGTCTTCCGTGGTCTTCCGGGTCTTTTGGCGTTGCTGAGTTCATCAGTGCGTTCTTTCTTCTTAGGAATGTACCAATCAGCTGATGTGTTTGCTATCTCTCTGATGGGTTTGTTTCGATTTTTCAGCCTAACGATGGCTTGCTTCACTGATAGCGACAGCTTTTTGGACTTCATTTTGCGAGTTGGCCGCAACAGATTCCAAACACAAGTACCACACCTGACATGAACTCTAGACCTTTTATCTGCTCCTTGTAATATGAAATAACGAGGGAATTACACACACCTGACCTTGGAACAGCTGAGCAGCCAATTGTCCAATCACCTTAAAAAGAGGCTGGTGGCCACATTTGAATTTGTTGTAGTTCCTACACCGTTAGCCTGATTTGGATGTAAATCCCCTCAAATTAAGGCTGAAAGTCAACACTTAAAGCACATCTTGATTTGGCCACAGCTGAATTAGTTGAAATGAAAAAACATTTCAACTCCATTGTTGTGGTGTACAAAGACGAAATAATGAAAAATGTGTCAATGTCCAAATAGTTATGGCCCTAACTGTATAATTTAAAAGGTTTTATCTGGACCTTTCACCTTCCCAGACAGGAAGTGAAAAAGTGTCCAGCTGGTGTCAGCTGTCTTGGGAGACATGCAGGCGTTCAATGCCGCCGCGTCTTTCAGCGGATAAAAATGCCCCGTCACTTTCTCTTTGCAAACGAGGAAGCTCAAAAAGAGGAAGTGAACTAGTGGCCGATCGGACCATGTGATTACTCTGCAGATCCTCCGTCTGCACTTTGAAAGGGTGTCAGCTGCTACTTCCATCGGTTCCCCGGCCAGTCGAGCATCAAAGCCTCGGCTAGTACTCTCCATCACAGAAAAGCTTTTTATCCACTACCAATCTTCTCCCCAGGCATCTTTTCCACAACACCGGCTCCTTCTCGTCATGTTCAGACTGATGGAAGCTGCTGACGAGAGCCTATGAATCTAACTTGGAGAAGCTTTTTAGTTGTTGGAACGGTGCCCTGGCCTGCAGATCCAGATAGTGCTATATATAAAAAAAATATGTATATACATACATATATATATGTATATATAGATTGCATGATTTACAGTTTCTTTTTTTCCCCTTACTGATCATCCAAACGATGATTGCGGTTCTAAAAATAAGGGATGAGCGAGAGTGGGAGCCGCGTTTTGGATTGATGACATAAAACGTTTGTTAACATCGTGCCTGCCTGACCTTTTACGGGCCCCGTTGCAGTGAATCGTGCGTCACGGCGTTGTATTCAGAGATGGTCGGGTGTGAAGCCGGGAAGATTTGTCCGATTGTATCGAGTCCATCTGCACTCGGAACAGAGAGTTACTTTTTCCCACATGAACTCTTTATGAACATGTTGACACTTTGCCCTCGAAACAGTTATTTCAGAGTTGTTGTTGTTGTAGCTGGGATTTGCGTCAGCACTCAGCTGTCGCTAACAATGACATTCAGTCAAGACGGGTCTTTTTTGGAGTTTTTGGTGCCTGTTTGACTCACGTGACATAGAAGGATTTGCATGCATCATTTTGATGTTACTCTCTAAACTACATCCTCAGACTGTCTCTCTTTGGCATCTCTTCTGGACTTTAAAAGAAAACAAACCGTTGACTCCCCACCCTCCCATGTCATGTGGGTGGTACGTGGTCTCAGGGGCCCAGTGGGATCCGCGAACAGCAATGCTGTGAATGTTTTACATCAAAGGTTAAACACAAACCCGTCCGGCGTACAGCTGCCGCTTCTCCAGAGTCAAATGAGAAGATTGATACCGATAACATGTCTGTATGTAAATATGTAGTTGGAACTCAGCAGTGACTAACACGGCCATGTGAAAGGATGAAACTGAACAAGCAGCACCTCAAAGGCTCACCAATGGACTAATGATCGTTTTTCACTGGGCCACAAAACTGTCTTCTTTCTTCTTCTCCGTCAAATTAACAGGTGTGCCGTCGTTAACAAAATGGAAGGCCGGGCTTGGAAGATGGCCTGAGGGGGGGGGGGGGGGGGGGGGCGCAGCAGGGTGGCAGAAAGTGGGCAAACCCAAGCGAGGGATTTGTGCCGTACGCTAAGGGTTCAACTTAGGCGGCGAGAAGGTTTCACCACTTGCGTGAAAGTGTTCTTTGTTTCTTAAAAAGACACAAGCCTCCAGCTGGCTCTGGCTTCTCGCACGCTGGTATGTCAAATTGCTTCACAGCTAAAACAGTGTTTGGCCTAGCAGGTCCAGCAAACTACACAACAAAGCCCTCTCTATTTACGTTTACATTGAGCACCTTGTTCTGCCTTCACCGAGGCCCTTCATTTCCAACCCCGCCACGTATTTGGTTATCCGTTGTTGCTTTTGTCAGCCGGGAGGACTCCGGGGCTGGTTTGTAGAGTCGAGCGCCTCTGAACAGAGACCATAAATCTCTCGCAGTTCATTCACTCTGCAGCTAAGGCCTCCGTGCCGGGCGAGTGGTCGTTAGCCGCAGTCTCTCATTGGGATGAAGTCGCACGAGGACTTTAGCTGCCGCCTTCCCCTTTGGGACTCCGCAAGACGGAGGAAGCCAGCTGTGTCACATCGACTTCCTGCCGCGCTCGCGCTGATTGGTGGCGATTGAGACTGATGCACATATAAGGTAAAAGGAGAAAAGATGGCACAAGCTAGTCTGAATTGGCCCAGGAAGCTTGTGTTTGGAATGCATGCCACCTCCTTACATGGTCACAACTCCTTCTGCGTTGTTTTCACCGGCAATTTTCTTTTGAATGCCGATACCGGGCCTTCGCTCAGATCAAACTTCCTTATTTGGCTGCCTTCAGTTTGTCAATTGTAATGTACAAAAGCCTATATGGGAACAAGTCATGCTGCACAAACTTCACCGACAAGTGTTTCACAATAATTTTACACATTCACTGAAGATCTTGACAGTGTTAGATAAAGTCGAGAAGATTTCAGCCCTGCTGCAGCTACAGGAAGTGATCTTGAGTGCGGTCTGCTAGATAACCAGCGAAGTGTGAGAGCCGCCTGCTAGCTTCGACCCGACACACCAACTGAGCTCAAGAGGTATGAGTGAGGAGGAAGAGGGGGCCTTTGGGATGGGATTGCTTCTACAGGAAGCTGCACGGCTTCGCTTAATGGGCCGGAAGTTCAAAAAAAGCATGTTACGCCATTCCCATTAGGTTTGGTTCTCAACCAGGTTTTGTGTGAAATCAAATCTAAAATGCATCTATAAAACACAATATGCATCTGTCAGGTTTGGAGGGGTGTTGCACAGGACAACAGAGTGTAAATGTTTTTTTCTTTTCTTTCTTTCAAGTTAATCGAAAGTTCCACACACAGGTTTGAGTACACATACACAACCTGGTGGCAAGCAATAATTGGGTTTCTTTCGGGCATTATGAAGTAGAACTTTGATTGTTAAGGTGTTCAATTTGGCAAACTAGCCAAAAGACATTTAGACATATATCCTTAAAACCGATAGTGTCATTACATTTCTTCACTTCTGCTTAAAAGTGAAACACACTTAAATCCTTGGGTTCTTAGCAGGCGGTTCATTTCAACCAGTGTCTTGCAGATCAACATTTCCAGGAGGAAGTTGGATGCAGATGCACCACGCTGACCTCCCCATCACTGTGGTTGACATGATTTTATTTTGTCTGCGAAGCAAGTCGAAGAGTAACAGACCTGAAAGAATGAGAATCAGCTGTCGCCTCTGATGGCAAAGTTCTCCTTCTCCCTGCACCCCCCCCCCCCCACCTCCACCTCCACCACTTCCTCCAGCCAAACAGCCTTACATAACAAGGCTTTAGCAAAGTCTGCAGTGGACTTTTCCCCCCTGCCAGGCCGCCCTTCTTCTTCTTCTTCGCACACTCGCTTTTACGATGGCAGTCAATGTGTACCAGGTGCCTCCAGAGAACATGCAATGTGCAGGTAAATGTGGTGAAAGGTGTTAGACGGTTGGCCAGATGATGAACGAGTAAACCTGCGGTTTGCGGTGCGTAAAGCAATGCAATGCAATGCAATGGTTACACTTATGGATTACAGAGTCACGAAGAGGAAGGCCTCTCCGACAATTGGCAAGAGACTTGATGGTGAAATGCCCTCGCAAAGTTTCTTCCCTGGATGTCGGTTCGCTGAGCTGTTGAGCCATGTGGACGTCAGCCCCCATGCAGAGTGTCCCACGGCTCGGCTCACATGACCAGACAGAAGGGACCTGATCCTCTCCCAGGGGTGCAAAGAGACAGATGGAGGGGGGGGGGTGACAAACAGAGATGAGCTTTACAGTACAATGCGGCGGTAAAGGTAATAAGAGGCCTGGGGAAAATGCTGTCTTCCACCCTGGCGGGGTCAGTGGCCGTAACTTGATCGGACTCTACTGTGATTCCGCCTTTTATTCACGCTGTGCCCCGTTCATAATAAAAGGAGTCGCAATACATTTTTTTTTTAATGTAAAGTTTTCTTTTTTTTTTCCTTTGTCTTTTCCAGGACACCAGGAACACCACTGAAGAGAAACCCGTCCAGCGATCTAAGGTAAACGCCCGTCGCCTTTCTCACCCTCCTCTCTGTTGTTCAAGCAAAGACACACAGGACGTCTTTCCTGCCTTCCGTGTGTGTCTTTTGTTCCCAGTGACGAACCCGTACATTTGTGTGCTCAGTCCTTCAGCTTCAAGACCCAAAAGGAAGTGTGTTCCTCATGTGAGAAAACGGTCTACCCGATGGAGAGATTGGTCGCCAACAACTTGGTCTTCCATTCAGCATGCTTCTGCTGCAAGCACTGCAACGCCAAACTGAGGTGACTGTATGCCTTGTTGTCCTGTGCGCGTTAACTTAACTTTCTGCTTTCAGTTTGCATATAACTGGTTCCTTCCTGCTCTCTCTTCCTCCCACGCAGCCTTGGAACCTTTGCAGCTCTTCAGGGTGAATTTTACTGCAAACCCCACTATCAGCAGCTGTTCAAAAGCAAAGGCAACTACGACGAGGGCTTCGGTCGCAAGCAGCACAAAGAGCTCTGGGCCTCCAAGGAGACAGAAAATATGACGAAGACAGCATAGTCATGTCTGTGCGCCATCCCGGCCATGCCTCTTTCTTTTCCTCCTCCTAACACCTCCAATACATCACGATGAACGCATGCCTCACATTCTGAGGCAGCGTTTTTTAAATCTCCCACGCGCTCACTTGCTATTTAAACGCCATCAGAACAGAAACATTCTCAAACAGCATGGGGATGGCTGGCCAGTCATGGTCCATACACAACAAAAATATATATTTTGTGGATATATTTTGGGTTCCTGATTGGAACTTGTAGTTGATTGTGACCAAAAGCATTCTCCGGTATGTGGAGTATAATAATAGTAATAATAATAAAAGTCACTTTTTTTTTTGCTTTTCATTCTTTTTTACTAATTTGCACCCTTTTTATTAATTAAACCGTATGCTCAGGCAAACATATCCAAGGGGTTCACAGAGCATCCATGTTTGGCAATAGAGCATACACTCAGGTCAATTTTCACCCCAGGATATACAAGATAATATTGCATAGTTTCACTCACTTTAACAAAACAGTACTCAGAAGTTGTATTAGTCCTCAGTATTGTGACTTTGCTGTCAGACCGTCGTGTTGGTTTGTTAGGTTTCATATACTTGAGGAACAAACAGGGTACAGAGTACTGTAAAATAACGGCACACATCAGCAACAGCCCACCTCTTCATTCAAGTTTTATTTCGTTATCGTCCGCTTCATCCCACGGTTTGTTCTTATTTTACTGTGAGTCTTATCCTTGCATGTTAGAATGACTGGGTCTTATTAGCCTTATCTTATGACTGTATTGATATTTTTGTGTTGTGAATGATTTGTTTCATTAATGCATTTAAAATCACTTTTAAAAAGGTTTTTAGAAGCACTTGAGTTTGGATTTGATGTCTCGGGCATAAGATGAGCCTCTGAGCTTTTATCGATGGTTGAAATTTTAATGAAATTCTCAGATTGTGTTTTGTATACTATCCGTACGTAGAGCTGTATTCTGTGATTAGTGAACATTCCCCACCTTACTGTACTCTAGCATTGCACAAATGACCACGCATGATCACCAGACGAGATGAACACGGGGAAACCGAGGCCTTGTTTGGGGGAGCTGATGGCTTCATCGATTACTACATTTGCATGTCTGTGTCACAGATGTTGGACGCAGCCACGCAATTTTCCTCCCTCGTCATTCCACGCTTTGGCAGTTGTTGGTGTCTTGTGGTGATTTTTTCCCCTGCTGTATTTGAGAGTGTCCGTGTAGCTGGACCATCTTTTTTTGGGGGGTGGCGTATACAGACCCATTTTAATCACAGTGTCTTGAAAATCCATTGTTAGTTAACCACCCTCCTCTCCCAGTCCCTCTCATTAAGCTTGGGCAGGTTTCTTTTTTAAATGAATGCCTTCCTGTTGTTATCTTCTGTCTTATTAGCTAAATACATCTTAGCAACTGGACCTATTTCTTGATAGTGAATTTGCATTAGGTGGCTGAGGGAGGGTTTGCCACTAATGTCCCTCTGACGTGCTCCTGCATGCTGCATGCAAAACCAAGTACAGAGCATCCCCTGCTGGGGAAAGTGTGAAAGTAGTGTTTAGCGTGAGGAAGAAAAGCCCCTGAACTCAACACAGCCTTTATTCAACGTGTTTTAATATGTGGCCTCGGTCCACAGTGCAGCTACTGCAGTCAAGACACCTTTTTTAAATTTAACACCTAAGAAATTGAGCAAAATTTCCACATCTACATTACATTCATTTTAGAAAATGTCTGAATACCACTGAGAATTGACTGACCCTTGAATGACGCAAAGTACTTTTTGTGACAAAAGGTTTACTGTGAATTTGAGCATGCTGAGCAGAGGAGAAAGCTACACTTGAACAGATGGATATGTCCTACTTTCTTTTTAAAGAGAAGCCTTAGAAATAAATAGCTGACCTTTTCAAACAAGTCCTTTTTGCGTACATAGATCTTAACAAATAAATCCCCTGATAATGCCTTCTCAAAACCTGATTGGCTTAGTTTAGAGCCCCAATTTTTAACATAGGATTACTTAACTCCAACCAGCAGCCATGTTTCATATCTAACCACCTTTTATCCACAAAAAATCTGTGACACATTGTATATTTTCCTTTTTTCAAATGTTCAAATCATCCCCCAAACTGTTTGCCACGGTACAACTACATAATCTGTGAATTGAAACTTGATGCTGGTGCCAAGAGGCTCAGGTGAATGATTGCGATGTAATGTTATAAATGTTACACCGGTGAGTCATTTCATTTTTGTGCTTAACTTGATGTGGACTTACTTTTCAATGCTGTTGTCAGACACATGTTAAATGTAATATGTAATGCATCTTTGAACATGTATTCTGTACAGAGTTAACCTGTGGATTGAGGTGGCCTTACAGCAAAGGACGCTTGGACTGTGTTTGCAGTCGTTTTCCTCTATTCTCCCTTATCTCTGTTGCTTAGTTGTGGTATGGAAGTGTAATATTATAAAATGTAAAAGTCCCCTGCCCCCTTTTTATGACTATGTACACAATCATTTTGTGCATTTTCTTTCTTCTTGTCTTTTTTTTACATGCTTTTGGAGAAAAAAAATAAAATGCCGGTGTTGATTTAATGCAGTAGTTTCAATGTGTTTATTGATGTTAAAATAGCTGGATCTTTGAATACCCTTGAGATTATGACGGATTGATCCTTAATAATAATAATAATCACACCTAGGACCTAAATCATGAACCAACATGCTAGAAACAGCTTTTTCCCATTATTTGGAGATACTTGTGTATCTTCCTTTCATACCGCTTTATCCCTGTACACTACATTTAGAAGCCGTCTTTGTCGTCTTACTATGAAAGCAGCACAAAACGACGCCACATCCGGTCCCGCCCCACGCTGAGCGCGCGCGCGCCTGCAGAGACACTTCTTAACAGCGCGCACGCGCCCACCACACGGCTTTTATTTAAACAAGATAGTTTAAGTAAGCAGAATCCCCCCCCCCTCCCCCCCCCCCACCCCCGCCCCCCTCCACCTCACCCCCCCTCCCCTGAGGACGAACCCATGTTATCACGCACTTACGGACGACAACGAGCGCAGCGCTCGCAGGACGTGGACGCGGCTGCGGAGGAGAGCGCTCGCCACTCGCAGGAAGCTTAAGAGCGCGTTCCGGTGGCCAATGTTTTCAGGAAGTTTGACGGTCGGACAGATGGACGTTCCTCGCTTTGTTTTGGTCTGCGGGAGAGTTTAGGAGCTCCGGTGGACACGGACGCCTCGCGACAACACGATGAACCTCAGCGAAGACGGTTGTTTTCCGTCGCACCGGAGTCAGTTTGGGTCTCACGTGAATACTCGGGAACTGTGCTTTTAAGAAGCTGTTTTAAGATGCGTGACGTTATGACTGCATATTGGGGTTTTTTTTCTGGCAGTGTCATTACAGCGTCATTACATTAGACTTATGTCAGAGGCCGTAGTGCATTGTATTATATTAATGGCCGCATTCAAGTTGCAGTGCGACGTAACGTTAGTGTCATTAAAACATAAAGAGCTCTGCAGTCTAAACTTTTCTGGACTCCAACCTGGCAACCCACAGGAGGGAAATTTGCAACGTTAGCAGGAAGAGAAGCTATAAAAATCACGGAAATCATTCGGTCTTCCCTCTCACTCATAAATGGATTTCATCAGGGCCACACGGTTATTGTTGCACCTTGTTTGGTAGTTTTTTTGTTCGTCTTTTTACAGGATCCCGCTCCCCGCCACGCACGTCTGAAAACCGTCGATATCGTGTGTGACGAATGTGAACATGTTTTGGAAATTTAAGTTTTCCAAAGACCCGCGGCTGGACCGGAGTAGAGCTTTGCCTTTGGGCCACAGCTGGAGCAGCCTGATGTAGCCCCCCCTCTCCATCCATATTATCTCTGTAAAAACTCACAGCTGTCTCATGTGTGGGTTTTTACTACCTGGAAACTATCCGTTCGTGTGGCCTCGTTCTTTTCCCGTTTAAGAAGACCGATTACCTGGCGGGGGTGGTGGGGGGCGGCCCCGCCATGGAGACCCCACTCGCCCTCTCCTCTCCTCGGTGTGACTGAGGCACGCTGATGGACGTGAGCAACAGCTGGACCTACTGCGTCATCAGTGCCGCGAGACGCCGGTGAGCGTGGTGGGTTGCGCGCGCGGGAGAAGTCTCGGCGACAGGTGAGGATGGTGCACGTGAAAGGGGATGACAGGTATACAAGGAGCGTATTGTGCTGCATTCAGGTCGCGTGGGGAAAATTGTGATTGGGGTCCCCCTCAACGCAACCCAGTGCTAAAAACAAAGTATGACATCATCTATATGAACGTGAATGTCTATAATTCAATGTCTAAAACTACCGTTATGAGTATTTAAAAAGCTCTTAAATTGTTGCAGTTGTTAAAGCCCTTAAATTCACCTTCAGAGGACGTGACTTCAACATTCAAAAGACTTGATGCAACAACCACGTTTGAAAATCAGAGCAGCTCAGGGAAATCTGACAACACAGCAAATTAATACCCGCAATCACACACAGAGCTGTATGTGTACTTGTGTGTACGACACAAGTATTTTGACTGAACACTTTGAAAGTGTAAAGAATTTTTTTTTTTTACTTTTTGATAACCAGAAGAGGTCAGTTTGACAGCTGCGTTTGCAATTAGTGTTGTAAAAAAAACTTACAATAGCATCAGTAAGATTAAAAAAAACCTTCATCGAGTTGTTTAGTTGTCGTCCACGCAACAGATGAGCAAACTGATTTGCGCAAACTGATTTGCACAATGTAAACATCCAGCGACTTCTTGCTTTTAGTCTTTTAAGTGCAAAGTAACTTTCATTTTTATTTTTCAAATTAAAGAAATTAGAATTTTAGATAAAAAAAATACATTCATAAACTTTTGAAATGTTTGTATTTAAAAGTATCTGTATGTACATTAAACACTGCAAAGCGCATTTGAAACTGTAGCCAAGGCAAGCACTAGCTTCTTGTCGAGATTGCAATATTTAAATGTGGTGGGTTACACGTGTGCACCTGAAACAGAAGAGACATCGGACCAGGAGACTTCTGCTTGGTCCAGATCTACGACTGGACTGAAAACAGAAAGAGTCGTGCCTGGGAAAAACGGCCTCAGACTAAACACCTCTCAAAGCAGACAGACCAGAGGGGTGGAGGGGGGGGATTCATGTAAATCCTGCTAGTCCTGGAAATGTGATACAATAAAAATAAAGCAGGCACAGCTGATCGGACTAGTAGAGCACAGCCTCCTTCTCCATTAAATTCCGCACATTCCACCTGGGAGGTCATTCAGATTACGGGTAGGCATGGAAAGGAACAGCCTATATGGACACATCGCTCAAGTTGTTGCAGGGACTTCAGGGATCCCTTGAAGTTCACACGTCGGGCTGCTCTCTGCAGACCCGAGGTTCCCTTTGGGACACACGGTGTGTATGGGGTCGGAGGGAACGAAAGTATTTGGACACCATTCCTTTGGCAGGGGGAGCATGAAAGTAGCGGAAGCTCAAAAGCAGCGTGGCAGCGCTCCGACGGCCACGGGCGGACATGCCCGGCATTCCTGTGGGTGATCATTACCCAGAAGTCCACAGTCAAAGAGTTGCCTCAGGTAGCGGTGGCGCCCATTAGAGATGGCCGCGGCCTCCTCTGTGGGCTCCATCTTCAGACGTTGCTCCTCTCGCTTTCTATTATTTTCCTGCCTCGTTGTTGTCCTTTCACACTCCCCACCTACGGATGGGTTGATTTGTGACGGGGTAATTCTGGGCAAACTGAACCCCGCGTCAAGGTGCAGCGCTTGCTTTGCTAACTGGACTCTGGTTTATATCTCTCTCTGCAATCACTTTTTACGCCACTAAGCTAATCTTATCTGCAGTGACCCGACACGGCCGTGTATATGCACGCTTTGGCTCATGGTCAGACCAAACATGTAGTTATTTTCCTAGCACACTAAACACTTACGCTGTGAGCTAACAAGGAGCGTTATGGCAGAGTTCTGGCATGCACCAGTCCACTGCCACACAGCTGTGTACTGATCTTACCAAGTGGATCAGTCTCTCCATCAATGTGTGTTACATTTGTTCACACCGGGCCAGCAAGTCAGCATCCAGCGGCACAGTGTCACCACAGTCTGTGCTGTGAGTTATTATGCAGAGATGGTTTTTTTGAGCAAAGACACCAACTTGATCCAGTGATTGTCTTTTGTTTTTATTTTAACTCCCTCACAGTCATCCTGTATAATCTACTGTAGTTGAGTTAAGTTCTCTTTTTTTGTATCAGTTCGAATCCAATTATTTATTGGAACAAAGGGAGAAACTTAAGGGAGACTCTCCATTGAAAGAAATCAGTTCATAATATTAACGCCTTTAATACGGGCCCATAATATTGCCGTGTGAACACCAACAATGGAGCTATAACACAACGCAGTTATGCTTTCTTCAGCTCATGTGATCAGAGAAGTCTAAAGCTGGTAGATATTTAAAATGGTAGAAAACATTCTTCCCGTATGAACTGTGCCAGACTGATTGCTGCCAGGGCAGCTTAAGCTTCAGCCGTTTCCAATTGTCTTTCTTTCTGATGGGCAAAGCGCAGAAAGCACAGACTCACGCACGCTGCACGTTTTCTCATTCACTCAGGGTTCATGCCGCTCAGTCTGGCAAATCTTTAAGTATGCACTCTGCAGGCTTAGGTTCCATGGTTTTTATACTTGCCTGCAAGGATCATGTGCTGTGCATGAAGCCACATGTGATGAACTCGATACCTTAATGCAGTTGAAGTGCAGTTAAGTTCTCTTTTTTTTTTGTCATGCTGGCCATCAGGTTGCGTCTTAGCGATGTTTCATGGGCCGAGGTACTGACCTGCATACTGACGCGTTCTGTCCGACTAGCTAAGAACCTTCTTGTTCTGCGTTGTCTCCTGTCCCTCTCCATGACTCTCGTCCTCCTGCTACGTCTCCCAGCAAAGCCACGTGAACACAAAGAGGGCTGCGCTTTTTAGTCTTTTTGACTAATTGACTTTTGCTTTCATCCCTTTTTAGGCTGTGGGCGGTTTGGCACAACAGACGCGTTTCTGAAGACTGCTTTGCGGACCGCGTACGCAAACATCGCCACTATGAGTAAGTCCTCCAAATTCTGATGTTAGGCAGACATTTGGAGCGCGGCTTCCTCCCAACATGAGATAAAAACAGACCGACAGACACACACATTCAAAACACACACAACAAAAACCAAGCTCCCGAGGCCAAACTCTGTGCGAGCTGCTTCTCTAGACTCTGTCGGATGAGGGATTGGGGTTTTTCGGCGTTATGTAGATGGGGGTCTGGTTGGCTCCGCCGTTCGGGGCTGTGTGAAGTCCCTCCAAGCTACACAAGGAGAATATTTTCTCTCCGTGAGCTAGTCGAGCCAAGGCAGAGCTTGCCCTGAGATCAAACGTGGGAATAGGCATATCAAATACACTGCTGTTCTTGCCTGCCTCGAACACCCGGCCACAGGATCGTCTCAATCTGGCCGTAGTTTAAAAGATGTCTAATTAATATTCTGCTCAGACATTTTAGTGCAAAGGGCTCAATTCGCTCTTTCGGTCAAACTCTCACGCACACCAAAGTCGTTCATTAACCAAACTCACATTTTGAAATTGTGTGTTTGTTCCAACGCAGATGAGAGGCAGGCTCTCCACTCCATAATGAAAGACCTCGTTGCCCTCCAGATGACTCGCCGCCAGCCTGTTCTGTCGTACGACACCAGCAAAGCCAAGACGCCGGCCCAGGCCAACAGACAGGTGCGCTGTGGCTTCCGATCTTAACATTTTAGAAGGTGGTTTAGGAGCTCAGGCTTGTGCCGTGTGGTCGTCGTATACCAGTTTTACATCCATAAATTACTGAAATGTCTTCTGTTATTGTAAGGCCGCGTATGCCGTCGCATTCCAACAGTCTTAGATTTCGGTGCGAGCTGTAGCTCAAACGTCTCGGTTGCGTGCAGAATCGCACGTTTAATCAAAGTTGTCTTCAAAACGAAATGCATTCAAAGTGTTTTCAGTTGAATAGGTCTGAAGAAATCAAAAATAGGCAGGTCACTCTGAGACGGTTTAACCCCGTAAAGTACTCCATCAACAACCATGTATTCTGTTGAAGTGTCCCTCACCAGCGATGGAAGTTGTGATGAAGTCGTCAGTAGTTAAGGCGAGGATGGACCAACAGTCCACAGCGTGAGTCCTCACTGCCACTTATCACACAGTTGCATCCCTGGAAACAGGCTGATATCTGCTCCAAAATGAAACCGTTGCGAGTCTTTGCGTTGTAGTCAGCGTTATTTACCCTAAATTTAGAAATCAGGATGGCCTTGAATGCTAACAAAAAAATGTATATCTTCATAACCACTGCTCTGTCAACCATAAATATCTAATTTTGCACCGTTGCTGCGGTTAAAAAAAGGTGTTATTGGATATCACCATTGCAGGTATGCTCTTGTTTCTTAGTGTTTTACCACCCAGTCAGCTGATTTAGCATAACGACAGACATATTAACAAGACAGCCACGCAAACATTTCTTAAATCCAGTTATTTCTTTCCTAAAAATACATTCTGACTGTGTGACCAGTCGCCCACCCACACTCACTCGTTACTGCAGCAGCCTGCAGCCACACAGAATAGCCAAAGCCGACAACTCTTGTTCAACGTGGTGTTTGCTTACAACCAGAGATGGTCCCCCTGGGAAGCATGATCTCCAACAACTTGAGGTAGAACTTGCTACGAGTCAAAGTGGGTTTTTCACAAATAATTTAGCTGTGGAGGAAGTGCAGAGTGACCGGTGAAGGGAGCACACGTGCAGGTCTTTTCTTTCACAAATATGGCTATCTCTACTTATCTAAAGATATCTGCACAGCCTTTGTGGTTGCACTGTGAGGACCTCCTTTGTGGGCTTTGACATTCCTGCTTCTTTTTGCACTCAGGACGATGTCAGGATAAAGTTTGAGTTCTCTGGAGAACGGAGGTGAGTTTTTTGTTTTATTGTGTGGGGGAAAAATCGACATACATCTGTGCACAAATGAGCGAGCACGCGCACATAAACACAATCACTCAGGCATGCCGATCTTGTCACATGTTCCAGTTCATGAGAAAGAGCACATCTCACACAGCAGCACTTACTGCAGACTGGTATATGAGCTGGGGAATGGAGGGAGGTAGGGAGGGGTATGGGGGGGGTTGCAGTTTGTCTGTGGCTGCCAGCACCAACCACAAATATGCGAAGGTGTACTTGGAGGATTCTGCACACAAGTTTTGCCTCCACATGTGAATGTTTCCATCAGCAGCTGGCACAGGCCTTCTCATAATACGTCCTTCTGTGTGATTTGTGTTATGTGCAGGATCCTGGTTTTTGGACGGCCTGTGCAGTTTGAGGAAGTCCAGCAGAAAGTCACGACTGTCTTTGGCCAGCAGCTGGACCTGCATTATATGAATAATGAGGTAATTATTTTATTTAATTGTCTGTAGATAATTACACACAATTGTCCTAATTGTTGTACAATAAAAAATAATTGTCACTTTTCACGACGGGTTCTTTATGAGCAGTCTTGTTGTGTGTTTGTTCATATATCTGACTTTGTTTCATATCGCTGTAGTTGTCCATCCCTCTGCGAGATCAGGATGACCTGGACAAGGCCATCGACCTGCTGGACCGCAGCTCCAACATGAAGAGCATCAGGATCCTGCTGCTCACTCCGGAGCACAGCAATGTGAGACACCAGCACACCGGGCGTAGGCTCACAGCGTACCATTGCACAACTCTCCATTTCTTCACTGCGGTGTTGTGTAAAATCAAAGTTCCTCATTAACTGTGCTGCTGACCTGAAGCGGATGTTTTTAATCCTGGGTTAACGCCTTATTTAACTTAACTTGTACCTTGTTTCCCTTCCCTGTTCCATCTGCAGGCCTCCTCCCCCTCCCACCACGTTCCGTGTAAGCAGGTGAGGATCAAGTCCTCCCAGTCCACTGGAGACGTCAGCACGGCGTATCAATCCTCCGAGCCCAGGGGGCGCCACCTGTCTACTGGTACGCATGCTCAGCTGATACAAACTCCTCTCTAATCTTATCTGGAACCAAATGGTTCACGTACATCCCAAGGAGTATATCCAGCCTTTTTATTTTCTCCTCAGTCTTAACGTTTTGTTACGGGGAGCTGGCACGGCGTCGTGCTGACGGCACATTGTTTTTACTGCCTTGATTCCCCCGTCTGTCGTGTTCTTTCTCGCTCTCTCTGTGGTTGATGTTTCTTTGGCTTCCTCTTTTAGCAATGGTTCCACTTCCTTTTCCTGTTCACCGTTACAAGACTGCTGGACAACAGCCAATCAGATTAAAGAATGCTATTTGTGTGGAGCACCAGTGGTCCGGTTTAGGATGAGGGTATTTTGTATTATTATAACTATTGTATAATTATTTTGAGTCATGACTACAGTGTGAGAATGATACACATGTGTTGCGGTCTCAACAATTGCATCTAACAAAATGATCATCCTAACTGATTTCCTCATTCCCATTTTCAGTCGCTCAGGGCTTATGTTTGTATTTTTATTGCTCATGTTTTTAATGTTTCTTCTCTGCTCATAACTTGCGTCTAATCCCAGGTTCTCAGAACACGGGACGCAGCTCGCCACCTCCCGGTTATGTGCCCGAGCGCCAACAGAGAATTGCTCGCCAAGGCTCCTACACCAGCATAAACAGTGAGGGGGAGTTCATCCCCGAGACCAGCGATCAGTGTGTGAGTCATTGCTTCAATAGTGGGGGAAGTTTACCGTAAGATACAGAACGCACAATGCTTTCATTTAGTACTTTTGAGATTGGAAATCAAGACCCTTTCTGAATTATTTGATGGATGGTTATTGATATTGTTAAAGTATCTTTTTGGAATGTGTAAATTCTAAGAAATGCCATTAATTTGGGAGCAAAAGGTTTAACAAAGCCGTCTGTAGATCCAGAGAGTTCTCCAACTATAAACTGCCAGCATAGCTGTTCCACAAAAAAGAAAATACGGGCTCACGTTTTCAAAGTTCTCAAACATAAATTCAGATTTCGGGAGGATTTTTCTACTTGTAATGTGTTGTTGTTGTTGTTTTCCACCGTGCCCCTTGCAGGTGCTGGATCCCTGGAGCAGTGCAGAAAACTCCGTCTCTGGAAGCTGTCAGTCTCTGGACAGCAACTCCGACAGGTGGGGAGTAAAATCTTTACATTCCATTGACTGACAACAAAAAACACAAAACTGTTGAATGTAAATACTTCTTCCTTCCTTCCCTTTCACAGCCCTTCACTGAGGAGGTCTCGCATGCACAGAGCCAAGAGTTACCCTGATAACCGTGAGGAGGGCTCAGGTGAGCGTGTCTACATGAAAAGCGCTCTCCTCCGTCCCACAAAAGCCTTGGGACAGCCTCTTTTTTTTTTCAAACTTCCTTTAAAATATGTATTAAGACTGGTTGTAAGAGATGCTTGGGAAGTTTGGGTTTACAACTAAATAAGCAACGCAATGTAAACCAAAAACATGTATGATTTGATGAAGAAGTTGCAAGGATGAGTTAAACAGGATGTCATGGTTTTGTTGTCAGCAAAACCGCTAGAATTACACAGTAATCCAGCTGACCTTTCACCTCTGGATATGTCCTTTTTCAGACAGGGAGAATCATGTATATGACAGGGTAGCGGGGAAAGGAGGCACCTTTCCTCGTAGGTACCATGTCTCCCTGCACCATAAAGACCACAGTGAAGGTAAGACCATCACTATCTTCCGCTCTATGTGATTTACTTGTTGTATTTCCTGTTCCTCGCGTGCTGTTTAATCTCAGGCAGCCTTTTTCCCGCCCTCCTCCAGGCCGCCGGACGTTTCCGCGGATCCGTCGCCCCCAGGGGAACCTCTTCACGCTGGTGCCGTCACGCCGGTCGCTCAATGGCAGCGAGGAGAGTTTGGGCAGCTGGCAGCTGGTCGACGCTCACGGCAGGCTGCGCCCCCAAGATCGTTCTGTGGCGCATAAGTGTGAGTGTTCGAATAACTCCAAACAAAATTGGCTAGTGACCAATCCAGGGTGTACCCCGTCTCTCGCCCGATATTAGTTAGTTAGTTAGTTAGTTTTTGTCTGATTCACTGCAGCGTTCAAGGGCCAGTACAGATACTGATATCATAATAAAAATACTAAAATCAAAGTGCAAATTCATATGAATTGCTGTATTTTTATTTTTTTCCCCCTCAGCCCCCAGTGCTCCGATGACGTGGCGGCGGGGGAAGCTTCTGGGCCAGGGAGCGTTCGGTCGCGTGTACCTGTGTTACGACGTGGACACTGGGAGGGAACTAGCTGCCAAGCAGGTTCACTTTGATCCCGAGAGTCCTGAGACCAGCAAGGTGCGACACCAACACGGATAGATCAACCTCTCCTGTTTTCAGAGAGACAGAATGCTCGGTCGTCTCGCCCCCCCACGCTGTTACTTATTCACGTGGAACCTCCTGACATTCTGCCACATCTTTGTGCACATTAATCAGTGTGCTGGTTTTGTCAGGAAATAGTGGCATTTCCTTTTACTGTAACAGTGGTTGATTTTTTAAAGTCTTTTGTTGATTAACAACAAATCTGCAACTTTTCACCACCGCCCAACTGTAAAAGTGCCAGGAATTACCTCATGTTGTGCATGTTAATCTGTTCAGGGCACCATGCTGGTTTGCAAATTATTATCTTAACCGAGCATTTGATTATTCAATCAATTACATTTTCTTGGTCTTAAGTCAGGTGTCGAGCCACATAAACTTTATTTTAATTCCTTACCACATAAATTAAATAATAAATCTGCAGGAAGGAGATTGATTAACTCAAGAAGGGGAATCTATTGAAGGTTTTCTTTCCTCCCTTAACCTCCCCTCCCCCATTTTAATGTATTTTCCTGTCTTCAGAGAAAACACGCACTGTCACTTCCTGTATCTGAAAGGAGCCGAGTGTTGTGAGGGAAGCGGTGGTGGTGAGAGGTGACGGGTCAGCAGTGCCTTGGCCTCACTTCACCACTTCACACACCCCCACCCTCAGCTTGTGGCAGTTATGATTGTTTGTTTCCATTAAACCAAATTACTTTTAGCGCCCTCTGTCTCCCCCGATGTATTGGCCTCATTCTTCAAAGAAAACACAGGAACTCCTTTCGGGGAACGCTGCTATTGGATTTCCTTCACTGTCCGCTTCAGGTTTCCCTTTCGGTAGTCTTCACATGCAGCCGTAAATCACTGTGTCTGTGGCTCCATTTGTTTGTCATCGGTGGGATCAGATATGAAGGAGCCTCGGTGGCTCCACCGCGTCCAGGAAATGCATCTGGTTTCCACGTGTAAGCCCCTGTTCAGAGAGGGCACCTTTTCGTGTTGAATGTCTGAGCGGTTGTGTGATCGCTCAGTGGCTGATTTCCCTGCTCCTCTGCGTGTCTCCACAGGAGGTCAGCGCTTTGGAGTGTGAAATCCAGTTGCTGAAAAATCTGCATCACGAGCGCATTGTTCAGTATTACGGCTGTCTGAGGGACCACAATGAGAAGACTCTCACTATTTTCATGGAGTACATGCCGGGGGTGAGTCCACGCTGCTGTTAGTGTCACGGCTTAAAACAGGCAGCACCGGAACGGGAAATTGATGAGTTTAATTGCATATATTGTTAGGTCAAAATGGAGAACAACAATCCGTTCTCATGACGTTTTTGAGTTTAGTTCCTGTGACTCTACAGTTTCTAAAGACCTGTTACATTACACTGCCCCTAACATAAAATGCATAACACAAAGGTGCCGCACCTGAACTTTGCTCCCCCTGTTACGGGGTGAGACCTTCAGTGATGTGGGAGATTGTTGGTTTGTGTGCTGTTGTGTCAAGCACGTGTTTTTCTCTTTTTTTATATCAGGGTTCAGTCAAAGACCAGTTAAAGGCCTACGGGGCGCTGACAGAAAACGTCACCCGGAAGTACACAAGACAGATCCTGGAGGGCATGTCCTATCTGCACAGCAACATGATCGTACACAGGGACATCAAAGGTAGTCCAGTTAGCCCACAGAAGCTCGAGCGTTACCCTGATCAGTGCGATGGAATATTTACATGCTCCGTGTCAACTCAGGCGCCAACATCCTGCGGGATTCGGAAGGCAACGTGAAGCTCGGAGATTTCGGCGCCAGCAAGAGGCTGCAGACCATCTGCATGTCCGGAACCGGCATCCGCTCAGTGACCGGCACCCCCTACTGGATGAGCCCGGAGGTCATTAGTGGAGAGGGCTACGGCAGGAAGGCTGATGTCTGGTAAGACACGCCGGAGAACAGAAGTTTGATCAAAGCCAAACACATCCTGAGATTCTTTACGGCGGTGCAATGCCATCTACAACATCATCCCATGATTTTAGTAATCCCAGTAACGTGCACGTCTCAACATACACAAACAATGTAAATCATGGCCTTTTCTGTACATAAGCAACACTTTACCAGCCAAATGGTTTAGTTTGAAAGGGACTGAAAGTTCTTTTTATGTGAGCACTGGGCAGAATCATAAGATCATTCCCCCTAAGGCAGAACTTTTTAATAAAGTTCCCGGTTCCCCACACACAGAGCAGAGAACATTCCCTTATGCAATCTGATTGGGTGGGGACCTACTTTGAGTGATGGGACTGGCTCAAGGCCAGGCAGACAGGTTGTAACAGAGGTTGGCATGTTCCAAGTTCTCAGCCCAGGTTGGAGGGGGAGTAATGCTCCCAGGAGGGCTTGTACCTCTCAAACGAGTGCAGGCGGCCCTCCGCAGTTTTCCACTCAAAACAAGCCTGTAAACCGAGCCGTTAACACCTGCTATACGTTTCAGCATGTCGTGTGACTCCACTGCCGATTCAAGCAAATGGTGCGTTTCTTTGACAGGAGCCTCGGTTGTACGGTGGTAGAGATGCTGACGGAAAAGCCCCCGTGGGCTGAATTCGAGGCCATGGCGGCCATATTCAAGATCGCCACCCAGCCCACCAACCCGGCGCTGCCCTCGCACACCTCCGAGCAGGCACGGGACTTCATAAGCTGCATCTTTGTGGAGGCCAAACACAGGCCCAGCGCAGAGGAGCTGCTCAGGCGCCCCTTCTCCCAGATTCTGTGCTGAAGCCGGCCTGGTTTGTGAACTCCTCACCACAGAGTAGCCTCAGCAGTATCCGTAGTACCTCTTTGACACCCGTCCGTGGAACTGATCCGGAAGATCAGTGTTAAACTCACCGAGCATCTGCCAGAGCTCAGACCCGTATAACGAGGAGCCTTTGTCTGCAGCAGTCAGCGAAGCCTTGAGAACTGAGCACTCGTGAGAGTGACCACACGGGGGAAACCCCACACGCATTAAGTCCCTGGATGCTTTCACAGAGACGAGTGCACGTATGCATGCGCTCCAAATCATGCACTCCGAAGGCAGCGGCTTTCAAGCCTTGCACATGTCGTGTCTTCCTCATCGTGTTCTCTTGTGTTCCCGTTTTTAAGCTACAGCACACCGCCGGTGCTTAACAGTGTTTATCAAGTGGGATTGTTCTCTTTTTTTTTTCCCCTCAAACTTGCGTCTGTCTTGTTTTATTCAACGGAAAATTCCACCTGTTTAGATCTTTGCTTGTCTGTGTACATCCGAGGAGCAACACCAGATGTGTTTCTGTGTTTCGGTCTGAGACCTTCAGAATTAAGAATTATTTTCACATGGTTTAGCAATTCCACAGGTGACAATAAATAAGTGCCCAATGAGGTTCTTCACTCGCTGTACCCTCAATCGAACAAGATGCACAACAGCCAACAGCCTCAGTTTGAGAGTTTGACATTTGAAAATATTAAATGAATATATTGATTTTGTTGTCCAAAAAGAGCATGACTGTCCGAGAGGAGCTGAGTTTGAGCTGATTTCTTTTAAATTGTCTTTTTACCAAAGCAAGTGTCTTATCCTTCTAAGTGCCTTCCTACTTTTATAGATCCCCATCGTCAAAGGTTACCTCAGCCCAAAAAGTGCATCAGAAGCGGTAGATGAAATATGCCATAGACTTTTACACTGCCATGCCATAGACCAAACAGCATGATGCTTTTTATAATTTAAAATGAAAAACTCATTTGGAAATATATTTCCTTTGCCAAAGACCGTACTGTTGATTTGTGCCTGGACCCAAAATCCCTCACTGAAAAAACGTTGCTTTAGATCAGATGCACTTTTGATCGAAATTAATGTTGTGGAGTTTTTTTTTGTTTTTTTTTACTTTATGTGAATTTCTTTTTTTTTTATTTATATTTCCATGTTCATCCCAATTAGATTTTTATGAGCAAAAAATATTTCCATATATGTATATACATATATGTGTGTGTGTATATTATGTATATATTATATACATTATATAGTATGTATATTATATTAAGACTGTGTCAAATCTAATGATACTTTCAGGACGTTTGGTCTGTAAAAGTAAATCATTTAGAGCAGCTGGTTTTGCAGACATTACAGAACGTGTAAATGTTAAATGGGTGGAAAACAAACTCTGGCTGCCTGGCTCTTGTTCTAGATCACACACACAAAAAAGTTCCACCCTTTGCTATAGGTTTAAACGAGTGTTACCTGACTGGTTACGGAAATCATTCAGCCATACGAATGAAACCTTTTGAGGCCTAACTGTTGGCATTATTGTATATGGGATTCGAGTATTACTAACATGTAATTAAAGGTTGTGTGTGGGCCAAAGACGAGCAGGACCGGAGCCAGTGCTGGATTCCACAGACGACTTTGTTTATCCCGGGGTCTAGACGAGTCCAGTCTTCAATCGTTTTCTGGGCAAAGGGGCTCACTGCTGCCTTAAGGCCAACATGAGGACTTTCAATGGGGCCACTGGCTAAAGGCAGCTTAAATGTGTACAAATGCAAATAGATTTTAAGAAAAGACAGTGAGGCAAAGGACCCTGTGGTAAGCAAATGAGTAAAGTATTTTTTTTTTTCAAGAGATCTATATATTTAAATGTATGATTATGTATCATGACGGGACTTGCAGTGCAAAGTCTAATGTATCAACTTTATTTTACAATAAGAAAAGAATAGTATGTCGCTCGCTACAAAACAAATAAATTGTTTTCAAAAAAATTGTTTCTCCCTTCTCACAGCTGCAGTCGTCCCGGCTCATTAAGTCCAGTCAATGAAAGACCACCTCATTGTTGGCAGTAATAAGCTGCTCAATTGATGCACTCAGTTTTTCCCCTCTCTCCCCGTCATTTTGTTTTCTTCCACTCTTTTTTTTTTCCTGTCATGAAGGAAAACAAGGGGCAGAAACAGGAAGGAGAGATTTCCACAACCGTGTCTGGCTGTGAGATGGTTTAGCAGATTGAACAAAGGGCCTTTTTTACGCAGAGATGCTTTGCTTTAGACAGGTCGTTTTTTATGTCCTCTGTTGTATTTTGCCCTTTTCTTTTACAATACACAAGCTGATAATGTGGTTGTTGTATTACTTTTGAGCTCATTTTCACGGTAAAGCTAGAGGAGCTACACTGTACAAGCGAAACACTTATAAAGGTAAATGGCTCATTCTAAGGTAATAAAAACACTTATTTCTGGCACACGATCGGTCCAATTTAAATATTTGATCATCATTGTTTGTTTCAACATTTAAGAAGAAACCCTGTATGTTTGAAAAGTTAGCGCAGTCCGTGTTTGTGTCTTAGCGTTGCGGTTGTTATGCGATGTTTGTGAGGTATATTTTGGCCTCCTGCATTCCTGGTGCCGATTCATATATGATCTACTTATCTATCCATCAAGCAAGCTGGTTTCCATCGCAGCTCATTGCTGATTCAGTATTACTATTAAGTTTTAGAAGCAATCCGTATCATACGAGGTAAAACTACCTAACAGAAAATGATATATCCATCTTGACCAAGTTCATTATAAAAAGGCGTTTCAAATTAAACAGGAATTCATGGTAAGTAACATATTCGCTTGTTGCAGTAAATCTATTACTACTTAGGATGAAGACCTACGACTCCTTAAATTTACACCCTGTCCTGGAAAAGAGGGCCTTGATACAGCGATGAAGGTGGAGCTGAGACGCTTGTGTTTCCAGCTTGTTAATCCAATTTGGTACGCGGCCTCGGTGAGGTTGAACAGGTTCACACCCGGCTTTCTGAGTAGTAAAAAGAGCGCAGAGCATGAAGCAACAGTGAAACTTAGCTGCAGCCGTGTTCCCTGAGATCAGAGAGAGTCCAGCAGCATTAAGATTCAGCCCCACACCGTTTTCCCCTTGTAAGTCCTGCCAATGTCTCCTCATGTCGGACACATGAATCAGCTGTTTGACTTGGCCCTCGGTGACTCCAGCAGCAGGGAGGGAAGTCTCTGCACCGCTGCCCTTGTTCTCTCTCTGTGAATGTTTAATCTTCGGCGCATATTACCTCAGTGACCAGTTCTGAGGCAACGGCAGTGATGGTCTAAAACATCCACAGAGCTGAAACAATTAGTGTCAACTTAATGATGCAACCCCGGCAGTAATCCTTAGCGATGGAGCCTTTTAAATCAACTGATCTCTGCCTGGCGTACAGTGGATCGTCTCATTTAACCTCTATCAACAGAAACCGATTTGAATTCAAGACACCGTGTTGTTGTTTTTCTTCCTTAGCAGGAACAACACTCGGAGGCCAGATAACAATTCAAGACAGAGTGATGCGGTGCTTCATTCACTGTCTCCCAGTACCACTGGTTTCCACTCGCTGGGATTTTATGACCCAGTAACAAAGAAGTCCTTTATGCCACACTGCTGTTGTAGTGTTACTACCTGTAGCAATGCATTAAATTAATGCTGGAAGATTCCCATGTGGGTGCTGTACAGTTTTAGCAATGTTCTTTATCTTCTGTCTCTTGTGGTGATAAATTCATCTAAGAATAATTAATAAAATAAAATGAGTTTTGGAAAGATAATAGATTTAGAATATTTTCCGTCAATTTTATCAAAAGAAAGTGTTATTTTTAGATGTTTTGGTATACATTTTCACTCCTCTGATATCATCTTGCTCAAGGTTGTTAGAATGTGTTTAAGTAAGCTGGTCAATGTATTGTGAATGAGATGCAATCTAAATGCTGTAAAATAGTTTTGTGTCAAATTACTTTACGTCTTTATTCACGTTCACCTGAAGAAGGAGAGAGACCAGGAGGACGTAATCTTGACCAATCCAATCTTCGAAAAAAGGATCAGCTGAAGGCCCCTGAGGAGGCCAGCCTGGCGGTTGTCAAGGTAATGGGTGAAAATGTTTTTGTAACGCAGGCCGATGTTAGTCCCCCCTGGGGTTCCCCCTCCCGTTATCCTTCCCTCCCACTACTCCACGTCCCAACCAGCCCTCCGTATTTGGAGTCGAGCAAGACGTCCAACACCCCGACCGAGGTGAGCGCAAGCTACAAGCTACCCATGCAACAATAAAAGCGTGCTTGTGCTCCTTCAACATGACCTACAGTTTTGTGTGGTGTTGTTTTGTCCAGTTCCTGAGCTGAGGAATCGGAGCATGAGCATTGACACGTTACAATCGTCAAGGTGTTGCTTGTTATTGGCTCTGGTGCTTTTGACACTTTGGTAGACACCATGTGACTTGGTGCCAAATAGCCTAGCACAACCTAAATTTAGTGTCTATGTGTGTGTGCCAAGAAATTTAAGACTGGATTAATGGATGTCAGAAAACACCTCAGTTCAGTCAATGTATATCCTTTTTCATGTCAGGAAATGTATTTCACTCAACAAATTCAACAAAACACATAAAGTTAACCTTAATCACATTCCAAAAAATATTTAACCCTGGCAGTAGTCACCAGTCAGTCAAAAAAGTGTAACAAATATTTGGTAATCTTATTTTCATGATGTTACAATTCACATCCATTGCTTCTATTTTAACTTTATTTCTGTTTCACTTCTCACCAGAATTAAATAAAACAGAAAGTAGTTATTGTCTGTAGTTGGTTGGCTGACTTTGGTTTTTTACATTTAAAATTAAAAATTATAATTGATTATTATATCTATATTTCATGGAAAGTATTAGTGCACCTGAGCGAATAATATATATGTAATAACCTGATTTTAAACAAAGTAAACAGATGGAAAAGCGATACTTTTATCAAAGGCTAGTGTAATTCCTTGAATAAAGCTTTTTCTATCAGAGCCGGCACATGTTTAGTGAATAATTGTAGGTTGTTATGTGACCATGATCTCAGGAGGGGAGAAGAAAAATCCCCCCGGTTCTGTCCTCCACAGGCTGTTTGTCTCCTCAATGGGACCCCAAGTGTAATAGCATCATATCCTGCGGGGCTATTTGTTGGACGTTGTGCAGCAACAAACCAAAACATCTGATATCACGCTAGGGCCTGTGAGTCCATTTGTTTTGCTTTGACCGTGATTCTGTTGTTGCTTTCTCTCTCACTAGAGTGAAGATCTCTTCCCGACGGCTCCATCCCTTCAAACTTTCTGTTTTTTGTATGAGCTCTAGTGTGCTCAGGTTGAATTGGTGACCACACCCTGTCACACAAATTCCTTTTCATTGAGCTGGAATAGATAGGGTAAAAAAGGAATGAAGCCTTGTTAGAAAGACGTAAAGAGAGCGTGAGTGTTAGGGCTCGACCAGCCAGAGAGTCGCACACCTGACGCCGCTCTGCTCATCGCCACAGCTGCAGCTCGTCAGCTCATCCCACAGGGAGGTTAAGAAGCAGATCTGCCAGTGGCTCGCTGTGAGTTCGTGCTCTGTGTTTCCCCAGAGAGGGTTGATTGTTCTTCCCCTGTGCTCCTCTTGGAAACCCTTCCGGAATTCCCTACGCAGAGTTTTTGTTTTCCCTGTGAGTATCGTGTGAGTTTTCATTTTTTGATTGGACTAAGAGCGCCCACGGACTTGAGAAGTTTTTGGAGTTGCCTTTTTTTTGTTTTTTTTCCCCCATGCCAATTAAGGAGGCAGTTCTTGTTTTTGGTTTGTTTCTCGTATTTGGTTATTTTGTGAAATAAACTACGCCGTTTTCCGGCTAAACCTAAGCTGTGTCTGGTGTCGTGCACTTGGGGTCAGAGACAATCCATAACAGTACGAACTCACCATGATGACCCCAGCCGACACAGACCGTGGCAGTTTAGAAGCTGCCCTGGATAGACAGCTTCAGCTGACGGACAATCATACTCACCAGCTGGAGGCGGCCGCCATTGCCGTGCAGAACCTCCAGGTCCAGCCCCTTCAAGCTTCGGTGGAGAGCCTGACTCAGCATCAGGTGGCGTCGGCGGCCCAGCAAGCCGAGATTCTAATACAGCTACGGGCATTGACGGCGGCTCTCACCACCCAGCCGCCGAACCAGCCTCCGCCTGTGAGGGCAGTGATCCCGCCCCCGGGGGATCCCCTCCCAAGTAGCCCTGCGGAACCTGCCTCGTTACCCTGGGAACCCTGCCTTTCCAGCCCACACCCGTTCGGGGGTGACTTCGAGACTTGTGCCACCTTCATAATGCAGTGTGAGTTGGTGTTTACTCACCAACCCAGCCGCTACACCTCCGACGCTGCCCGAGTCGCATATGTGACGAACCTGCTTACCGGCCGGGCCGCCCAGTGGGCTGCCGCTTCCTGGTCCATGGGTGCCAGTTTCCGTCACTCCTACAGGGAGTTCGTGGCCGAGCTCCGCAAGATGTTCCACCATCCAGTAAGGGGTAAGGACCCCGGCGCCCGGTTGGCCAGCATCCAACAAGGCAGCGGCTCGGTGGCGGACTACTCAGTGGATTTTAGACTGGCCGCTGCAGAAAGCGGGTGGAACGACCCAGCCCTTCGGGTTGCCTTCCGAAGGGGACTCTGCGAGGCAGTGAAGGACCAGCTAGCTACACGGGAGGAGCCCGCCTCCCTCGACGACCTCGTCAGTCTCGCCATCCGCATCGATGGACGCCTTAATGAGAGAAGGCGGGAGCGAGTTCCCCGGGGACCCCTCCCTATCCCCCACATCTTCAGCACACGGGAGAGGAACCCGGTCGCCCATTCGACTTCCCCCAGTCCCGTCCGGCCTTCCACGTCACAGACAGCGACCGAGGAGGAGCCCATGCAGCTGGGACGCACGCGCATCAGCCCAGCCGAACGGGAGGCCCGATTCAGGGGAGGGCTGTGTCTCTACTGTGGCCAGAAGGGGCATCGCATCAGCGGCTGTCCCACACGGCCAAAAGATTAGGCTCACCAGGACCCCGGGAGATCCTAGTGAGCCGCCTTTCGTGTTCCCGTAGTCCTGCATCACCTAACCGGCGGGTTAGCGTCACCCTGGCTTGGGCAGATCAACGGATTACGGTAGGGGCCCTCCTCGATTCAGGGGCGGATGACTGTTTCCTGGATTTGGGTTTCGCTGTCCAGGCTAACATTCCACTGAGGACACTGGAGAAGCCTTTAGAGGCCTTTGCACTGGACGACCGTCATCTAGCCCGCATCACCCAATGCTCCCACCCAGTCTCCCTCACTGTGGCGGGTAACCATGTAGAGACCCGCCAATTCTACCTCATCCAGTCCCCGTTGGCCCCAGTGATTCTCGGGTACCCCTGGTTCGTGCAGCACGAGCCACACATTGCCTGGTCCTCTGGGACTATTCTGGAGTGGAGCGCCTCCTGTCACGCCCAGTGCCTCCAGGCAGCTCCAAGTCCGTCACCCCGCCCGACTCCCCGTGCCCCCTCCCCGGACCTTTCCGCTGTCCCTCGGGAATATCATGATCTGGGAGAGGTTTTTAGCAAGTCTCGGGCTCAGTCTCTCCCTCCACATAGGCCATACGACTGTGCAATCGACCTCCGCCCAGGGGCCCCCCTTCCCAGCAGTCGGTTGTACAGCCTGTCCATTCCTGAAAAGGCCGCCATGGATGATTACATCTCGGAGTCAGTGGCAGCAGGGCTCATTCGGCCTTCATCCTCACCGGTGGCAGCGGGGTTCTTCTTTGTGAAGAAGAAGGATGGGGGTCTCCGACCCTGCATTGACTATCGCCAACTAAATGACATTACGGTCAAGAACCGGTACCCCCTCCCCCTCATGAGCTCCACCCTCGAGCCCCTGACCCAGGCTGCCATCTTTTCCAAGCTGGATCTCCGGAGCGCCTACCACCTGGTCCGGATCAGAGAGGGGGACGAGTGGAAGACCGCCTTCAAGACACCCCGAGGTCATTACGAATACCGCGTAATGCCATTCGGCCTTACCAACGCCCCGGGGGTTTTTCAGGCGCTCATGAACGACGTGCTCCGCGACATGCTGGATGAGTTCGTGGTTGTGTACCTCGATGACATCCTGGTGTTCTCCAGGACTCTCGAGGAGCATGTCCAGCACGTTCGTCGGGTGCTCAAGCGTCTCCTCCAGAACAGACTCTTTGTCAAGGCTGAGAAGTGCCGTTTCCACTCCGCCTCTGTCGACTACTTGGGTTTCATTGTGGAGAGAGGGCAGACGCGGGCCGACCCCCGCAAGATCCAGGCGGTGGTAGACTGGCCGAGCCCTACGTCGCGAAAGAAGTTGCAGAGCTTTCTGGGATTTGCTAACTTCTACAGAAGGTTCATACGGAACTACAGCGTCGTGGCAGAACCCCTCACCAGGCTGACCTCCTCTTCCCAGCCGTTCATCTGGTCCCCGGCCGCCGACGCCGCTTTTCGGTCACTCAAGAGGAGGTTCACTAGCGCCCCAGTGCTGCTCCATCCCGACCCGAAGCGACAGTTCATTGTTGAGGTGGACGCCTCGGACACCGGGCTGGGGGCAGTCCTTTCCCAACGGGCGGTGGGAGATCAGAAGGTGCACCCCTGCGCGTTCTTCTCCCGGCGTTTTCTTCCCGCGGAGATGAACTACGACATCGGTAATCGGGAGTTGCTGGCAGTAGTAGCTGCTCTGGGGGAGTGGCGCCATTGGCTGGAGGGGGCAGAGCAGCCATTTACCATTTGGACAGACCACAAGAACCTGACATTCATCCGGGCGGCCAGGCGTCTCAATGGGCGACAGGCTCGTTGGGCCGGTTTCCTCAGTCGGTTCAATTTCTCCCTGACCTATCGTCCCGGTTCCCGCAACATCAAAGCGGATGCCCTGTCCCGACTACATCAGGGGGGGGGACTGGCCACCGAGGAGTCGGCACCCATCGTCCCCGAGACCCGGGTGATCGGCATGGTGGCCTGGGGCATCGAGACTGTCGTGAGGGGGGCGCTGCGCTCCCACCCTGCACCGAGTGGCGTACCCCCACGTAGGCTTTTCGTCCCGGAATCTGTCAGGCCCCGGGTACTTCAGTGGGGCCACGCCAGCCAGTTTGCCTGTCATCCCGGGGTCCACCGCACCTTCACCTTCCTAGCTCGACGTTTCTGGTGGCCCACAATGAGGAACGAGGTGAGGGACTTTGTGTTGGCCTGCCCCGTTTGTGCCCGCAGCAAGGCCTCTCACCAGGCACCTGCCGGGCTGCTGCAACCCCTCCCTGTTCCTAGCCGTCCCTGGTCCCACGTGGCCTTGGACTTTGTGTCTGGATTACCGGCCTCCCAGGGTAGGACGGTGATATTAACAATAGTAGATCGGTTCAGTAAGGGGGTGCACCTGGTGGCCCTCCCCAAACTCCCTTCGGCGTCAGAGACGGCGGACCTCCTGATGAGCCATGTGTTCCGGCTCCATGGCCTCCCCCAGGATGTGCTCTCGGACAGAGGACCTCAGTTCATATCCCAGGTATGGCGGGCATTCTTCAAGGGGTTGGGCGCCTCTGTCAGTCTCTCTTCTGGTTATCACCCACAGACTAACGGGCAGACGGAGAGGATGAACCAGTGTGTGGAGACGGCACTCCGCTGTGTGGCTGCCAGGAACCCGTCCTCCTGGAGTCGGTTCCTCCCATGGGTTGAGTACTCGATTAACTCCCTTGTCAGCTCTGCCACAGGTCTCTCCCCTTTCGAGGTGTCGCTGGGGTACCAGCCACCGCTGTTTTCGGCACAACAACCTGAGGTGGCAGTTCCGTCGGTACAGACTCATCTGGACAGATGTCGTCGCATCTGGGGAGTCGCCAGAGCCGCTCTACTCCAAGCGGCTGAATGTAGTAGCCGGGGGGCCAACCGTCGCCGGAACCCAGCGCCAACATACCACCCCGGGCAGAGAGTTTGGCTGTCCGCCAAGGATCTTCCCCTGCAGTCAACCGCCAGGAAGCTGGACCCCCGTTTCGTGGGCCCCTTTGAGGTCACGAAGGTGCTCAGTCCTGCCGCAGTGAAGCTGAGACTACCGGCTTCTATGCGGATCCATCCTGTGTTCCACGTATCAAGGATTAAGCCCGTCGCCTGCAGTCCTCTGATGCCTCCTGCCCCGGACCCACCTCCACCCACAATCGTGGATGGGCACCCTCAGTGGAGGGTTCGCCGACTGTTGGACGTTCGGCGTCGGGGGCGAGGGTACCAGTTCCTGGTGGACTGGAAGGGCTATGGCCCGGAGGACCGTAGCTGGGTATCTCGCCGGCTCATCATGGACCCGGGGCTTCTGACCGCCTTTTATCGAGCCCATCCCGAGAAGCCTGGCAAGTCGCCGGGTGGCTCCCTTGGAGGGGGGGGTAGTGTTAGGGCTCGACCAGCCAGAGAGTCGCACACCTGACGCCGCTCTGCTCATCGCCACAGCTGCAGCTCGTCAGCTCATCCCACAGGGAGGTTAAGAAGCAGATCTGCCAGTGGCTCGCTGTGAGTTCGTGCTCTGTGTTTCCCCAGAGAGGGTTGATTGTTCTTCCCCTGTGCTCCTCTTGGAAACCCTTCCGGAATTCCCTACGCAGAGTTTTTGTTTTCCCTGTGAGTATCGTGTGAGTTTTCATTTTTTGATTGGACTAAGAGCGCCCACGGACTTGAGAAGTTTTTGGAGTTGCCTTTTTTTTGTTTTTTTTCCCCCATGCCAATTAAGGAGGCAGTTCTTGTTTTTGGTTTGTTTCTCGTATTTGGTTATTTTGTGAAATAAACTACGCCGTTTTCCGGCTAAACCTAAGCTGTGTCTGGTGTCGTGCACTTGGGGTCAGAGACAATCCATAACAGTGAGAGTGAAAGAGAGAAAGCCAAGAAACATTTGTAGCTGAGTGGACGAGCACAGACAATCCCTGGCACACACTCTGTGAGTGTCATGTAAACCACCCCTTCGCTCTAACTTGTTGTCCCATTCACTGCCTGCCACCCTCCTTTCTCTCTGTGGTCCCCGTGGCCTCTCTCCTTTGGACATGGGGGCTTCGCCTGCCTCTATAAAAGCCCCGGTTGCACCCCGAGTTAGCTTCATTTCACATCATGGAGAGTCCGAGAGTCCAGTCCTCGTACAGGAAGCGTTTCGGACCTCAGGGTTCGGGCAGCGCTGGAGCTCGAATTGGCAGCCTTTCTTCCAACCGCCTCTCCTGGCATGGCACCCCCCGCAACCTCACCTACTCCAGCCCCATGGCCCGGATCACCTTGGGCTCAACCAACCCGGCCCTGCACCTGGGGAGCCCCGTCAACCGGCTGGACTTCTCAGCCGACTCCCTGATGAAGGCCCAGTACAAGGAGACGCGCACCAACGAGAAGGTGGTGATGATGGGCCTGAATGACCGCTTCGCCAGCTACATAGAGACGGTGCGCCTTTTGGAGCAGCAGAACAAAATGCTGGTGGCAGAGCTGAACCAGTTTAAGGGGAAGGAGCCCAGCCGCCTGGGGGACATCTACCAGGAGGAGCTAAGAGAGCTGCGCAGGCAGGTGGACGGTCTCACTGCTGGGAAAGCTCGGCAGGAGATAGAGAAGGACAACCTGGCTGCAGATGTGACCATGCTCAAGCAGAGGTAGGATACGGCAGGGCGGGTGGAGGGTCATGCCGGTGGAGGGTCATGGTAGGGATGCAGTCACACAGTAGCACTACCTTGGTATGTCTTATTTAATGCAAAGGATTGCTCTAGTCACAGGCGTACTGTGCCCATTGCACATCTAAATGAAGACAATGTCCTGCACGGCCTTGCGGATGATAGAAACAGGCATTTAAAGCATAAAGAAGGTTAGAAGATACCTTCACATGTGCTTGTTTAATATTTAGATGAACTTATAAAAAGGTCATGTGACAGCAAGCAAATAAGTACCAAACCCCTTACTGCTGTGTCCCTAAATCTGGGGCTAAATCTTTGCTTTACTTATTTTTCATCTCCTATGAAGTGTGCATTTTTTTCAGTTTTTCTCATCTATGCATCTTTTTGTTTCAAAGTAACAATCCCATGTGTCACTACAGCCTCTATGTTGCTGAGAATTATGTCCCAATGGTCAAACTTTGCCCAGTTTTATGTTAATGCAGTGCACTAGTTGCTTTCACATCTAGTAAAATACCAGCACGGTAGAAAAATAGTTGTATTTGCTTGGATCTGAGGTGTCTTAAAATACAATGAGACATATTTTGCTGCATACCAGGTACTTTTCTTTTAAAGAATGCATCTATATATATGCAGATTTGGTTGGTCTGTGATTCATAGGAATGCAGACCTCCGAGCTGTACTCCCCGGTCCCTCTTTACAAACTTGATCCTGACTGAACCCCTTGTTGCCATTGAGTGAGTGTGGAGGAATGAGGCAAACACAATGGCAGCCGTCCACAAAGGAAGCAGACGGGCAGATGTTCTCTCCACTTACTGAGACTCGCAAATCCAGTTTATTTTTATTCGTAGAGCAGTGGGGCATGAATCTTATTTAATTTAATTAAGCAAGGACATCCAGTGATTTAATGTCCTTGAGTTTGTAAAAGTTGACTCCTCTCGACCCTCTGAAAGAGCGCAGAGTGAATAGCGGCGCCGTGGCCAAGACGAGCAAAGGTCTCTTTTGTGATTCCATTCAGCAAACTCTGCATGCAGCTTTACAGATGTTACCCAAAGTCTGGGCATTTACGTTTCCAAGTCTCAGATGGATTGCAGTATGGTGTGTGTGTGTGTGTGTGTGTGTGTGTGTGTGCGTGTGTGTCTGCTTGTGAGGTTGTGCGTGCACACATGCACCCTTTGTGCACTTGTGTGTGAGCTCCATCCCGTGGGAAAGGCCTCTGGCTGTTAGACTGGAGTGAATGTGTAACGATGCAGAAGCTGCCCTTTCAGCTGAGCCCCCGTCGCCTCGCCAAGCACGAGGACGCTCACGGTACAAATCGCTTTTCAGTTTGCATAGTTTGACTGTTGATATGGCTTATTTGAGTTGCAGGAAATGGTATGCTGGATTTTGTTTTACTATTGGTGCCCAACAAAGCAGAGGAAGTAGACAGAAATAAATGACAAGCAGGAGCTCAAGAAACAATCTCATGGTGGCTTATTGTTGTTTGAAAATATATTATTGATATGTGTGTTGTGATGTATGATGTGTTTAATTGTTTGTCAACATGGAAGTAACCTACATGAACTGAAGTACAGTATTAAAGTTATTTTTATTGGCCGAATGAAATTAAGCAGGATGTTTTGTGTGATTTTGAATCAACGATCACCTGAGAAGCACTTTATTTCTTTTAAGATTTTTTTTTTCTTTTACTCAGGCTGCAAGATGAGATTGGCCTCCGACAGGATGCAGAAAACAATCTGAATGTCTTCAAACAGGTATATAATTCAGCTGATGTTTCTCTGAATACATGTATGTAGCATTAACGACTATCCTCCTCTTCCCTCGGTGTACCTCCTTCTCTGCATAGGATATGGATGAGGCGAGTCTCAATCGGGTCCAGTTAGAGAGGAAGATTGATTCTCTGCAGGAAGAGATAGATTTTTTGAAGAAGACTCATGAGGAGGTAAAAATTAAATTCGAGGAAAAAGCATGCTCAACCAACTTTGACTACCACCACATGTAGCTTTAACCACACGTTTGTCTTAAATTCTTCCTTCACCTTTGCCCCTCGCAGGAGCTGCGTGAGTTACAGGAGCATATCACGGCCCAACAGGTGCACGTTGACCTGGACGTATCCAAACCAGACCTGACTGCTGCTCTGAGGGACATCAGGGTCCAATATGAAACTATGGCCTCCACAAACATGCAGGAAACGGAGGAGTGGTACCGATCCAAGGTCAGAAGAACTGAAGAACTCAAAGAGCTGCTTTACATGAAGTGTGTTCTTTTGAGGAGACACTTGCAGGCTTTTAGACTGTTTGCCTTTGTACGCAGTTTGCTGACCTGACGGATGCAGCCAATCGGAACACAGAAGCCCTGCGCCAAGCCAAACAGGAGGCCAATGAGTACCGGCGTCAGATCCAAGTGGTGACCTGCGACCTCGAGGCTCTCAGAGGGACAGTAAGTTGACCTGACCTCGGAAAACACAGCGTGTTAGGATGGTACTTGATCTATCTGTGATCAACTATAGTTATTCAGTAAAATTAGATGATTTGTAATGAATTAAATGATACATTTTTATTAAGACTGTGACACTTTTGTTTTATTGCTTCCTCAGTATTTGCATTGGAAGCAAAGTATTCAATATAGAACATGAAAACAGCCTCAGTAAACTACAGTCTGCTACATTCGATGTTGACGTTCATTACTCGGTGTCGCCTCTTCTCTTTGAGAACGAGTCTCTGGAACGCCAGCTCCGGGAGATGGAGGACCGCTTCGCCAGGGAGACTGCCGGTTACCAGGACACAGTGAGCCGTCTGGAGGGGGACATCCAGACTCTGAAGGAGGAGATGGCGAGACACCTGCAGGAGTACCAGGACCTTCTCAACGTCAAGCTGGCCCTGGATATTGAGATCGCCACCTACAGGAAGCTGCTGGAGGGAGAGGAGAACAGGTGAGCCACAGCTCGGCACACCGTTGGGTTTGAGACCAATCGGCGAATGTAATAAACATTCTTCCTTCTTCTTTATCCAGAATCACCATTCCAGTTCAGAGCTTTTCCAACCTACAGTTCAGAGGTTAGTATGAAATCAATCACTCCATATTCGCATCCCTTTGTTCATTTTAATCAAGGATCATGTCTTGTTAATATGAAAGATAATCTATAACAAAGATGATGCAATGCCAGTGCCATATTGACTTTCTTTTGCTAATCGGACATATTTATTTATATTTATATTAAAAAAATCGGTTATCAAGGGCATACGTTGATTGCAATATCCCGCAAGATTGTGTGGATTAAAAAAATGCAGTCTTACTTGATAAAAAGTAGACATTTGAAACGATAATGATCCTGATCAGCACCTAGCTCTTTTCCCATCATCTCCCACTCTTTGTAATCTTGTATAGACAAAAAAAGCCTGAAAAACAAACTTGTTTGGGAAGTTGTAGAAAAATATCTCCTTCCACTCCTCGCATTCTTTTTTTCCCTCAAATGTTCTGTTTATTTCTTTTATGGTTTTTTGGGGACGACGACTCATCGAAATATACCGCGTTCACTACCTGAGAGGTTGAGACATCTTAAGACATCGAACAGAAGATAATGAATTTCTTGGACTGCACTTTCATTTATTAGATACTAACCTGGACACTAAACCTCCAGAGGCGCACGTGAAGAGGAGCATCCTGGTCCGAACGGTGGAGACCAGAGATGGAGAGGTATGTGCTTTCAAAAACCAGTCACGCAACTCGCACATTGCACCTCCCGCCCATTCCCTCTGGAGGGCAATGTTGAACCCTTCTGTAGGTTTTACCATGATGTCATATGCAGTAAAGACTCACTTGGGATTTTAACTCTGATTTCTTTTTTCAGATCATTAAGGAATCAACGACTGAACACAAAGATCTTCCTTGAAGTTAATCCATCTTGATTTGAGAATTATTACAGTTTCTTTTTTTGTCTTCAAACCCCAAAGCTGCCCATCAGTCATCACTGTATTTTATGTTCCCCTTCTTTCATCATCACTTTTACTGCCCTACAACCACAACATGAACGTTAATCATTCCTAGATTTTCTCATTAGATTTATTATTATCAGCTTTTGTACAGCTGTGAGTAGAATGTAGGTCACCCATCTTAAATGATCTACAGCCTGTAGATCAAACTATTGGAAATCTGTTTGATTCTAATTTTGACTGACAGCACAGCTTTTTAGCATTGTTTCAGAGTAGCTGCTATAGAAGAGGCCTTGATGAGTAGCAATTGTGTTCAGCTAATATGGGGCATGGTGAAGGTAGATATGTGGATATTTGTATGTGAAACGTGCCATGGGAAGTCTGAGCGAGAAGGAGAGAGAGTTGATGGAGACAACATCATTGGATGTATGCAGGAAATGAGAGGTATGTGTATGTAAAAACTGCTTGTGGCAGAACAGCAGTTCAATTTGGACTGTTTCAATTCATATTTTATCTCTGCCTTGCCTAGTGTTCTTTTGATTTAATTTCTTTTTATAAGCAGCAGTTACCTCTGTACGTGTGTTGCTGCTTGTATAACCTGCAAAAGTGCTTTCAATTTGCGCATACCTGCCTCACCAACGAGACGTGGGTTAGGGTTAGGGTTAGGGTTTTTTTGTGTGTTACGACCCTGAACCTCACTCAGAGCAATCTGCTATTACTACTAAGGATAAAACTGTGAAACCAGGTGATACAACAAGTGGTATGTATGACAAACTGGACAGTCAGTGATCTGTAGACACTGTGATTGACACATGTACTGTATATTTACCTCTGACACCAAGGAGGCACACAGGAATCAAACAGGATCTGATTGCAAAATACAAAAATCTCAAGGACATCAGACAAACAGGCAACTGACAGCTGGTGCATTCAATGTGAGGTCACAGCCGAGTCCAGAATGAATCAAAGGTATGATGTTTGATTTATACGCTTTGGCATCAGGACTTCCATTATCCCTCAGAACAGCTCAACCAATCAGCAGTTCTGTCTAAATCAGTTTGTGCAGTCAGCCCGTTTTAGTTCTGTTTTTTTCCCCCTGTGTGACTGCAACAAAGGCCGATGCAATGTTTGAGTGCCTTTCACGCAGAGGGCCGTGACCATGGCAACCTTTTACAGTGATGTCACATGCATACCGATTATAAAGATGGTACTACAAAATAGAGAAAGAAATTAACAACTTTCCTCCATCACTTCACTTCTGCACATTGCCTGTTCATCACAGACCCAGCTGGTGGCGTCTTCTCTCTTGAGCACAACCTGATAAAACGTTGTTTAACACTACGACGCGTCAGGGCATGCTCACTTATCCAGCAGGGGTGACAGGGACATATTCAGGTTGGAGGTGTGGAGGAGGTGTTTGAAAGCTGTTGCGTCCTCCAGCCTCCAGTTTTTCCACCAATATCCCTCCTCCCAAATTCACTGTCCAATTTCTGTAGTGTTAGTCTGATAGAGAGAGAGAGGCAGTGGAAAGTGCTCTGGATATAACCTCCATCAAATCCCACAGCACTACTTCCCATTATTAATATTTCAAATGGGATGACGTTGTGGTGGCGGGATGGACAGATAGATGTAAAGGCTCAAAGCTCTGATCCAAGCCTCCTGCTTTGTCAGAAGTCCCACTGAGTGAAGCCCCGCTGACAGGCGCTGCCGCTAATGAGAGTGATGCTACACCGAAGCTGGGTGTTGCTGCGATCGTCGCCAAGGACACACTTTGAATTTGCGTTCCCGTGTGCCTCCCACCTGCTCCCCTCCACAACTTCCACTCCCGCCTCTCAACCCCTTCTCCTGTTTCTCCCAGTAACATGCAGCGCTTTCTTGTACTCACGGAGCTATTTTTAAAATGTGATCTTAGATAGAATTTCTGACTCCCCAGTCTTGGATTAAAGACACAGATGAATCCTGCTCTTTTTGTGGAAGGAAACCTCTGCAGGTGGGAATATAACCTTAGTTCTGACAAATGCTAAATGTCACAATGTTAAGTTAACAACAATAAAACATGATTCAGAGTTGATGCCTCTTTTTGGTTACTATTAAGCTTCCCATTTATATTTTGTGTACACTACATGCGTTGATCATTGTGTACTTCTGATTCAATACTGACATTTATCAGTCTGCCACACACGTTTCATTGGGTACAAATATATATTAGATTTGGTGTCAATCAATGTTTTGAAAAATAAAATCATGTTTTCCACACACCGAATGGTTAAAACAGTACACCAGCTTTCATCTCAGGGAAATGAGGGTTATAAAGATGGCGGCAGCAGAATGTCGCTGTTCATCATTCTAGACTGTTGCTGCACGTCGGCCAGGTCCTGCTGAGCAAGTGGGCTCACTTGCTGCAATATGACGGCTCATTATTATCTGTGTTACTGGATATCCTGGCAGAAAGTTGATCAGGTTACTTTTCTGTTTGTAGGGATTCAAGAATGGGATTTGCTGGGATTTATTTTTATATGTTGGCATTTCAATGTGAAGAAAGAGTTTCAAAGTATAGCTTGGACCCAAACAAAAAAGTTTTTCCATCTTCTGCCTTTATCTGCTGCCATTTAACAACACAGTAATAAAGACATGGCAACATCAGAAACTCAATAAAAAATAAATTACAAATCTAGCATCTAATCTAAACAAAACATTTGCTTGAAAAGACCCCGCATGCACCCCATCACATCTAAACTTTCCACCAACACATGCATGCGCTGCTAGTTGCTAAATGTTTTTACGTGTTTGTTCAAGTCATCACGAAGAACATTATTAAATTTGAGAGCAAACCTCACGTATCATTATTTGGGATGATGTGTGACTGGATGTGTAAAGTTCAGTTTGCAGTGTATCTGTTTTTGCCCACCTCTTATCACAGGAATGGTGGGTCTCAGGTCTGCACAGAAGTCAACCTTGAGCTGAAAGAATTCCAGGCAGATAAAACTCTCAGGCAGTCGGGTCGTCTGGCTCTGAAACACTTTCCCGCCCGCAGCTGCTGGGAAGGGGCGAAGACGGACATCTTTAAGCTCATTATCTCTCTACGGCGGGTGCGAGGTGACAACAGCTGTCATGTCAGCTATAGAAAACAAAAAATCACACGGTCCCCAAAGCTCATTAGAAAACACATACAAATTAGGCGAGGATGGACTTCCAGTATGAAACAAATACCCTTTATTTTGATTTTAAGAAATCAGTGCAGCACGTAATGTCGACATCCTGGAGAGCACTCGCCATTGATAAAGCAAGCTGTCTTCTGGTGTCTATTATATTATATATATTTTTAATGAAACAGTACTGAACAAAGTTTAAACAGTTGCAGATCAATTTTAAGTTCATCATATCCTGCTCTTAATAAGCACAGACAAAAATTAAATCGCCACCGAAAAACAACAACATTGTGCTTCAAATGCTTTAAACTTTTTCATTTGCCTTTTCAGTTATTATTTGAGGAAATAATAGGTGGAATTCTGCAGCCAAACCTCTTCCTCTTTTCAGTTCTTTGTCTTTCGCTGCCCAGTGTGGTGCACATTCGTCCCTCACACTAACGGGTCATGGGAAGGCATGTGGGCTCCTGGGTTTAATTTTAGCCCTCATTTCATCAAGGCCTTTGAGACAAAACACAGAGCAACCGGCTGTCTGCTGGGACCGTGAGGCCACCTCTGATCTCCAAACACCCTTTAAAGACCAAACCACTCTATAAACAAACGTGCTTGTAGCAACTGCTCTTCGTGGGACAAATTGGAGTGATGACTTCCTAGATAGGTCACCAAAGCACTAGGTGAGAGGATCACGAATGGTCTTTTGATGACGTTTGTTTTAAATATTTCAAAAATAGGTCCCATATAGACTCTGTATATCTCAGATATCCACTGAAATAAATAATTACGGCTATTAGATCAATTAAGGGGCCGTGTCAGTGTCGCCAGTGGAGACATGTCGAGAAAGAGGAAGTATGGTAGACAGCAGTACGGCCTTTCTGGCAGCATTTCCCAAACAAGTAGATGCTTGTGCGTCAAGGTGTCCCTTGACACGCAAGATATACAATTGATGTTGTGTCTCTGAATACTCAGCTTGTCTCATCGTGGAGATGATTACAGTCTTTTAAAGTCCTACGACTGACGTTAATGTGAACACATTCAAGAACAGCGGAAGAGGCGGCTTCAATGCACAAAAAATGGTACTATCTGATAGATTGAAAGAGGACCAGGCACCACATGCACGACACCCACCCACCAAACCCTTAACTGGACTACAGGTTGAAATAATACTTCAGGAGTGTGATGGCAGCCACGGGGAGAGGGAGCGAGAGAGTTGATGCTGCTATTTTGAGCTCCTGAGACGATGTCAAGCCAGTAGACTAATGAGGGGTCTGCACTTTGTCAGTGTCAGACTACCATCAAGTCTCCATGCTCGAATAAACATCACCTCAGGAAGTTGATTTCAAGATAAATTAATGCGTTATTAAGACATCGTTTTAAGCCACGCAATGTCTCCAAATCCCAATATATGCAGAGAGTATTTGTCCCCAAATCCCTGCTCATTTTATAACCTCTTTGTTTATGACAGACATCCGCTGTATGTTCTAAAATGTCATAAGCTTAGTCCCTTGAGGGGATTAACAACAATTATACTATATATAAAGATTACCAAAACGGCATGAGGCGTTATAAATATTTGATCCTGAGGGAAAAACAAGTTCCATGGGCATGGATTAAGGACACACTGAATTACAACGTTGAAGGATTCGGGGCCACTGTAACACATTTAGCGATACAACAAATAACGTATTTCGGGCAAACACTGATACGCTAGATATGAATTGCATTAGCTTCAAGACGTACTGAAACAAATTCCAATTTAGCTCGTAATGAGCGCAAAAGAAAGGCATTGCCACTATTTTGAAAGTTCATCAACGCGCACTTCCGCTGTGGACACGGTTAACTCACGGTGACTCGTCGCAGCTCGGCCCCGTGGAGCCGCGGAGGGTGGAAGGGGAGTGGACCTAGAGGCGTAGGAGCCCAGTCTTCGCTGTCCGGATCGCGCACTGTCCAAACTTGAGGGATAATGCTGCGATTATCCAAATAACAAACCGAGATATCCCGCAGCTCCTGTTTTCATCGATTTCATCAACCAAAAGGGGTTTTCTTTTTTTTCTTTTCGTTTTTGCCGTGAGGAAACCAAATAGCAAGGAATCGTTTTTTTTCCTCATTTTTAAATCTTTAAAAATGTGGCATATTGCTTTTGAAGTACCCTAGTTTACTCCCCCCCCCTCCTCAATATCAGCGTGCAACATCCTGCATATGCCATCACCCTGGCAACCAGACCATCGGTCCATCAGCCTCCTGTGCTCCAGCTCTCACCACCATCAGCCCTCACCACCATCAGCCCTCACCACCATCAGCTCTCACCACCATCAGCCGCAGCCTGCGAGGGAAATCAAGCCCTCGTCGTCTAAGTGGAAGCAGGGTTTGTTTTTGTTTTCTACAAAGGGGGTGATGCTCATTTTTCTTCCTTTCTTTATTTTATTTTTAAAGTAGTAAGGTTCATGTGTCGGAGAAGTCTTTTCTCCCAGCACCAAAATGCCTGTGAGACGCGGTCATGTTGCGCTCCAGAACACCTACCTGGACACCATCATCAGGAAATTCGACCAGCAAAGTAAGTCCGCATGAAACTAGATTGAGTTATCACCATGCGATGCTGTTAACGTTGGGGCACTCAGTTGACCCCGCGGATAACTATTATAGTTAAGTGCAAAGAATGTGCGTAAGAAAGTCTTTGTGCGGGATATAATGTTCTCAGTACCTGGAGAACAACGAGAAAATGGATTTGTGACAGGGAATGTTTATCAGGAGCAGTGTGCCGTTACAACATGAATATTCATGTCATGATTACTAAAACAAATCACGGCTGAGAATGGACACCTGCTGGATGATACAACATGTTGAGTGCAGGGATAAACAATGTGAGTAAAACCTAGTTAGTTTGGTGCCACAGCATTTCCTTTCAGGGCTACAGGCTATCGTTTATTTTTCTACATCTCATAATAACTTAGAGTCTTGAACAGGTGGCATGACTGATTGGCTTTAATAGTTATATTGACATTCTTATCAGATTTGTATAGTGGTGTTTGCTCACCTGATGTCATGCTCCACTATCTCAATTGTTCCACTGACTGCAAAGTGAGACCAGCACTCACACATTTAGGAAGAAAATATTTTGTTTCCATTTTAAATGCTTTTGCACATCAGCAAGTTACATATTTGTTGATATAATTTATTGTTTAAAAATGCTATAAAACGTTATTTGTGGACTCAGTTTTCCCTTATTCTCCTATTTGTAGGCTTGCTAACCCCGACATCCTGATCAGATATCACCAAACATTGAGCAATCATTGATTGCTTTCAATCAGTTTTAGTCTGATTTAATCTGAGGGCAGCAGCATCTCTGAAGCTCCTGGAGAAAAAAACTGTTATGTAATACCGCCACTGTATGTCACTTAGTTTGTAATGTGCACGCGCAGCCACATGCACGTGCCCGACCAGGTGAGTGCACGTGCCTCGGCGTTGCTGCTAAGCAACGGTGTGACGATCATTGTTTCCGCTTTGAGCACAGGGTAATGACTTTGGAAAGAGATGTGCTTTCCACAAGAGGAGATCACCCATTTACTTTAAAGAGAAGGGTTGAGGCAAGAGTCCCGTCCACTCGTCTGTTTGTGCAGCAGACAGTCAACCCAGTTCAACCGCAGGATAATAAAAAGAAATGTCCTCTTCATTCAGCTCAAAGAACTCCTCCATTAGCAGCTCTATAACAAAACTGTCCTGTTTCCCTGCTGTGCTCGCTGATGCTACACGACAACCTGCAATTACAGGAATTGTATGAGAATAGAATTAAGCTGCAATTAAGGTTATTTCTAAATAAAGAGTAATGACTTAACTTGTAATTAATACTCCAAAAAAACAGTTTCCATTAGAGTCTGAAATACACAGGTATCAACATCACTATATAAATAGTAAAAGAAAGCCCTGTGTTATACTCAAGTAAAAGTACACAAGTATTATGAGCTCTGATCTTTGCTTTCTTTAACAAAAGCTTTACCTGTTTGGGCCCCTAAATTTCAAATATTTGAGACGTCCAGAGGGAAAATGTTTCTTTTGTGCAACGTCTAACAACTCATCATCTGAAACAATGCGTTATATTTCATAAGCCATCATATTTTCTGCTTGTTGAAAGGGAAATAGCCGTTTGGGCTCAGGGTGGAGTGATTTGGGTTAGGGTTTCTAAAATACATTCCATATACATGGAAACTCTGCTATAACCTCCAAGAAAAAGTTCATAGCAGAGATAAAAACATCCCAAACCGTCTAAACCAAAAACACTCTACACATACAATGGTGAAATAGAAATGAGTACACCTACACCTGCACGTCAGCAACCTGTATTCCCATACATTAGGTGACAGAAGGTGTCCGAGCCAGAGGCTCTTAAGTTAAGTGCCCACCTGCTTCTCCTCAGTCGCTTTGGAGATATTGTGACGTTAATAACATTAGCACCATGGAGATGTTGCCTTCATTTGAGCCACTCGAGTTGATTGTCAGGTGGAGACCATGAATGGGCATTTCTATTGACACTCTTTTTTAACTCAATGGCTAATCACTTAGAAAGGCAGTGGGTTTTTTTTTAGCTTATCTTTAGGTATTTAATTTCTCATAGTATTAAATGTAGGCCTTTTCTGAAATGGTCTGCTGATCTGTGCGATTTTTGTTGATTTAAAGTTGTGACAAACAGTCCTTTATTTATTGATGAATATAACAAAAAATCTGCCATTAACCTGTGTTGTATTTAATACAAAATACTTAAAGAGAGTTTTGCAAGGAGATTCTATATTGTTTAAAAATAAATATATTAGTTTCTTACTTACTTTTCAACTTAAACCCACAGTAACTACATCTCCAGATTTTTCCTCTTTATAAACTGGAATATGACGCTGGTTTCCTCCGCCCATCAGATCGCAAATTTCTGATAGCCAACGCCCAGACGAAAAACTGTGGCATCATCTATTGCAACGAAGGCTTCTGCCAGATGTTTGGTTTCGCCAGGGCGGAGATCATGCAGCAGCCCTGCACCTGCCAGTTCTTGGTGGGTCCCGGCACCATGAAGAGCGCCCTGGCCCAACTGGCTGAGGCCCTGCTTGGCTCAGAGGAGCTCAAGGTGGAGATCCTCTACTACGATAAAGAAGGTAAGGCAACGCAGGGGAACCTGCTTGCAACCTCAGATACTTGGCTGTGAGACAGCTCGATTGTTCAGAAAACAGTTATATTTTAATCATCCTCATTTAATCATGTTGTTTTACAATCCATTTTTGTACAAGAAACCCGTTTGGACAGATTCCAGACTATCATCCTAACCTTCTTCGGTAAAAAAAGAAACATGGTGGTATTATAACTGTAATTGGAGAACACAGTAAAAGAACACATGGAAATTACAGAGCGAATCTCCATTAATGTTAATGCCTCCAGGTGCAGACTGGCCAGACCATCCATTCAATTCCTCCGTCTCTGTTTTATTTGTCACTTACTCCAAGCATAAAGGCACGCAAACACACCAGACTCAAGGCGATTAATGTCATAATCCATTCTCTGTCTACTTACACACACGCACACACAGGCGCACACACATTTTGTGCTACTTTGGACATTTCAGCATGGGGCGTGCAGTCCAGAGCACTGTTGTCATGGAAATGTGATCAGCATGCGGGCTCAAATCCACTAAGGATCTATTTCTTTTGTCTGCTGCTTCCTACTGTGCTTGCAGACTAGACAGGCAGAAAAACATGCAAATAATTGCATACAATGTGATCCAGATTGGATGTGTGAATGGAACAAAATGCAGTGTGTGTGTGTGTGTTTGTGTGATAACCTGCAGTATTTTTTCAGACTATGCTGATTGTAAAGTGAAGTTTAACCTGACAGAAGTGTTGCTTTTTTAGCATTCTTTAGCAAGCGTATTAGAAGGCTCAGAAGGCAAAGGTGGTTGCTATTTTTCCTTTTTGAGGGGGGGGGGGGGGTGGGTACAGCTCCCCTGTGCCCCCTGCTTCCCTAATGACGTGTCCCTCTTTCTGTGTCAATAGGAACCTGTAGACCATGCCTTGTAGACGTTGTCCCCGTCAAAAACGAAGAAGGTCTTGTGATCATGTTCATCCTCGACTTCCAGGAGCTGGTTGATCCTTCTCTCAAGAAGTCAGGCCTCAAGCAGAGAGTTGCCCAAGGATTTATATACTGTAAACCCCCTGTGCCTGATAATACGCTTTCAAAACAATGACATTATCTCCAGTTGTTAAAATGGAAGGTTTGATAACGGCTGAGCTGAACATAGACTTTCTGCCCACAGGTCAGAACCGCAGGTTGAAGATGAGGCTACCGGTGCTGCGGTCCATGCGACAACCTTCACTTTCCAAAGATCAGTTTGAAGGAGTGGTCGTGGACTACCTGCAGGTGAGGCTACATTGATACAGTTACAACACTCACAGGAGTGTACGTCATTCGTTCTGCTGTAGTAAGTTACTGGCAAAAAATCGACTATTGTTGAGGTCTTTCTTGAAATGCTTCAAATGTTAAAAGATAATCCATTTCTGTTTTAGAAATTCAATGATCATTTTTGTACACCTAAGACAAAGCTTCCTGCTCTCTGCTCCTGCCAGCCAAATGGCGAGGATGTCTCCCTCAAAGAGTTTCGTGTCCCATCCAAGGAGAGCTGCATGCAGTCTGAGACCGAAGCCCTCATAGAACAGGACCTCGATCCTCCGTCCCCTGCAGCCCAGTCCTCCACCCAGCGCCGCTCCCTGCTGACGGACCGCCTGGACCCCAGCGACGCCTTCCCCAGGGGTCCGCTACCTCTGAGCTGTCTTCGGGACAGCGTCCGCAGCCTTCGACGCGCCTCGTCGCTGGACGGCATTGATGGCATGAGGGCCGAATGGAGCAGTCGACCCGGGGACGTCCAAACCAACAGCAGTGGGTGTCTGACTGGGACGCTGCCGTGGGAATTTGTTGTTAAAATACGGAATTACTAGTGGTATTTGTTGCAGGAGACTAAAAACTAAATCGTGAAACGGATGTTTTAACATTATATTTTGTCCGATAAACTCATGATTGGTGTGTGTGTGTGTGTGTGTGTGTGTGCATGTGTGTGTGATTGTTTGTCTGCTTCTGTGATAGTTTTCCTTACCATTGCACACTGCTGCACATATATCGTCTTCTTCTCTCACGGGAAGTGTAGGTTCCAATGATACTCTGGACTCTCAATACGTCTGTCACATTTGCTATCATTTCTATCATATCAACATATTTTTACTTCCATCTCAGCCTGAGAGTCTTTGGGCCTGAGGGGAATCACAGTCTGTCCTCATCCTCCTGTTGAGGGCAAGACATAGAGGATGAACAAAAAGCTTCAGTTTCTGAAATAACTGTAGTGTTTCTTTTTTTAAATTTGGTCGTGTTTTGACCTTCAAAACTCAAACACATTTTCAGGTGCTCATTTTCTTTGTTCGGTTTCACATCTCACAACAATTCATAACGTCTTCACGATCTGCTTTTGAATCTAAATCGTTGATAGCGGCGCTCTCTGCCGTAGATCTGAAGCCGAGTGCTCTGAACTCTACGTCGGACTCGGACCTGATGAGACATCGGACCATCGGCCGCATCCCTCAGGTCACTCTCACTTTTGGCTCGGACCGGTTGAGACCCCCTTCGCCCACTGAGATTGAAATCATTGCACCCAGCAAGATTAAAGACCGAACCCAGAATGTCACTGAGAAGGTCACTCACGTCACTCAGGTGAGAGGAGTGGAAAAAGAGATGATTAACTTGATAATAGATTGTTGGTTGCTTAAAAATATGATGAATGTTTTGGATGACATCAAGTCAAGGTAAGCCTCATATATAGAAGCAGCTGATGCCACAGCTTGTCTGGATGTGGCTGCGTTGACTTAAACCCTTTAAATCAGACACATGGGCTGAATTAAAAATAATGAGTTCAGGTTTTAATCATCATCACAGTAAATCTCTGTGTTAGAGGAATCCAAGATACTTTTTCTTTGAATTTCTGGTTTGAAGTTTAATTCAAAAAGTAAATCTTATGCAGTGCTATTATATAATATATGTTTCTAAACCACCAAAGTTCATTTGACACAAAATGTTCCAGCATTTATACACAATGTGGGAGAAATACCAGACTTTAAAAATGTGATTGTTCCGCTAAAAAGTTTAAATATTTGACCTTCAGACACAGAACAGAATATGCCTAGAAAAGGTCATAACTCAAAAGGCATGAGTGTGAGTATCTTGAAACTATTAAACCAAGACTGGATTTAGGTTTTCTGAATTAACAGCAACTATAACACATTCACTATGCTTGACTTGACACTTTGTGTAGATGAATTAACTTCTGAAAGAAAGCTCATGCAGCTCAGAGGATTTACACATACTTACGTCTTTTTCTTGGCTTTTCTTTGAACAGTTTTCATTTAAGGAGGAAAGACATTAAGGAAAAGTATTGAACAAAATCAGCAATACACTGACAAACCACCACAACACATCACAGAAACATTAGATTTGCATTGCTTTGAGTAACACACCTATTCATTATTGAGCCGTGCTACATGCGTTTTTTGGTGCAGCACTATTTGCCTATAAATTACTGCTGCCTTGGTGGTGCTGAGATCTCACTTCTTCACACCAGGGGGGAAAGTGGTATCGACAGCCGGCTCTACAATGTGGAGGCAACGTGGCTCCGATGGAACCTGGAAAAACTGACGGGATTAACAGAGGGCCTCATTGAATGGCTGGCAGAGCACTTGAGTTTTTATCTCGACTGTGCTGAAGTCATGTACTAGTTTGGATAAAGAGTGTTTCTCTGTGTTAGCGTGTCACTGGAGTTGCGTGTCAGTTATTGTTATTGTTTATTCCTCTTTATGCTTCTGATGGAAGGTAGACTTATTAGAGCTCGGCCTGTGGAAATGTGTCTTTATAGATCACAGTTTAAAAAAACATGGATATTGACGCTGTGTAAATCCTTTTGCAATAGGTCGTGCTTTGGATTATACCTATTCAACACCATATTCACTGAAGATCTTTGGATTTTCACAGGATGAGAGCTCTCAAACATTTGTTTAAAAAATGTTGCGTGTACAACTAGATGTATTGTTATTTTGTGTTGGTTGTTCACAGTACAGTTGCATCTCCTGTATAGTTGCTATAGATGTATGTATGGAACTAGGCAGCGTTGAGCGAGGGGGACTCCCCGTTGCTTGAGTGTGTGTGTGTTGGGGATCGCAGTCCGTGAGAGGTTCTGGTGAGATGTGTGGTTATGAAAGTGAGTAGAAAGGGTGCCGGCTGTGAGGCTATTGAGCGGCACTCTGTGGCTTGACTCCCATGCCGGTGACCTTGGCCTCTGAAGCTAATGGAAGTGGAGGACAGCGGGCGCGCTCCCTGCGCATCGGTCAAACCAGCTCACGCTGGCGTCAGTCTGTGTAGTTGTCCCGTTTCAACAGCTTGACTCACAGGGGTACCTTAGTCCTGGGGGGTCACAGACCAATGTGAAGCCCTGAAGGTCAGGTCTCAGGTCACTGCGAAGCAGCTGCTGTCACATGAGCACAAACTGTAGAGGTGGTCAATAAACACGCCAAGTGCGGTTTTGTCTAAAGAGTTAGTAATGTGCTGTTCACATGTTGCTGAATCTATATGCAGATGTTGCCTTTACTTATTGTTGTAGGCCGTTACACAATAAAATTGTTCATTGTAGCGACTTCTATAATTGGATTTCGATTGGCACCTTAAAAAAAAGGGAAATGAAGGTTGTCATTGATCTTTGTTCATATTGACTCGTCTGCCTAACATGAAACACAGTGTGATTGACTTTAGCTTGTGAAAGACTGACAACTGTAGAAAAGCCCCAGTACTCCCGGTACTATTGTGTGTGCTGCCCCCTGGCTTTGAACAGGCTCCCAACAGCAGCGTGTGGGGATTCAGTTTGAAATATATGCAACTTTATTTTTTATTTTTTTAGAGGTGGCACCGTGATTTTTAAATTGTGCGGGCAGTAAATTAACATGAACATATAACAATTTACTGCCCGCACAATTTAAAAATCACAAAGAAGTTTTATGACCTAAACATGCACATTGCCAGCAAGCATTAGTTTATAAATGATAATGAAATAAACAAATTCAGGTCCTGCAATAGACCGCGTGTATTCCCCTGATCGGTTTAGGTCTCCATCAGAGTGAAATAAAAAGTTGCTTAAGGCTTCTTTAAGTACAATCAGTCAATTGATTATTGACATCAGTACAGTATCATATCAATGATTAACTTAAAAGGTCATATATTTGATTTGAGCAACTTTTATTAACCTTTAAAAGATCACATGGGCTCAAAATCAGCACATCCTGTAACTTAATACAGCCGCCTATGTGAACATTAAAGAATTCTCAAAAACAATAACAAAATAAGAAATAATTCATCGTTGTAAAGCATTACATGTAAATAGCAGAATATTTCAGAATTATTTCTCAAATAGCTAAATAAATAACAGTGGTCAGTAGAACACAAAAGAAAAGCTACTTTGGCGTTGTCACTTGTTGAGCACCAGCCGAGGAGGAGGACGCTGTCCTCCATTGAGCCACTGGATCATTTCTCCTTGTTTGAAGGAGGTTCTCTTGTTGGAGGTTGGGCTTCATGGTGGGTGTGGGATGAAGAGGGATGGACAGGGGTTTCCTCCCCTTCTCTCTTACACTCTCCTCCCTTGCTGTTTATCCTGTAGTGCGCTTCAGCATGAGCTTCAAGCATAAACTGCAGCCTGTGAGTACCTCAGCCTTACTGGGTCTCTCACGCTCCCTGATCTCCTCCCAAACCCTCCCTTGCTTTTTAAGCTTCACTTCTCTGTTCATTTGTTTCCCCCCTCACTCTTCTTCCCTCTCTTCATCTTTCTACCTCAGCCTTCTTGCTGACCTTCTGTAGCGCCACAGGTGAACAGCATCAGCTTTATCCATGTGAAGCTGATGCCATGTTGCCTTGCAATGACAAGGTATTGCCGCTTTGTTTGTGACAAGTCGCAAATTTAGCAGCTTTAGCAGATTCTTAACATGTCTGAGTTTTTTTCAAGTTTACCGGAGGGGTTTTAAGTGCAGTAATTTGTTTAATGTCTTTGTTTAGAGTGAAATAAACTGCACAAAGAAGAGGCTGGCTTACACGTTGTTCAATCTGAACTAACGTATGGGTGGTATTGATAGAAGAAAATTAAGGGAGATTAGCTATGTTAGAGATTTTGCACTTTACTTTGTGACTTCCTTCCAGAAACTGGATACAAGTTGTATTTTCTTACTTACTTTGCAATGACCTACAATTCAGTCTGGATTGAGTCTGGACCTAAGCTGCCATCTCAATGAAATAAACGTGTTTAAATGTAGAAACAGTGGACTCTTTTTGTGTTAGTTATAAACTCCCAGTGATGACACAGAGCTGTTGCGTGCAAACTGTCGATGGCAGTTGTTCTATGGTCGTCATTATGAATCAGAGCTGTGCCCGACGTCAATAACCTTTCTTGGATGAGTGAACTTTAGCTTGCATGTTTACGTTCTCATTACCGTGTTGTCTTCTCGCATCTCTTCAGCTGCTGTGGTCAGTTGCCAGAGTTTGCTGTGTTCAGTGAATCATGTGAGGTCTTAACTTTGTTTCCTAAAACCGTGCGCTGTCTAATGGTCATAAAAGGAACGCAAGCCATCATCTATCAGTCATCAATGCCACTGGGTGTGGTGATGGAAAACTACACAAACCTTTGTCATTCAGAGGGGAGATCTATCTTCATATCCCCTCAGCTATTTTTTTTTGTTTACCAAATATGGTCGTGACCATTCAGCAACCTTTTTCAGTGGACTGCTTTGTCCTTAAGAGGACATCTAATTCTACCATGTTCGACCGCTGAACGCGGAAAGTGAAAGGAACTTGTTCCATGTGGGAGTTTAATTTTGGTCACCACGACTCCAGTTTCTCCTGTCAGGTCGAAAATGCAAATCAAAATGCAAATGAGGGTCTAAACACTGGACAGTTTCTGTAGAGATGGAAACACAACAATGCACCAAGAGTATTTTTAACACACGTTGGTGAGTCAGTGTAGACATGGCTGTCAGCGGTGGAATTGAGAAACAGACAGTGTGGACATGTTGGCATTACAGGGCTGTGCCATTTTCTCCTGCCAAACCTGGTGAGAATCTTCGTGAGCAAGTCGTTAGTTGCCTCCCAAACACAGAATATCAATCAAAGAAGCCTGAGTGGCCATTGCATGGTGTCATGGTTTGTTCAGCGGCCAATCAATTCTGCACACTCATTCCCTGTTAATCCCTGTTACACTCCCTGTGTGTGAATCATTCAGTTGAGCTGTTTTTCACTTCAAGCTGAGTGACTGACATGTTGCGTTGATGAAATAAAAATGTATTGCTTGTGTGAGTTTTGAGGGAAGCCAGCATCTCATTGTTCATGAGGCTTTACTCTTTGAGTTGTCCGAGTTGTCCAATTTCTTACATTTAAGTCAATCTTCTTCTTGTAGCGTGTAACTATTTTGCTGAAAAGCGCTTGCAACAAGTGTTGAATTTGCATTAACATATTAGAAACAGTATCTTTCCTTTTTGTCATCGGGTCAAAACCTTTTAGCCACAAAATGAAAGTGGAGGATGAATTATCCTATATTATACATTATAGGAATGTGGATTAATGTCTGAAACGTATGCCTCATGAAGGAACCAATAAACACTCCAATAGCCTTGAATCTGCTGCCTTACCTGTATTATTCATAACACCCTGGCCATCTCGTCTGTCTGTCTTTAGGTGTTGTCCCTCGGTGCCGACGTGCTGCCAGAGTACAAGCTCCAGGCCCCACGCATCCACAAATGGACCATCCTTCACTACAGCCCCTTCAAAGCCGTGTGGGACTGGGTCATCCTGCTGCTGGTCATCTACACCGCCATCTTCACACCGTACTCGGCCGCCTTCCTTCTCAACGAGGTGGAGGAGGAGCGGAGGAGAACTTGCGGCTACACCTGCAACCCTCTCAACGTGGTGGACCTGGTGGTGGATGTCATGTTTATCGTGGACATACTCATCAACTTCAGGACCACCTACGTCAACCACAACGACGAGGTGGTCAGCCACCCAGGTCGCATCGCGCAGCACTACTTCAAGGGCTGGTTCCTGATTGATATTGTGGCTGCCATCCCCTTCGACCTGCTCATATTCCGCACCGGGTCTGAAGAGGTGAGAAACAAGGGGAGAAAACGGTGGCATCACGTCTGAAACAGAGACATTTTTTCAGACTACAAAAAGGCCAAAGAAAAAAAACTGCATCTGTAAAATGACATTAGTGATCGGGTGTATTTAAGCATCCCAGTAGCTCTTGCCAGTGTGCCCCATCGTAGAATGCCGCCATTAGTTACGCCTGTCTATTCCTGCCACAACACGACCACGCTGAAATCTAGCCTGTAATCCCAGCTGGCCTCAGAATCCTGGGATATGCATTGTTGGGTCCTAACAACATCATTTGGGTTTCTATTTTAGTTTCATGTCATACCACATAACCTTTGTTTTGTCTCTAACTCCCCTGTATCCCAAAATAAATAAAAAAATAAATCAGATTTTATAGAAGGCTATGGGAAAATGACCCTACTTATCACGCTATATTATCTCAGTAAACATTGTGAAGAGTTTATGTTCTCAATCACTAGTTTGAAGTCTTCTTCAATACAGCATGATATTCATTTAGTACAGTATGTCCCCATTCAGAGTAAATAGACAATACGCATGATATGTTTTACCATGGGTTTAACATTGATGACCTTGTGATCCTTAGTTTCCTTAACACAGTGTTTTCTGGGCTTTCTGGGGACACAATGTGTTATTAGTTATTGAAACTTAATTGTAACATGTAATCTAATAACAGTGATTTGACAGTACTTGGCTGCAACCCTCTCGCGTCACCTCTGGTTGGCTAATATTACAAATATAAAGTCTCCTCTCTCTCTCCACCAGCCTCAGACAACCACTCTGATTGGATTACTGAAAACAGCCAGGCTGCTGAGGTTGGTCCGAGTGGCCAGGAAGTTGGACCGCTACTCGGAATACGGAGCCGCAGTCCTTTTCCTCCTCATGTGCACCTTTGCACTCATCGCCCACTGGCTGGCCTGCATCTGGTACGCCATCGGCAACGTGGAGCGCACTGGTTCTGCGCGCATCGGAGGCATGAAGATTGGCTGGCTGGACAACCTGGCCGACCAGATCGGTAAACAGTACAATGATAGTGACGCAGCCTCGGGCCCCTCCATCAAGGACAAGTATGTTACAGCCCTGTACTTCACCTTCAGCAGCCTGACCAGTGTGGGTTTTGGGAACGTTTCACCCAACACCAACCCAGAGAAGATCTTCTCTATCTGCGTCATGCTCATTGGCTGTGAGTAGAGTGGGAGTGAGAGCAAATGTGAGCAATGATGTTGTTATGCTGGAAACATCAGTTTGCTAACATTGATTTTGCTTTTTGTAAAATTAATACATTTTACAAAAGTTTCTTGGCAAGTAAAATAGCTATATCAGACTGGAATGTTTGTCCTCCAATGAACATTTATCCTCAATCAACTCCTCCAACAAAAAGTATTTCTACCATCTGTCCCACACAGCCCTGATGTACGCCAGTATCTTCGGTAACGTGTCCGCAATCATTCAGAGACTTTATTCCGGAACGGCCCGGTATCACACCCAGATGCTGCGGGTCAAAGAGTTCATCCGTTTTCATCAGATCCCAGGAAGCCTGAGACAGAGGCTGGAGGAGTACTTTCAACATGCCTGGTCCTACACCAACGGCATCGACATGAATGCTGTGAGTCATGCGGGACATTCATATACACACAGGATCTTGCTCTATGACGCAGGGGAAGAGCATTTGACTGCTAAACAAGAGGTCCCTTATATCTGGGTGTCCCCTGGGTATTGTAATATCATTATTGAATGTTTGGACTTGATCAAAGCTACTGACAATTGCATTCACATTTAGGAAATCATTACGGAGTTTAGCTTACTGAACAGAATTTTCCGCTCTACTTCCTCATATTCATATTTACTAACATGTAAAAATGTTTGAAAGATTATCTGGAAGGATCACATGTATGGGCAGAGCTCAATGGTACAGCATTTGACTGCAGATCAAGAGATTGTTAGTTCAGATTTGCGTGTACCCTTTGTACTGAATACAGTGTTGTCGTTGAGCACGCAATAATGGGAGAGTGGGATTTCAACGCTGATGTGCGTCATATTGGTGATTGGGCTGCTAACAGCATTGGAACATTACACAGTCAGAGCGCAGCATTAGTGCCTGCCAATTCAATGTGTGAACAGATAATCACTGGGAGCCACTGTCCTTTGTCCCCTGCCTGAATCAATCTGACACCATCTGATCTCCTGCTCTACTAGCCCGCAGTTTCCTTAGTATGTACCTTTCAGATCCATTTAGCATTTTAGATCGAGTGGTTTGTGTAGACGCAGTACAAACAGATGAAGGAAAAATAATGTGGTGATTTATTTACGGTACAATCACCCAATGCCTTCTGTTGCCCTGCAGGTTTTAAAGGGGTTTCCTGAGTGTCTACAGGCTGACATCTGCCTCCATTTGAACCGCAGCTTGCTACAGAACTGCAAAGCTTTTCGAGGTGCCAACAAAGGCTGTCTGCGTGCTCTGGCTATGCGATTCAAGACCACCCACGCTCCACCGGGTGACACCCTGGTCCACAGCGGGGACATTCTCACCGCTGTCTACTTCATTTCTAGAGGCTCTATAGAGATCCTCAGGGACGATGTGGTGGTGGCCATACTAGGTGAGCAACAAGCTGCAGTTGAAGGTTCTGCTTACTTTGCCCTTTTTCAGTCCATTATATTAATAATCGGTCCGTCAAATAATCAATAAATGATTTCACTTATAAATGTCAATAACAATGACCAATGCCCATAACAAATGATCAAAGTTTTTAATTTTACACCGGCAGAACACTGTTCACTATAACCACAGCATGCTGCTTTTTGTGAAATTACTTCAACTGGAACTAAAATGATTTTTTATTACTTTATGGCATCTGTTTTTAGCCTTCCTTCTCTTCTCTTTATGACAAAGCCACAGCCATAAAACTCACACTGCCCTTACTTCACATCACACATACACACAGTGTGGGCAATCTGTGTATGTGTGTTGCCAGAGGTGTTTGGGCACAGCTCCACTTCCATTCCACATTTGCATTGATCATCAATAGGCCCACACACAGCAATCCAGGCTGCGTAGGTCATTTCTTTTCCAGCTGCAATTACTCTCTTATTTGCTGTTGAGGAGCAGTGTCACTCTAGTGGAGGAGGACACTAGTGATGGGGGAGGGGGGGGGGGAGGTGAACGAACAAATCTTTTATCGAGTCATTTGTTGACGGGGGTGGGCGGGGAGATATTACCGACAGTTCAGTAAAAAAAACAACACGAAAATGTAACCAATGGCATTACTTATTTTGACACACATTTTTTGCCAATACGTATTAAACCAACGAGATAATGTGTCAAAAGGCGGACCTTTTTAGTTATTTTCTCAAAAAGAGTACAAACGAGGGGCTTAAGGCTGCGCTTGCAGCCGGACGGGGCATTTAAAAGCCGGACTGTCCGGCCTAAAGCCGGACGAATGGCCACCCTAGTTTGGGATCCGATTCATCCATCAAAATATTGTCAGTTAACTATTTGAGTAAACATCGCTAATACTAGCAACGGCCTGCTCACTCTTGCTCTTCTCACATGCTCTTCTTTGCTTCTGTTGTGATTTCCGTAGGAAAGAACGACATCTTTGGAGAATCCATCAGTCTGTATGGGCGGCCAGGTAAATCGAGCGCTGATGTCCGGGCTTTGACCTACTGTGACCTTCACAAGATCCTGAGAGACGACCTGCTGGAAGTGCTGGACATGTATCCCGACTTCTCCAATGTGTTCTGGAACAACTTGGAGATCACCTTCAACCTGAGAGATGTGAGTGCCACCAGAGGGCGATGCTACGCGTAGAAATACCGTCCGTAAAGTTCTCTCAATGAGAGGATCCCTGACTACTTCAGTGTAGATCATTAGATTTATCATACGTAATGATGAAAGGCAGTCTAAGAATGTATCACATCAAGTGTGTACTTTTGAATTACTGAAACTGATATGTATCAGGCAGATAGAATACAGCAGCCAACCCCGGGCAGAGACTCTGAATGTGGCTACCGCCGGACGAGGCATCGGAAAAGCTCCCTGCGTCGCCGAAACCGACCGGGTAAAAACACGCTTCCACACTTTTTAAGTTTTGTCTAATCTCTTATATTGTTTCATACCGAACGGCCCTTGACAATGACTTGCAGACGGCATGGATCGTGAAGACTCTTGCCCCAATCAGTCGTGTCCAATGGCAAACCACCAGCAGGGAACCATGTCAGGGTCCCATTGGGAAGGTCTCTGCAGCAGTGCTAGCATCTGTTCACAGTCCAGCGATGAGGAGATTAGGCCCATGGGACATAGGAAAGGGGAGCTGTTCCCGACAGGAGACACCAGAGACTACCTCCCGGCAGTGGTCAACCTCCTGCCTCAGAGTGGACCCTCGGCTGGGATGGGACCGCCTGTAGACCTCACAGGACCCCAATACTCAGGTACACTGCCTACATGCCCAGCATTAATGTTTGGGTAGTCACCAATAGGCCCGATGGAGATTTAAAATCCTTTTTCACAGTTACCAAATTACAGTTATAAGTGCACACTTTTAAGGCCTTATGAGGTTTATTACTAAGCCATCGATTTTCTACACGTCTTTCTCTATAATATTTAATATTAAACGAGAATTATACAACATTCAGTGGATTAAAATAACAGCAAACGGCTTATTGCTGTGAAAACAGATAGTGCAGTAATATCTAACTGAGCAGTGAAGGAAGTCACACTACCTGTGCGGGTTGTTATGTACTGATTTGTTCACAGCTGCTCTGCAATGTTGTCACTTGTGATTTCGCCACAGCTTTGTGCAGACAAACATTCTTACATGTTCTTCTCTGCCAACATGTTTCGTGATTCTTCTATCAAAATTAAGATACATCATAAAAATATGATATGAACATTTTTTCTTTTTTTTTGCACATAGCAACAGCCCCGATCAGCACGTCAGGCCTGTATGGATACTGGCCAGAGCGCGGAGCCAGCCAGTTCTCAGAGGGCCAGAGACGACCGTCTTCAGGCCGGACCAGTTACCACCCTACGCCCTGCGCCGAGCATCGATCCAGCGAGCTGGACTCCAGGCTGGAGCTTCTACAGTCCCAGTTAAACCGGTGAGGTTGAGTGACGGCTACTGAAATAAAAGAGGGGGCATCCGGATTTGAACCGGGGACCTCTTGATCTGCAGTCAAATGCTCTACCACTGAGCTATACCCCCTTACTGTCAATGGAGGTTTAACTTATTCTAATTCATCATTCAATGACCAGTGTTCCATCTGTGGTCCCTCCCTTTTTCCCCTGCTGTGTTTGCATAAGGCATGTTGTTAATGTGTGATGTATTCATGAGGGAAAGGGAAGGGAGGTTAGTGGGAAGGGAAAGGGAAACCAAGATAAGAAAAGGATCAAAGGTGAGACTGAAATATTCTATGTGAGGTTAGCTATGTATGACCCCTGATGTCTTTCTTTATCCCGCCAAGGCTGGAGACTCGAATGACAGCGGACATCAACGTGATCCTGCAGCTCCTCCAGAGGCAGATGGTCCCGGTGCCTCCGGCCTATAGCGCTGTGTCCCCCAGTCCTCACCCACCTCACCCCACTGCATTGTACAGCCCAGGAGAACCCACAACCCACTCTGTCCCTCCAATGCAGCCAGTACACATCGACAATACTGCCTCACCACTGCAGGTGTTGTGTTTATATATACGTACTGTGATAAAGTCTGCTGATCTGTTAGCATTCCTTTACTTGATAATCAAGGGTAACTAGCAGAACGCCTTTCCCTTCCCTCTCTTTGCAGAGTCCAGGATCTGTCTTCAACCACAAATCCCAGGAATCTCTGTCCAGTGGGATCCATCTCACTGTTGCCTCCGATGACACGGTGTCCATGTCGCCGGAGGCCGAGCCTCCACATCTGCCCTCTGTGGACCTCATCCCTCCTCAATTTTCAGTGGCCCAAGAGCTTCCCGGACTGCTATGTGTCAGCCAGCGCTTCCCCTCCCTCCCTGAGCACCTGGAGACCCCCACAGAGATGCAGAAGATCCACAGGCATGTCTCCAACCCTGTCTTACCAGGCAGCTAGAACAATACCAACACCACCCAAAAGCCTGGTCCTTTGGAGAGGACTATCTTCCCCACTCTGTTACTGTCCCTTTTCTCCCTTCAGACCTCCCCTCCCCCGTTCAGATGCTGCTGTAGGACGTGGGACGCCCCGCCTTGCACGTCACTGAGGGTTCAGAGTGCCTCCTGTTTCTTACGTACAGACTCTACTGCGCCTTCACAGGCTGCCATGGTTTTGTGCTCCAGCGTTCGAGGTCCTGCGCACTGATGAGATTATTTCTGCCCAGCAGAGTGGGCAAATTGTAGGATGAGTGAGTGGACAGTAAAGACATACAACAAAAACATGCGTCATGCTGTTGCTGGGTCCCAAACCAAAGAGAGGTGAAATGTCAAGGACTTGTAATGTGTTTCACAAGTGAAGAATTATCTGCATTCACTTTGTATAAGAATTGCACAATTAGACTTGAGCTTAGACAAATGTAATCGTTTATTTCCCTAATATTAGAGATGTATAAGTCTTAGGAAAAATACATCTAGGAATTGTAATAAACTATGAAGTTAGTGATACACTTTTGTTGCTTTACTTTATGTTGAAAAAAATATCAAAATAGATAATGTAGCTGTCTATCACCCTGAAGGATTCAATGCAGTGTTTAGAGGAGCATTCTATGAAAAGTGTGATTTTCATCTCATATTTCATGATTCAACATTTAGACTGAATAAACAGACTTGTCACTGGCTCATGAGAAGGTATTACAACATGCACAAACAAGTATACCTGTGAAATCTTCCTTGGTTTCCCGTTTCTGTGTCCGTAAATCTGCTCCATGGCTCATGGTTTTGTGAAGTATATTAATTGTTGTTCTGGCATTGTTCTGAAAGTGCCAACAATAGACTATGTGTGCTCGAGCTCTATAGACTGTGATGAACAGGTAAAAGTGCAGAAATTGTTTAACACCAACTGAGTGACGTGACGTGCACAGTAACTGTCAGTCACAGACACACACATAAACATTGCTGCAAGGATCCTTCCTCAGACAACAGGTGTTGCAAAAACTGTAAACCAATAGCAACTGAGCATTGCGTCTGGATCTTGGAATCAGTAGAAAATTATAGTTTAGGTAAGGAATTTCCCCGGAAAATGCCAGATTGTCTGTAGAAGACACAGCATTGCACTATTAAAGGCATTCACATCACCCAGTATGATGATGCAAACGCTCTATGTGATAGGAGATGCACGCTGAACTTCTGAAAAAAGTCATCAGATTTGGGGGTATAGCTCAGTGGTAGAGCATTTGACTGCAGATCAAGAGGTCCCCAGTTCAAATCTGGGTGCCCCCTCTTTAAATAACTTCTTAGACCGCATAGGATATGGAAATTATTCTACTATTGAGTATTTGTGTCAAGCAACAGGTGTTGCGAAAACTGTAAACCAATAGCAACTGAGCATTGTTTCTGGATGTTGGATTCAGTAGAAAATTATAGCTTAGGTTAAGAATCTTCTCAGAAAATGCCAGCTTGTCTATAGAGGACACAGCATTGCACTATTAAAGGCATTCACATCACCCAGCATGATGATGCAATCGCTCTATGTGATAGGAGATGCACGCTGAACTTCTGAAAAAAGTTATCAGATTTGGGGGTATAGCTCAGTGGTAGAGCATTTGACTGCAGATCAAGAGGTCCCCAGTTCAAATCTGGGTGCCCCCTCTTTAAATAACTTCTTAGACCGCATAGGATATGGAAATTATTCTACTATTGAGTATTTGTGTCAAGCAACAGGTGTTGCGAAAACTGTAAACCAATAGCAACTGAGCATTGTTTCTGGATGTTGGATTCAGTAGAAAATTATAGTTTAGGGTAAGAGTTTTCTCAGAAAATGCCATCTTGTCTATAGAGGACACAGCATTGCACTATTAAAGGCATTCACATCACCCAGTATGATGATGCAAACGCTCTATGTTATAGGAGATGCACGCTGAACTTCTGAAAAAAGTCATCAGATTTGGGGGTATAGCTCAGTGGTAGAGCATTTGACTGCAGATCAAGAGGTCCCCAGTTCAAATCTAGGTGCCCGCTTTTTAAAAACAACTTAGAAAGCATAGGATATGGAAATTATTCTACTATTGAGTATTTGTATCAGGCAACAGGTGTTGCGAAAACTGTAAACCAATAGCAACTGAGCATTGTTTCTGGATGTTGGATTCAGTAGAAAATTATAGTTTAGGGTAAGAGTTTTCTCAGAAAATGCCAGCTTGTCTATAGAGGACACAGCATTGCACTATTAAAGGCATTCACATGACCCAGCATGATGATGCAATCGCTCTATGTTATAGGAGATGCACTCTGAACATCTGAAAAAAGTTATCAGATTTGGGGGTATAGCTCAGTGGTAGAGCATTTGACTGCAGATCAAGAGGTCCCCAGTTCAAATCTGGGTGCCCCCTCTTTAAATAACTTCTTAGACCGCATAGGATATGGAAATTATTCTACTATTGAGTATTTGTGTCAAGCAACAGGTGTTGCGAAAACTGTAAACCAATAGCAACTGAGCATTGTTTCTGGATGTTGGATTCAGTAGAAAATTATAGCTTAGGTTAAGAATCTTCTCAGAAAATGCCAGCTTGTCTATAGAGGACACCGCATTGCACTATTAAAGGCATTCACATCACCCAGTATGATGATGCAAACGCTCTATGTGATAGGAGATGCACACTGAACTTCTGAAAAAAGTCATCAGATTTGGGGGTATAGCTCAGTGGTAGAGCATTTGACTGCAGATCAAGAGGTCCCCAGTTCAAATCTGGGTGCCCCCTCTTTAAATAACTTCTTAGACCGCATAGGATATGGAAATTATTCTACTATTGAGTATTTGTGTCAAGCAACAGGTGTTGCGAAAACTGTAAACCAATAGCAACTGAGCATTGTTTCTGGATGTTGGATTCAGTAGAAAATTATAGCTTAGGTTAAGAATCTTCTCAGAAAATGCCAGCTTGTCTATAGAGGACACAGCATTGCACTATTAAAGGCATTCACATCACCCAGTATGATGATGCAAACGCTCTATGTGATAGGAGATGCACACTGAACTTCTGAAAAAAGTCATCAGATTTGGGGGTATAGCTCAGTGGTAGAGCATTTGACTGCAGATCAAGAGGTCCCCAGTTCAAATCTGGGTGCCCCTTTTTTAAAACCACTTAAAAAGGCTAGGGAATGGGAAATTATTCTACTATTGAGGTATTTGTATCAGGGCAACAGGTGTTGCGAAAACTGTAAAACAAATAGCAACTGAGCATTGCTTTCTGGATCTGGAATCAGTAGAAAATTATAGTTTAGTTTAAGAATCTTCTCAGAAAATGCCAGCTTGTCTATAGAGGACACAGCATTGCACTATTAAAGGCATTCACATCACCCAGTATGATGATGCAAACGCTCTATGTTATAGGAGATGCACTCTGAACATCTGAAAAAAGTTATCAGATTTGGGGGTATAGCTCAGTGGTAGAGCATTTGACTGCAGATCAAGAGGTCCCCAGTTCAAATCTGGGTGCCCCCTCTTTAAATAACTTCTTAGACCGCATAGGATATGGAAATTATTCTACTATTGAGTATTTGTGTCAAGCAACAGGTGTTGCGAAAACTGTAAACCAATAGCAACTGAGCATTGTTTCTGGATGTTGGATTCAGTAGAAAATTATAGCTTAGGTTAAGAATCTTCTCAGAAAATGCCAGCTTGTCTATAGAGGACACAGCATTGCACTATTAAAGGCATTCACATCACCCAGTATGATGATGCAAACGCTCTATGTAATAGGAGATGCACGCTGAACTTCTGAAAAAAGTCATCAGATTTGGGGGTATAGCTCAGTGGTAGAGCATTTGACTGCAGATCAAGAGGTCCCCAGTTCAAATCTGGGTGCCCCCTCTTTTAATAACTTCTTAGACCGCATAGGATATGGAAATTATTCTACTATTGAGTATTTGTGTCAAGCAACAGGTGTTGCGAAAACTGTAAACCAATAGCAACTGAGCATTGTTTCTGGATGTTGGATTGAGTAGAAAATTATAGCTTAGGTTAAGAATCTTCTCAGAAAATGCCAGCTTGTCTATATAGGACACAGCATTGCACTATTAAAGGCATTCACATCACCCAGTATGATGATGCAAACGCTCTATGTGATAGGAGATGCACGCTGAACTTCTGAAAAAAGTCATCAGATTTGGGGGTATAGCTCAGTGGTAGAGCATTTGACTGCAGATGAAGAGGTCCCCAGTTCAAATCTGGGTGCCCCCTCTTTTTAATAACCTTCTTAGACCGCATAGGATATGAAAATTATTCCTACTATGAGTATTTGTCTCAAAGCAACAGGTGTTGCAAAAACTGTAAACCAATAGCAACTGAGCATTGTTTCTGGATGTTGGATTCAGTAGAAAATTATAGCTTAGGTTAAGAATCTTCTCAGAAAATGCCAGCTTGTCTATAGAGGACACAGCATTGCACTATTAAAGGCATTCACATCACCCAGTATGATGAGGCAAACGCTCTATGTGATAGAGAGGCACGCTGAACTCCAGAAAAAAGCTCATCAGTTTGGGGGGTATAGCTCAGTGGTAGAGCATTTGACTGCAGATCAGGAGGTCCCCAGTTCAAATCGGGGTGCCCCCTTTTTAATAACATCTTAGACCGCATAGGATATGGAAATTATTCTACTATTGAGTATTTGTGTCAAGCAACAGGTGTTGCAAAAACTGTAAACCAATAGCAACTGAGCATTGCTTCTGGATGTTGGATCCAGTAGAAAATTATAGCTTAGGTTAAGAATCTTCTCAGAAAATGCCAGCTTGTCTATATAGGACACAGCATTTCACTTTTAAAGGCATTCACATCACCCAGTATGATGATGCAAACGCTCTATCTGATAGGAGATGCACGCTGAACTTAAGAAAAAAGTCATCAGATTAGGGGGTATAGCTCAGTGGTAGACCATTTCACTCAGATGAAGAGGTCCCCAGTTCAAATCTGGGTGCCCCCTCTTTAAATACCACTTAGAACGCATAGGATATTGAAAATATTCTACTATTGAGTATTTTGTATCAAGGCACAAGTGGTGCGAAAACTGGAAAACAATAGCCAACTGAGCATTGCGTCTGGTACTTGGAATCAGTAGAAAAATTATAGTTTAGTTTAAGAATCTTCTCAGAAAATGCCAGCTTGTCATATAGAGGACACAGCATTGCACTATTAAAGGCATTCACATCACCCAGAATGATGATGCAAACGCTCTATGTTATAGGAGATGCACTCTGAACATCTGAAAAAAGTTATCAGATTTGGGGGTATAGCTCAGTGGTAGAGCATTTGACTGCAGATCAAGAGGTCCCCAGTTCAAATCTGGGTGCCCCCTCTTTAAATAACTTCTTAGACCGCATAGGATATGGAAATTATTCTACTATTGAGTATTTGTGTCAAGCAACAGGTGTTGCAAAGGCTGTAAACCAATAGCAACTGAGCATTGCGTCTGGTTCTTGGAATCAGTAGAAAATTATAGTTTAGTTTAAGAATCTTCTCAGAAAATGCCAGCTTGTCTATAGAGGACACAGCATTGCACTATTAAAGGCATTCACATCACCCAGTATGATGATGCAAACGCTCTATGTTATAGGAGATGCACTCTGAACATCTGAAAAAAGTTATCAGATTTGGGGGTATAGCTCAGTGGTAGAGCATTTGACTGCAGATCAAAAGGTTCCCAGTTCAAATCTGGGTGCCCCCTCTTTTAATAACTTCTT